ACAGAGGAGTAGCGGAAGTCCTGGAGGGATTATGAATGTGTAACTGTCAGATGCCGGAGTTTGTGAACAAATACTGAGGGCAACTTGGAGAAAGGGGGCCCTCCGACCCAAAATAAGAGAAGTGGACTTTATTTTTAGTTTAAATTTGACATACAGCAGAGGAGAATTCCAGCCAATTAACCCTTTTGACCCCCACCCCCAATGATTGCTTGTGCATAAAATACTAAGGACTAGACTCATGACTGGAGTACTCTGCATAGCTATGTATCCCAATATGCTTGTTTATAAAATTTCTATTCCACTTTCTAGCCCATCCCATGCCCCTCTGCAGCAGCATATAAGCCAATAACAAGGTATCAACCACAATGCACTTCAACGTAATAGAAAAATGTTATACATTTAAGCAACCAAGCAAGCATAGCTACTCAAGAGATAAAACAGCAGTTATTGCTGAAAAAGCCTACCTAAACCTGTTGCCATTTATTGCTGCCACAAAGGCATTCAATATCTTTTTTCAGTTCAGAACTGTCTGCCTCCCACTTTAGAATACGATGGAGAAATATTGAGACAGCATGCATCCGTGTGATGATACTAGGTCATTTTAGTTGTTCTTTAAAAGGCAGAATCCTGTAAGTTACTTGGAGACAGAGCCATAGCTAGATGATCTTGCACCCCTGGCAGAACCGTCCAGGTTGCACCCCCTAGCCACGAACCAATTAGCTCTTCTTTCTGCCTCTCCTCCACCCCCTCCCCCTCCTCCATCCATCCATCCATCCATCCATCCATCCATCCATCCAATCAATCAATCAATCCACCCTCTATTTAAAACAATTTCTTATAAGGCAATAATTTATATTTATGGACATATATTTTAGCTAGTTTTGCACCCCCCAATCTCCTGCGCCCTTAGCTACGGCCCTGCTTGGAGGGCTGCAAATGTGGTGGCGGTGTGAGGAAATGTTCTCATAAATGCTTTTGTATCGTGCAGAGAAAACCAGCACATTTTTTAAAAACTGGGAATAATTATTTCCAAAGGCTCCAGTGCAAGATCTATAGCTGCTTGACTGGCGATGCTAATGCTAACTCTTGTTTTTGGACCTTGTGGTATAACGGTTGTTCAGGATATGGAAATGCCACATTCTCTGATTGATGCTCTTAGACAAAAGCTTGCCATTGTGTGCCTGCTGCCGTCCCCCCGTTCTAAATGCTCTGATTATTAAACCATTCTTAGAATAAGCTGTTTCATGCTCTTTGTACTATGCTAGACTACATCCCTGGTGATTAGCTGCCTCTTGCCTTTGAAGATTTAAGTGCAAGGAAACTATACTTCTCTGACCTTTTCATTTATTTTCTGAACTCTTGGAAGATTATTGTTTGGCACAATAGCAGCAACACACACGCTGGCTGGTAAGAATGCAATAGTTTTATCAAATAGAAGATGCATAGGAGAAAACAGAGCATTTCTCCCTCACTACCACAATGAAATCTATTTCTGAGACATACAATTTGCCCCTGCGTATTTCTTGATTTGAAACAACACTTTTCGTGAAAAGCTGGGGTCTTATGGTCGAAGTATTAATCGGGGTTTGCCAGCTGTGTCTTACCGTGAAGTCTTGGCCTTCTCTCCTGAACAGTTCGTCAAACATAATGTGGATCTCTTGTGTATCGAGAAGAATAGACTATTGATGCCAGATCTCTGCAGTGTCCCTATTTTTGAGATGTGGTCTATCAAGCCCATATCCTTGAGCTTTAATTTAATTCTTTGTCATGTGCCTATTAAGTTAATTGTTCACACTTCACCCACAGTAATTACTATATTGTTCCATGATTGTAACTCTATCTGCACTATTTCATCACTGTTTAACCTACTTGTATATCAGTATAGAGGTCCAAAACAAGCAGACAAATAAGCAGAAATCATGTAAAATGCCCTCTCTCTCTCTCTCTCTCTCTCTCTCTCTCTCTCTCTCTCTCTCTCATATATCTTTCATATATAGATATATGGCCTGACTTTAATTAACAAAGCTCTAGAATAGTTAGGGAGTGAGGGGCAAAGAAGAAACCCAGAATTACCATAGCAAATTATTGTAAGTACAGTGGTACCTCGGGTTACATACGCTTCAGGTTACATACGCTTCAGGTTACAGACTCCGCTAACCCAGAAATATTGCTTCAGGTTAAGAACTTTGCTTCAGGATGAGAACAGAAATTGTGCTCCGGCAGCACAGCAGCAGCAGGAGGCCCCATTAGCTAAAGTGGTGCTTCAGGTTAAGAACAGTTTCAGGTTAAGTACAGACCTCCGGAACGAATTAAGTACTTAACCCGAGGTACCACTGTATTCAGAAGGGAGGGGCAGTGTGCTTTGAGGTTTAAAACTCATCTTCCTGACAGTACTATACACAGTTTTGCTTTTCCATTCTTTAGGACTCCTTCCAAGCTGACCAAAAGTGGTTCACGCATAGACTCTTAACCCTTGTCTTTTTTATTAATATGGGAGAAATAATTTGATCTTTAGCACTATGAGCTCTATGCTTTTCTCTAGCAATTAAACGTTTCCTTAAAAAAAAAAAAGTATTTTCTTTTTGGGGCTCCATTAATTGGATGTTGAAAAATGAAGAGGAACTTGGCAGGCCTCTTATCATCGTGTGACTCTTCTCCCCCATCTCTCGGTTCAGTGTTTTGCAGATGGCTTTGCCAGTTTCACAATCCATGCACCCCACTTCGGGCATAAATTGAGTCATGTTTGAATCAATGCTACAAAATAGCAGCTGGCTGTTAGACACAACAAGGGCACAGAAACTCTCTGGGTGTATTAGACTAAGAGCCTGTGGGAGAGTTTATTTAGCAGCAAAGTGAAGTGAACAGTACCAGTGTATGGAATGCTATCAATATTTCATTAAGGGGTTTATGAAATAGAATGTGTCTTCAGGGTTGGGACTCTGGAAATCAGATCTGGCACCTCTCAGATGGGTTCCAGCACCTCCTAGAAAATTTATGGAGGGGTGTTCAGTGTAGAAGAGGCTGAGCCATTGCAAACAGGAACTGAGCAGGAAGACCAAACGGTCCCTTATGTATCAATCAATCAATCAATCAATCAATTAAATTTGTATACCACCCTTCATCTGAAGATCACAGGGCGGCTGACAACCTAAAAATACAAAATGAAAACATGAAGTAGCTAATAAAACAAAAACAATATAAAGGAGAAGTAGAGCTGTATGTCGTCAGCATATTGCTGTCAACGTGCACCAAATCTCTGGATAACCCCATTCAGTGGTTTCATGTAGATGTTAAATGGCATAAGGGATAAAATCAAACCCTGAGGAACCCCACATTGAAGGCTCCATGGGGCTGAAGAATACTCCCCAAGCAACACCCTCTGGAAACATCCACCCAAGTAGGACCAGAACCACCGCAAAGTGGGGCTGCCCATGCCCCAACTCGGACCTCCGCTCCAGAAGGATACCATGGTTGATGGTATCAAAAGCCTCTGAGAGATTGAGGAGAATTAACAGGGACACATTTTCCCTGTCACTCTCCTGACAGAGCTTTTCATACAGGGCTATGTATGATATTAAAAAATATATACTTTTTTGAGGGTATATTTATTTAGCTCTTTCATGGGCAATATAGGATGGACTTGTGAATGCACTGGTGTCTACGGTGACCCCAATGTAAATTGTTAACATTTAGTTGAGAGCAAGAGACATTATTTAAGTGTTTGTGGCTTACATCTGAAATTGCCCCAATTCAGTCTCTTCAGAAATCTTTCTACTTGCTAATCTAATGTCTACATTTCAATTCCACTGGGGCAATTCATGATTTTAAGGTGTGTTTTTTTTAACATGCCAACCTTTTGGGTAGAGCTGGTTTTTTAAAGAAAATTATATTGTACCGCATTCGCTTGTACAGCAACCTACTTAATACGTTACGATTTATTACTTGCAAGAAGGCTCTGTATTGATTGTTTGTTTGAGATGGGTATCCAAGAAGGTTATTAGGAAGATCAAATTTCAAAGAAACCACTTCAAAACACATTGAGGGTAAGAGGAGTATGTTATATATGTAGAGATTGATCATTTGATCCATTTGCAGGTAAAAATGTGCTGGGTTTTTACCCTGACTGTAGCACAGAATGCTAGGCTCAAACAGCAAGCTTATTTAAAGGAAGCAAGTGCATTCATCACCCAAAGGTAAGTATAATGAGGAAAGTGTGGCTTGCTTAAAAAAAAAACCTGTTTGAAAGTAAAGCAGTGTTAAGTCTGCAAGGCCTGATTGTAGGCCTGATTTTAACCAAACACAGACCAGTCCCATTCTATTTGACAAAGGGCAAAACTTCAGAACCTGATTAACACCAAAACCATTGCTTATCACTTCTCTCAACTCACAGATTAAAGTTATAATTTGGCCATGTGCCAAGCAACAGAAGTAATGGGAAGAATTAGGTTAAAAACCAAATGATTTGTGATAATGTCTGTTCGTCTTTCACTCGAAGGTAATCCCTACACTTTCAAAAGTAGTTTGCCATGAATGTGGAAGGCTTAGGCTACTGTTTCGGAAGCATAAACCTAAAATGCTATCGAGCACATAAAATTAGTTGCATTGCCGGCTGGCCCATGGATTAAAACAGGGTGCTAAATATAAGCAAGTTTCCAAAATAGCATGCAGAAGAAATAGAAGATGCATCTTTGATGCCTGACATTCATATTTTTGTGTGTGACTGCATTTCTTGTAATTGTTAAAAGCTGTTTTTCAGGTTTTTAAGGATCTTAGGGTGAAGGGCAGGTGATAAATGGAAACCACCACCATTTTCTACATCATGATCTCCCCTTTCTTTTAGTGTTTAAGTTATCCCAGTTCCCCAGGTCTCTTTATTCCATAGCCTGTTTCATCATAGGAAACTGAAATACAGTGGTACCTCAGGTTAAGTACTTAATTTGTTCTGGAGGTCCATTCTTAACCTGAAACTGTTCTTAACCTGAAGCACCACTTTAGCTAATGGGGCCTCCTGCTGTCGCCGTGCTGCCGGAGCACGATTTCTGTTCTCATCCTGAAGCAAAGTTCTGAACCTGAAGCATGATTTCTGGGTTAGCAGAGTCTGTAACCTGAAGCGTATGTAACCTGAAGCGTATGTAAGCTGAGGTACCACTGTAGTGGTGTTGCAATTCACAAAGGCTATCCTGAAAGAGGACGGGGAGAGAGAACCTTGCCTAGCACCAACAAAAACGAACACTCTTCCCAGTTACTTTAGGTCACTCTGCGAAGAGGTGGCATGACAAAGGTTTCTGTGGAAAGGCCGGCAGGGAAACAAGACCTAATTTCCCACCCAGCAAATACAAATTATTAGGGTCACAGTACACATACAACTGAGATTTAAACTGAGTTTCAGTTTTAATCAATTGGTTCTGGTTTTATTGTACTGTATTTTAATGGTTTAGGCTGAAATCCTAATCCCTCTCATCCCACCCTCTTACCCGGCAGGGTTTTGCAGAGCCATCAGTGTAACCATAGATTTGCTGCTCAAGGCAGAAAATGAAGAGCGCATAATGATTTTGTCCCAGTCCCTGTACCAGCCCTGGGTTGCTGCAGAGCTTAGGTCCAGATGAGATCCAGTGCTAGCTGGCAATGATTGTTAAACCATATTGGGATCCAGTGGGTCCTGAGCTGGCTTCCCTTCCTACTTTTGGAATGGTCCATTTTGCATCTTCCCCATTTGCTTGCTTGCTAGCTTTTGTGTGTGCACGTGTGTGCATATGGTTTTACAAATTCATTCATACAACTAACATTCTTGCAAAAATTAAGAATAAAACAAGATTCTTCCGAATCTTAGGACGTCCCCTTCGTGGGTTCTTAAAATATCTTTGTCAACTGCATATTGAAAATTCAGCCAAATTTCTATCTTCCATAGTATTCAAAGTCTTTGTCACATTGCAAGAGTTATTTAAAGCATGCCAAAGAGTTCAAGTGTTTACAGTGTTCTTTTAAATATAATCTCTCTTTGTCCTAATCTCTACTGAAGTTTTGATCCTCCTGATTTCTGATTTTCCCAGTCAGTCTTGCCATTTCAGCATAATCCAGTATTGCCTGCATGTTTTGGGTCAGCTGGGAAATGTGTGTGTGTGCTTTTTCTTGTTCCAACCCTCCCACAACCCTCAAATACATACACAGAGAGAGTGAGAGAGAGACAGAGAGTGCGCACGAGAGAGAGAGAGAGAGAGAGAGAGAGAGAGAGAGGTGTAAGGAAAGTTTGAATTGCTCTACTACTGTGTTTCATAGAAGGCCTCTGGTTTCTTTAGAAAGGTATATTTAAATACCTTTTTCATTTCATTATAGATCATCTTCCAGAAAGCCTTAATCTTTGGGCACGTCCACCAAAGGTGAAAGAATGTACCTTCATTTTCCTTACATTTCCAACATTTATTATCGGGCAAATGATAGATTTTTGCAAGCTTGACTGGTGTCATGTACCACCTGTATATCATTTTCATAATATTCTCTCTTAAGGCATTACATGCCGTAAATTTCATACCTGTAGTCCACAACTGTTCCCAGTCAGCAAACATAATGTTATGTCCAACATCTTGTGCCCATTTGATCATAGCAGATTTCACCGTTTCATCCTGAGTATTCCATTTCAACAGCAAGTTATACATCTTTGACAAAATCTTAGTTTTGGGTTCTAACAGTTCTGTTTCTAATTTTGATTTTTCCACCTGGAAGCCAATTTTCTTGTCCAAATTGTATGCCTCCATTATCTGATAATAATGAAGCCAGTCTCGCACTTTATCTTTTAATTTCTCAAAACTCTGCAATTTCAATTTGTCTCCTTCTTGTTCCAAAATTTCCCAATATTTCGGCCATTTGGCCTCCATATTGAGCTTTTTCTGAGCCTTTGCTTCCATCGGTGACAACCACCTTGGGGTTTTATTTTCAAGTAAGTCCTTATATCTTATCCAGACATTTAACAATGCTTTCCTAACAATATGGTTTTTAAATGCTTTATGTGCTTTAACCTTGTCATACCACAAATATGCATGCCACCCAAAAACATTATTGAAACCTTCTAAATCCAAAATGTCTGTGTTCTCAAGAAGCAGCCATTCTTTCAACCAGCAGAATGCTGCTGATTCATAATAAAGTTTAAGGTCTGGCAGGGCAAATCCACCTCTGTCCTTTGCATCAGTTAATATTTTAAATTTTATTCTGGGCTTCCTGCCCTGCCAGACAAATCTAGAAATGTCTCTCTGCCACTTCTTGAAACAGTCCATTTTGTCCAAGATTTGCAATGATTGAAACAAAAATAACATTCTTGGCAATACATTCATCTTTATAACAGCAATTCGACCTAACAAGGAAAGCTTCAAGTTTGACCATATCTCTAGGTCCTTTTTCACTTCTGACCAACATTTCTCATAATTGTCTTTAAATAGGTTTAAGTTCTTAGCGGTCATATTAACCCCCAGGTATTTTACTTTCTTAACCAATGTTAAACCTGTCTCCTTCTGAAACCTCTCTTTCTCAATCGGTGTTAAATTTTTCTCAAGCACCTTAGTTTTTAACTTGTTCAACTTAAATCCTGCCACATGACCAAATTCCTGAATCAATTCTAATACTCTTTTAGTACTAGATTCTGGCTCCTGTAACGTCAATACTAAATCATCTGCAAAAGCTTTCAATTTGTACTGTTTGGCTCCGACCTGTATACCTTTGATCAGACAGTCCCTTCTGATCATATTTAGCAAAACCTCCAGGACCGAAATAAAAAGCAATGGGGAAATTGGGCAGCCTTGTCGTGTCCCTTTCTCTATCTTAAATTCCTCTGTCACCACATTATTAACTATTAGTTTAGCCTTTTGTTCTGAATAAATTGCACTTATACCATTTTCAAACCCTTGGCCAACCCCCATCCCCTGAAAATTTTTCTTCATGAAACTCCAAGAAATATTGTCAAAGGCTTTCTCCGCATCCACAAAAATTAAAACAGCTTTAGTATTAATATTCACTTGCAATATCTCCAAAATGTTGATTATATTCCTCGTGTTGTCAGACAAGTGTCTACCCGGGAGAAAGCCAGCTTGGTCTTTATGTATCTCCTCCACTAATACTTTTTTAACCTTTTAGCCAAAATATCTGCAAAAATTTTATAATCCACATTAAGCAGGGATATGGGGCGGTAGTTCTTAAGTTGTGTCTTTTCAGACTCATTTTTCAGTATTAGTGTAATATAAGCTTCCTTCCACGACTCTGGCGCTTTTTCCCCCTCCAAAATTTCATTACAAACCTCCTTTAGTGGTTGAATTATCCAATCCTTCAAGGATCTATAATATTTTGAGGTTAAGCCATCTAGCTTTGGAGATTTGCCCAACTGCATGTTCTGGATGGCACCTTCCACCTCGTGTTCTGTTATTTTGTAGTTCAACATTAACTTATTTTCTTGAGAGATTTTTTGAAGTCCATTTGTTTTTAAGAATTGATCTAAATCAAACTCTTTCTGTGGCCCTTGTGTATATAACTGTTTAAAGTACCTCTGGAAGCATTTTCTAATTTCCACTGGATTCTGGATGTTCTTTCCTTCCATTTCCAAGTTGGTAATGGTGTTAAGTTTTTGTCTTTTTTTCATTTGCCAAGCTAACAGTTTTCCACATTTATTGGCCGATTCAAATGTCCTTTGTCTCATCTGTTTAATTTTCCATTCTATTTCCTGATTCATCATCTTCATATATTGAACTTGGTATAACTTTATTTCTCTCAGAATCTCTTGTGACTTTGGTTTCGCTCTCAGTTTCTTCTCACCCTCTTTTATTTTTTCCAAAATTTTATCTTTTTTCTCATTTTGAGTTCTCTTCTTTATTACATTCTGTTGAATTAGAAACCCCCTCATAACTGCTTTGCTTGCATCCCAGATTACTCTTTTTTCGATGGTAGTGTTCATATTTATCTCAAAATAGTCTCTCAAGGTTTTTTGGGCCTTCTTGGTAACTTCTTGATCTCTAAACAAGGTGTCATTCATCCTCCATCTGAAGGAACCGGTAGGTGTTAATTTCATCTCCATTTTCACAGCATTATGGTCGGAGCAAGTTTTAGGGCAAATTTCCACTTTTCGAGTCTTAGGTGCCAGTCCTCTAGTTATCCAGATTTGGTCAATTCTTGTCCATGTCATTTTGGCTTCAGAGAAGAAGGTTCCCTCTCTGCCCAAGGGATTCTTTATTCTCCAAATGTCAATCAAGTCCATATTGTCAGTCATCTCAAAAAAGGTTTTTGGTAGTCTGCCATCTTTAGTAACTACCTGTCTCTGCGACTTGTCCATGTTTGTAGATACCACTCCATTCATATCTCCCATCATGATAATGTTGTAATCCATATAGTCTAACAATGTCTCATGCAACTTCTTAAAAAATTCAGATTTCCCCTCATTTGGTGCATATACTCCTACTATCAAAAAATTTTCTCCTTGTGTTTGGATTTCAATTGCCACATATCTTCCTTGGTCATCTTTAAAAATAAATTTCGGTGATAGGCTCTCTTTCGCGTAAATTACTACTCCTCTCTTTTTAACCTTGTCCGATGAAATAAACTCTTGACCCGATCTTTTATTAATCAATACTTTCCTATGAAGCCTTATCACATGTGTTTCGTGCAAGCAAATCAAGTCCAGTTGTTCCTTTTTCAATAAATGAAAGACTTTTTTCCTTTTCTCCGGGGAGTTAAATCCATGAATATTCCAACTTAATAGTTGCAGGGACATGGTGTATTTATTTTGCTTTTCCTCCAACTGCGCCAAGTAATTGTTCTTGTTCTGTCGGTAGTATCACCTTCTCTAACTTGTCCAATCCCAAAGGTAGTGGTACTATGTCTTGTACTCCTGGTTTTAAGGCTCTTGGCTCTTCTTCAGCTTCTTTTTGCAGGTCTTCTCCGTGTTCTTTCAGAAATTTTTCTTTATCTTCCACTGATCTTATTTTAAACTTTTTCCCTTTAAAGGTAAAAGATAGGCCTTGGGGGAATTCCCACCTAAAAATGGTTCTGTTTCCTCTTAACAGGGCCACTAGATCTCCGTAGTTGGACCTGAGATCCAAAAGATGTTTAGGGATGTCCTTAAATATCTCCACTCTTGATTCACTTATTTCCAAGGTCTTCTGGAAGTGCAGACTTAATATTCTGTCTCTCTCCTCTCTTGATCGGAGGGTAATCAAACAGTCTCTCACCCTGTTCTTTCTCCCCCCTCTTCCAAGTCTAAAATCTAACTTGTCTGAGTCTAAGTTCCAAAAGTCTGCGAATTCCTGCGTAAGAAGTCAATCAAACTATCTTTCTCAAGTTCAGGTACAGCCCTGATCCTTAGATTTATCTGTTTTTCATTTAATTCAATCATAGACAGCAATGACTTGTGGTCCTCAAGCTGCCTACATATCGGTGGTATCTTTTCCTCTACAGCCAATGCTTTTTCCTTGGCTTCTTCAGCTGTTTTTCGGTTCAAAGTAGATTCCTGCAGCAGTTTCTCAATAGATTCTGTATTTGAGTTCACCTTCTGCCCCAAGTTATTGATGCTTGACGTGTTTTGATCAATTTTAGTTGTCGCTTCAGCAACTTGTTTGCTTAATTTTTCCAAAGATTCAAAAATTTTATCTAGTGCTGAAGCTAAACCCCCTTCAGATGCCATTCCTTTAGGCGCCACCTGAGCTGGATCTTCCCCTGGTGGGGCAGGGAGGCCGGATGCTGACGGTCTATGCTGCTGCAGTCTAATTTTACCCGATCTTGTTGTTTTTTCCTGAGTCGAGTCTGCCATAACACTTTATCTAAGGATCAAGGTCAATCCCACGGTTACTTGTTTTGTAGTGGAAAATTCCCCTTGGCCAGTTTGGAGTGGGAAATTCCCTGGCCAATTGTAGCAATTTCAAAGTTCCTCTAGGGGGACACAGTAGCAGTCCAGACTTGTAACAATAAAGTAACTTTTCCAGCTTTCAGAAATCCCCCCTTTAACCAAGAAAAGCAACAATTTCAGGTCCGGAGAGACCCTTCAGAGTCAAAGTATCTCTCTTACAGGGTTAGCTGTCAAAAAGTTGCATTATCCTTTAACAGCGCGATTCACAATACGGCAGTTCCATTGTCCCTTGACAGTCCGTTCCCAGGCATTAAGTGATGGTCTTTGTTCCCTTTCTCTCTTCTTTTTTTGCCGGCAAAAGATACTTCCCCTTCTCTCTCCCCTCTCCCGCACCTCAGGGAGGGAGTTCTCTTTTAATTGATGTTAAGATTTGAGTCTTTTTCAACACGATTTTCAGGGTCTTAGCTTAGACAGTCTTCGCTTTGATCTATTTACAGAAAATGGAAGGCGGACTTCCTGTTTACGCCTTCCCGCTTCAGTGCCAAATTAGTCCTTTTTTCCTTAAATTTCCCAATCTTCAAACTTAACCTACTCACGGGTAGTTGTTTATTAGCCGAATTGTCACAGGAAAAAGGTCAGCGCTCTCCGGCAACAGCTGCGCGGCTTCACTCCACGGAAGAAGCAGTTGACTCTCAGCACCGCGCCAGACTCCCCGTTTCGCTCCGGAACTCTTTACAGGGTTCCCTCGCAGATTGGGGGGGCGCTAAGGGTGCCCGCCGAGTTCCACGGTCACAGGCTTAACCCGCCTGTGGTTTTCGAAGGGGTCCCCGCTTTGCCGTAGCGGCAAGACCCGATTTCCGCGGAGCTACTCCCTCAAGACTAGAGGGAATCCGCCATTGCCGATGGCGCCGCCTCCGGAAGGGCCTGAAGCAAAGTTCTTAACCCGAGGTACTATTTCTGGGTTAGCGGAATCTGTAACCTGAAGCGTCTGTAACCTGAAGCGTCTGTACTCTGAGTATGACATAGTTGGAGATCCCCCCAGTTTGCTTCAACCATTAGAATGAAGTGGACCTAAATGGCAAGCAAAACCTTCTTCCTCAAAGGGAGATGGTTATTTCAACTTTGTTTCGGTAATTTAGCCGTCTCATCATACAGCCTATTAAAAATACCTCAGAGGGTACAAATTGTGACTAGACTCTTAATTTGCAACTTAAGTGGGGGGAAAGCATGGGAAATATTGCAAACATTTTTTTATCTGCAGTGCTATTATGAACTAGCAGTTACTGTGTACTTATTTTGTTCCAATAAGCTGTCATCCGAGTCCATCTGCTCACATGTGTTATCTAGTGTGAGCTTGATTTAATTGTGCCAAACCTCCCATTTCCCTGGAATGTTATCAAATATCTCTTTCATGTCCCCGCACTCCAATGAAAGTTAGAGACTATGTCCGAAGATGTTTCAAATCTTGAAACTCAATTCATTTAGAACAGTGGAGGGGTGGATCTGGAACTGGTCAACCCTCCAGAAGCTACTTTGATAGATTGATGCTGACTTAAATGAGGGAGGTGCTCTCAGTATTGATGCAACCGACATGCATTTTGTAACTGAGCATCTATTCTGTTGTGCAAAATATATATGCTTTATGTGTGGCTATTAAGGGCAGGGTTGGAAAAGCACACAATATCACGAGTGGGGACTCCACCCTCCTGACTCCATCATCCATGGGTGTTAGCCCCATGTATAGAAGAAACATGCACATGGCTTGCTTCCTACGGCCATTTACACAAACTGTAAAGGTGACAGTTGATGTGAAGCCCATCTTTATCAGTGTGTTATTATGGCTGTCATTTGGCAATACAGTGGTGCCTCAGGTTAAGTACTTAATTTGTTCTGGAGGTCCGTTCTTAACCTGAAATTGTTCTTAACCTGAAGCACCACTTTAGCTAATGGGGCTTCCCTCTGCCGCCGCACCGCCAGAGCACGATTTCTGTTCTCATCCTGAAGCAAAGTTCTTAACCCGAGGTAATATTTCTGGGTTAGCGGAGTCTGTAACCTGAAGCGTATGTAATCTGAAGCGTATGTAACCCGAGGTACCTCTGCACAGCAAGCCCTCACCTTCTGCAGGTTACATTCTTTTTACATAAAGCCAAATCGCATATACCGTAGTCAAAACACATTGGGTGCAATGGTGGATAGGATTGCCAGAGTCTTTTTCCCTGGATGCCCAGCCCCTTTCCAACCCTTTAGAAATATATATATATATTTAATTGCCAAGTGTGTAAAGCTGAACCTGCACAAATTAAATTAATGTAAGTTGTGGGCTTACTGTATAGCATTATTGGAAGAAATGATCTCTTGCATTAACTATCATCCCATTAGCTGCTTTTTTGGAGGAGAAAATGATGGAAACGCTTTCATTCTGGAGAAAGTTTTTGTGTGTTTTTTTAAAGTAGGCCTGAGGAAATATATGGTTTTTTTCTGTGCAAACTTTTTAAAAATTCAGTGTGTGCTGCTCTGGACAATACACTGAATTAAAAAAAGTGGGGTTGATTCGGTTTTGTCGATTTTTTTGTTTGTTTCGTGTTTAAAGCAATTGCATCTCCTTCATGCGTTCTCTTAACATTTGTCTAAAGTGTTACCTCCAAGTTATGCAAGGTGTCACCATGACACCCCTAAAACACCTTTCTCACCCAAGACAAAAGAATCAGTTAGAATGGAGCAGTGTAAACCTTCCACAGAGTTGCCCCACAATCTGTCTCACTCCCATGCAAAGAGATGATGTCTTAGCATAAATGAAGGAAGGACTGGGTCTCCTGACTCACTCAGGCCTCGGCCTTTCTCAAGAGACTGCCAAAAAGTTGCCAATTAGTGCTAATTGTAGTGGATAAGTTTGATGCTGTGGAGTCCAGTACACTGGGAATTGGATTAAGACCATCAGACTCATTTCCTATCCTGCTGATATGTGGAAATTACTGGAGCTTTTATTCAGGTCACCACCACGTTTATAGTCTTGCCCCTTTCCAAGGTATTGTCTGCTTGTAGAAAAGGCCAGAGTGGTCTTCCTGCATTTAAGTCCATTCATCCTAAAGCATTTGATGAATTCCAGGATTTTCTATTGGCTGATGATCTATTTTCTCTCTCTCAACTGTGTGTTAAGGGACATAATATGTACCAAGACCTTTTATTCTTGTAAGTATACTTTAATGTGGAAGATTTCCATCTGTCGATGTCTAACCCTTTAAAGTTGTGTTTGGATCAAGTTCCCTTCGTTAGGCTCCATTATTATGCTCCCCTTTGATCTGGAAGATTCCTTGTCTGTGATCAAATATACAATGAGCTGAGAGTCATCCTCTTTCATCTCTTGTGATCAAGATGTGTGAACCACTTATTTAGCTCAACCCCGCTTTAAGGATGAGTATTGTCTTTTTCGCTTCGCCCCGGTGGGGAGGAGTTTTTTTTTTTTTTTGAAGAACTGATTCTTTTATACGGGTCTACAAAAGACATTGGCAAAATGTCACTTCGCATTTGTCAAGAACACGCTGGCCAATCTTTTCATCAAGTGACCATTTTACAATGGAAAGGAGGGGATGTTGGTAACTTCCATTAATTAGCCCGGCAGAAGGTGTATGCAATTAAGCTACTCAAATCTACTCTCAGATCATCTGAAGGTGCATATTAAGTTAAGCCTCCCATAGCAAGTATCAAAGAAGGATGAAACTGCAGGAGATCTTCTTGTGCTAAGGTAGCTTTTGAGATGAAATATTCTACCCTCCCTGGTCTTGTTTTAAGCTTAAAAGTTGTCTAAGCTTAAGCCCTAGTCAGTACTAACACAGTTGTTCTGTCTTACTGATCAGTTCTGAAGTCGAGCAGGGCAGAAATAAATGGGAAGATGATAAACCCAGCAATAAATATGGGTAAGTTGGTTTAAAACCAGCCAAACGGCAGCCCAAGCCATTACTGGTCAAAAAGTAATGCTTGAAATGGAAGACTCTGGTCCTAGCTCAGACTTAATATTTGATAGGCTAAGATGGCATCTTACAGTCGTCTTTGCATCAAAAGGACACATGATAATTTCTGAGATGAACATCTCTTAGTTTTTGCTATTGATCCTGTGGATACCATTACAGAGATGAAAAACAAATGGCAAAGCCTTAGCACAAAGGGGATCTGTGTATAGCTTTGTAGCACATACTGCGTCAGACCCTTTCGAATTCCCAAATGTTAGAGTTCTTAGATAACAGTGTAGCGGCGAATATCAGGCATCAACTGTAGCATTCCAGTCCTCCACAAACATTTATGAGTGCCATTTTTACTTAAGAAATCATGATCTTTTTGGCACTTAGGCAGCTGTTCTGTTATGAGCCAAATGAATCTATGCCATATGGCTATATATCTATAGAGAAGCACGAGTTAAAGAACTGAGAAGGTAGCTTTCTCCTAATCTTAATTCCTAGAAGGCTGAGTATTTCAGCCTTTGAGAAAGAGAGAGAGATATAAAAATCAAAATAGAAATGAATTCTGCATTTTGATTACTAGCAAAAAAAAAACAACACAAAAAAAACACACAAAGGCCTGTTTGCAGCTGTGGAAAAGACTGCTAATAGATTTGTTCTGCCAATAACTGCCCATTACAAAATTGCAGTGTGTTTCTGGGCATAATCACAGTTACATTACGCCATACATAATATGGCCTGCTGAATGAACTTCATCTGAATTAGCAAGGGCTATGTAATTCCATTACATAAATTGGGACTGAAAGAACGATGATCTGGAAGTACTGGAATTCCGTTCACAGCTTCTTGAAAAATGTTGTGAGCTCAGGCCTATAGTTTGGGCACTGGCATGGCCTGGATTACAAAGGAGGCCACTGTGGAAGCATCCATTAAGGAGAGACGGCAGAGCAGATTTGTGACAAACAATGCTATTGCTCAAAATGGGTCCAAGTGTGATAAGATGGAAGGGTGTCATGAACTGGCTGAATGCAGAGGAGTGGCAGGAGGCACCAGCTAGGGAACAAGGTTCAGAGCCAGGGAACTGGTGGTGGGATGATGCTGAGTGGTCAGAGGAAGAAGAAGAATGGGAGAAGGAGTCACTGGAAGTTGAAAAGGTAACAGTGTTTAGTGAGCAGGAAGAGGCTATGGCAGAGAGCAGTCCAGAATCAGAAACAGAAGAGGAGGCTTGTGAGGAGGGGGGCTAAGATGCAGAGTTGAGGCAGGCTGCTGTAGAAGCAGGGAGTCTCTCCCTCCTCTGGAAACCAGCTCTCCCCAGGGTCTCCCAGAACAAGAGGAATGAAGAGGGTGGAACAAAGAGAGACAAGGTGAAGGAGCCTCTGGTTGCTGGGGAAGGACCTTCGGGATAAGGAGCCTTAGAGAGAAGTGGAAGGCGGGGACCTTCAGTCCTCACAACTGCCTCATTGGGGCAAAGACCTACTGGGAAGCATTGAGGGGATCACTAGTTGTTTTGTTTCTGAGTTGTTTTGTTTCTTTGAACAAAGAGTTAACTTCACAGACACCTTGTCAGTTATTGCTGACTTGCTCCCAACTCCCGCCTTGACATGGGAAATAGCCAAAGCAACCGGCAAGGGCCATAGCCCAGTGGATAGACACAGACACAGTTTAAATCTTGGTCACCTCCATAAGGTTGGAGAAGATACCTCTCTGGAATCCTGGAGACCTGCTGCCAGAACTGTGTTGAACTCGGTGGACCAATGGTCTGATTTGGGACAAGACATCTAACTAAATTCCAAAAGGGACATACATTTTATGGGTTGTGCCTCCTTGCTCTTGGATCTGTTTTCCTGTTTCAAATTCTAGATCTACTTCAGTGTCACAAACAAGGAGTCTCTATTTCACAGCATAGAGAAAAATTCATTGGGTACCAATATGCTTGGTGACCCATTCACACAAACAGCTTGCTGTGGAAAGCACAGGTGCCATTTCAAATGGGCTTCCTGCTGATCCTTTTTATCGGAACCCTATTTCTTTTAAATTAAAAATGTGGTCAATATAACATACATTTATTCGATAAGAGGTTGAAACGGTTCTGATAATAGAAGAGGGTTATTGCTTTAATGCCCTATTTGTAGACTTCCCAGAGGCAGTGATACAATGGGCAAGGGCTCTAGCTCAGTGGTCAAGCGTTTGCTTTCGTGCCAAAGCTTCAATCCCTGCAGGTCAAGTCAAGTTGTTTTATTACGGTCAATGGCCAATATCAAGACGAAAACACCAATCACAAAATTTAAAAGCTCAGAGCAAAATAAAATCATGTAAAATCACATGTCCATAGAAAAGCAGTTCTAGGTGGTCATTTATCTGTCAGAAAGAAAACCGTTCTGAAATAGGAATGTCCATGTTATACTAATCCTGAGTGCCAGTCACTGTACAGTGGTAACGCGGGTTACATACGCTTCAGGTTACAGACTCCGCTAACTCAGAAATAGTACCTCAGTTTAAGAACTTTGCTTCAGGATGAGAACAGAAATCGTGCTCCAGTGGTGCGGCGGCAGCAGGAGGCCCCATTAGCTAAAGTGGTGCTTCAGGTTGAGAACAGTTTCAGGTTAAGAACGGACCCAAGGTACCACTGTATGTCATATTTTAATTGCTGCTGAACAAAAATTGACCACCTTGTATGTTATACCAGGATTATTATCTAGGAGCAACAGAGTGGCAAGGAACTGTTCAGAACTTCCAGTATATTTCTGGAGTATTGGTAGAATAAGGGCAGAACTTAAATCTCTATAAAACAAACAGTGGGGGTGGGGGTGGGGAGCATGTGTTCTACAGTTTCAATTTGGCCAGAGCCACAGGGACAGCATCTCTCCAAATATGAGATTTTTCTATAGCGCCCTTCAAGGGCAGCAGAGGCGAGGACACGGCATCGAGCCAGGGTCACCCTCTGAGGGTTCAATCTGTGGTGTGTCAAGGTAGGCCCCAGCTTAATGCGACTGACTTCAGTGGAACTAAATTCAAGTAACTTGGTAAAACTGTCTTCTGAACTGGGCTGTTCCTGATTCACACCTTTACCATGCTTCTGACCCAGATATTAACGTTTAAATCTTGTTTATAATTGATCAACTCATTCTGCAAAACATGTTTCCCTCTTGGGCTTGCTCTCTTTTTACATGTAGGGAAATATGTTCAGTGTCTCTTCTCGGTATATATGCTTGATCTCAGATATATTTACCACCGTGACCTTTCGCACTAGAAGCTGAATGATACAGTCCCACCAAATTAGTTCTGAATCAGTAAGTTAAAACAAAACAAACACCTCAGCTAGTGAAATCTGAGACAGGACTGGATTATGAGATGGTGGTTGTTTCTAAACCAAAGCCAGTGAACAGAATACAGAATATAGGAAACTTGGGTTCATGAGGCCACCACAGACTCATTTAGTTAACTCTGTGTTTTTTTGTTCCAAAGACCTCCTTGCACAAACAAGATTCGGAGACTGCCATTTCCAGGTTATAATCCTGTGGCAACATCCTCTGTTTAAGCAAGTAAATGCTTTTAATGTCTTTCAGTCATGCACCCTTGCTGGCTAAATTGGGTTATGCAGCTGTCATTGCATTCATATGAAGCTATGAACTCTGTTCAGCAGGCATAACCCAGCAATTATTTACCTACAGCTCATTCTGAAATGAAAGAAGTGAGACAGAAGCCCCTGATCTTGCAGGAATGTTGGCTCCCGCTACCCACCCTAGTTAGAGATGAGGAGGAACTCAGTTTCCCTACCTAGTTCACACTTCTTGAAACAGTATGCAAAATGAAACATAATCATCTTTCAAAATTCACGTTTCTCTGGATTTTGTATTAGGCAAAATCACTTTGCAAAAATGTGTATATTAGGCAAATTTTTCATGCAAATATGTGTGTATTATGATAAATTTGCTGATGAATTTTGATGCAGACTTCTTTTTTTTTAAGCAAATTGATATGTAAATGTAATAAACTGAAGATAAGATTGGGAAATGAGAAATTAAGAGAAAACAAATCTGACAAATCTCCTGATCCATGTTCCTAATCCTATTGCCATTATAAGAGAATTCAATAAAATTTACCTCAGGCTGTAGCTACAATCTTCAGCACATTGGCTTGGAAGGTATCTCCACTAAAATCAAGTATTTAGGACCTGGGATGCCAGTGAGCAGGGAGGATGCTTGAGTGCCATGTCAAGTGTCATAAAAATATTTCAGGCTTATGCTGCCTGTTTTAAAAACACAGTAGGGGAGGGAAATGAAGGAAATGACTCACTGCTATCATTTTAGCGGAAGTATCACCACATAGAGAATTACAGCCATCCAAATCACTGTCTCAAATGTTGCCAAGGCATATTCTTGTCCATGTTGCAAGCCTGGCAGAGTTGTTGATGCATTTGAAGATGGGTAGAAGAATTTACTCTCAGACCAGTAGTATACAACCAACATAAACTCTAAGGAAATCTAACTTTTCACATCATTTCTGAGACCTATAATAAGTGTCACAACAATGAAGTGCTAATAATGGGTTTAAAGTGGACTGGAACTCATAGGAGAACCATTTAGCCACCATGCCAACTTCAAGAGATATGTGCCTAAATCAGAGTTGGAGAATTTGTGGACTTCCAGATGTTGTTGGACTCAAATTTCCCTTGGCCCCAGTCAGCATGGCCAATGGCCTGGAATGATGGGAGCTGGAGTCTAGGAACGTTTGGACACCAACAGGCCTAAATTCTTGGGAGTAGCATTTGCTTTCCAAAGCGCCATACTTAGGCTGCCATAAAGAGACATATTTAGAGATGTTCGCTATACAATAGTAATAAGCTCTACACTGTTTCATTCAAACATCCATTCATGGCAGAGCAAAAGCATATTTCAAGCTTGTGTTTTCATATCAAACACTCTGCAGTAATTCGGTGTGTGTGTTTTTTAAAAAACACCTTTAAACATAACTATATTTATCGAAGGTCATATGAAAACAAACAGCTTGTAAATAGTTTTATGAATTACACCACACTTTATAAGCCTCCCTTGTTAGGCATCAATATTATATATAAACCTCAGTAATAAATAAAACTTGGTGATGTTTCTAATAACATCTTTGGAGAGAGGTGGGGCAGGGGCCAGAGAGGGGAAAGTAGAGAATCTTTCTAGTTATATACACTGACAGCTTTTCCAGGGCATGTTTACTTCCTTTTGCCAACAGTTTATTCCACTGAAGTGTAAAAGAAACGATAGCTTATTGTGTTTCTAATGATGGTTTTATATCAAAAACTGACTCTGTGATCTTAAAGGCTTACAAATTGTCCCTAGGCACAAGTTTATACAAGTGCACGGCACCATCTGCATGTAATTTTAGCAAACAGATATCATGGAAACTTGCAGTCTCTCCCAGAATAGTTTAATTAGATGTGAAAAGTGGGCTATGCTCTTCCATTAACTTCAACAGTTATAAAAACAGTGTCAAGTGTTTTGCGATTGAGCTGGCTCCACTGTATGGCTCTTTGAAGGTGTGCCTAAGGATCTGGAAGGCATCCATTGCTTCAAACTACCCAGTGTTAAGATCAAGCTTCTACTTTGCATTATTTCAGCAGAATTTCATAGAAGCTGCCTTAAACTGAGTCAGTCCATTGGTAGATCTAGCTCAGTATTGTTTCACTGACTGCAGGATTTCAGGCAGGGATCTCTCCCAGCCCCACCTGAACATGCCAAAGATTGAAACTTAGACTTTGGCCTCCAAAGCAGATGCTCTACCACTGAGCCACACACAGCCCTCTCCCATAACTGAAGATTTCAACTTGCCATGCCACAATCAGTGCCAAACACTCCCTTGACTCCATGGGATGCCAGATTGAGTTACTAGTTTTGTTTTGCTAGCAACCTGGACCATTTAAGTTCAGCGTTGAGTGATGCTGCTGTGAATATATATATATGTATGATGACAGTTATGCTGGTGTTACTTGATCCTTTGGCAAATGACTAGGCAAATTCTAGTTCTAGTAATATATCTCTATTCTGGTGAGCCACTGATTCAAACAGAGCAGTGGAACATAAGTGATAGTTTTCCAGATAGAAGGGAACTTGAAGGAGGAAGGATGCAAACATTTTGCCCACTTGTGCCTCTAGCAAACAGATGTCGCATGCTTCTTATTTTTCCAAAAACCTCCCAACGTGGGCCAAAACAACACATGAAGCTGCCTCATATTGTTGATTTTTGATAAGAGCTGTTGGAACAGTCTCCCTCGGGAGGTTGTGGGCTCTCCTTCCTTGGAGGTTTGTAAGCAGAGATCGGATGGCTGAGATTCCTGCATTGCAGGGGGTTGGACTAGGATCAGGCATGGTCAAACTTGGCCCTCCAGATGTTTTGGTACTACAATTCCCATCATCCCTGACCACTGTTAGCTAGGGATGATGGGAGTTGTAGTCCCAAAACATCTGGAGGACCAAGTTTGGCCATGCCTGGACTAGATGATCCTCCGGACCCTTCCAACTTTACGATTCTATGATTTGTCCATCTAGCCCATTATTGTCCACTCTAAGTGGTGGTGGCTCTCTGGGGTCTCAGACAGAGATCCTTCCTATCATCTGATGGAGATGCCAAGGACTGAACCTGGGAGCTTCTGCATGAAAACCATGTACTCAACCACTGAGCTATAGCCCATCCTCAGTGTAGTGTACACCTATGTGGTATAGTGGTCAAGAGCGGTAGACTCGTAATCTGGTGAACCGGGTTCGTGTCTCCGCTCCTCTATATGCAGCTGCTGGGTGACCTTAGGCCAGTCACACTTCTTTTAAGTCTCTCAGCCCCACTCACCTCACAGAGTGTTTGTTGTGGGGGAGGAAGGCAAAGGAGATTGTTAGCCGCTTTGAGACTCTTTAGGGTAGTGATAAAGTGGGATATCAAATCCAAACTCTTCTTCTTCTTCTTCATGATGTGCATGCACTCTATGGAAAGTGACCGTTCTCTCAGACCACTTTCAACTTCCAAAAAAATTATCGTCCAGCTCCAGTCTCCATAGATCTATATTGCTGCTTGCTTTTGATGCTGCTTCTTATTTCTGCCTATAAAAATTAGAATCTGCATATTAAAATTAAAAAGCCACCCCATAAAGGTCTTTGTGGCAATATAGGACACTTCCAGATGACCTGCTTATTGAGCATTCATCCTAATTTGTTTGCATGGAGATTAGATGGTGTTGGCTCCACGATGTATCAAAGCAAAGGTTCTTCCACACTTCTGATTTCCTCATCACTTTCCTTGTGGCAAAAAAGCCTAATCTTTTGGGATTTGTTGCGCAAGAGCTGCAAATCAGCATTAATTGTGCAACCTGAATTTTCTGGTATGCGATTGGATCTGACTCAAAAATAGTGACAGTCTGGAAGTGCCCATGGAGGGAAAACGTTCATTTTACACAAATATTCCACAGCCTGCCAATTCAGGGCATTTTGCATGGAGTTCGCTGTCTTCCACCCCTCCAGTCCGGCTTCAGTTGTGTCTGTATTCCTTCATCTGCCGTTTTGCTAATTCTACAAGAAAGGGAGCACATGCTGTTGCTCAGCAACAGTTGGATGGAAAACAGTCTTTTACCACTTCTGGAGTCTTTTTATGTTTCTATGATATCTTCATAATCTGCCCTGGGAATTTATTTGAAGAGCAGGATAACAATTCTGTAAATCATATATATTAATAGTGATCTCACTTCTCCAAATATTGGTACTTACGGTATGTAGCAGCGTTCATGCAATAGATATCAGCAAGCTAGGAGAACCCAAAAAATTGCAGAAGTATAATCTTTAGGTTGAAATTCCTAAACTGGGGTACCCCAAAATGCCATGATGAAATCTGAGTACGCACAGCGGCCATGGGATGCTGACTGATTATTGCGGGGCGGGGGATAGGAGAAGATGGGCAGAAAACTGGGCGGGAAGGAATATGGAAGGCAGCATCCTGATCAGGAACACTCCACACTGCAGCATTATGCTACAAGTCTGACTTTGCAACTGACTAATTTTATGATGGGAAGGGTCATAATGAAGGGAAAGAAAGGCAAAGGGCATTTGACTGAAAAGGAGGAAGTGGGAGACTGGAGACGTGGGCCCCTGTCTAAGGCAAGGAACTCACAGAGGTTGCAAACTATTTTGAAATAGCTTACGATCTTTCACTTTCTCCTGCCTGGTGGTAGCTAAGTTTCCTTCTAATATTGCTTCAGATTTCCAGAGATGAGATAAAATGCACACTGAATTTAGTGAAGTAAATGCCAAAAATTGGGCTTGGGTTCTAGAGGAAGTGTCGGGGTTATGGCTCCCTCTGGTTTTAGTCAAATTGTGCCCCCCTCCTTGTGTTGTCTTCTAACAGCTAACAGGAGGCTGAGCCAGTCTGCAACAAAAGGTGAGGTGGTTAATTCCTTCTGTCCTCCCTGTAATGTGAGCATTCTGCAAAACTCTTTGCAAAAATCTTTTTGCTGTACTCTTGCAGCTTTCACAAGCACAGTAGATAGTAGCATAGCAGATAGTAGCATGTGCTTGGATTGTTGCCATCAGCACGAACTACCAAAAGTTCCTTGCCTCTTCCTCACCCCTGGCCTGCTGCCCTTTCACCTTATTTGGCACAGTTATCAGGTCAATGGGGTAAAGTGTAACAGAAGTTGTTGAATTCAGAATATCCTGATGGATGACTTTCCTGGCATGGACTTTCAGGAGAGGAGCCATGTGGTGCCCTTTGCATTTGGAAAAAGAAAAAGAAAGAAAGAAACACCCTCTCTCTCTGTATAAGATAGTTACTAACTCTGTCTGGAATTAGCATGCCGTACTTGGAAAGTGGACTGTAACTCGTAACAGCACACTGTTTAGCTTTCTTGTAATTGTAGATCATTTATTGGTGTGTATGGCAGGCAACACTGGCTCTAGGATTTGAGGGCTCTCATGTTGTGGCAGCCTCAGTCGAGCCCCCTAACCTGGAAAAATAAAGCCATGTGAACTGATAATTCCCTGAGGCTGCATCTGATCTCCTTTGTTATGCTTTGCAAAATAGTATCACTTCTCGAATGATGGGGCGTTGATAAATAGGGTGGCCATGTGTCCTCCTTTACGCAGGACGGTCCTCCTGTTTCAGGGATGGGACACCTTTTGTATCCCAAGTGCCATGTTCCCTTTTGGGAAACCTTCTGAGAGTTACATGTGCCAGTGTTGGTTGGGGCCAGAGGCAAAGGTACATTTTTCTTTTCTACTGTAGGCTAGTTTCTACACACAAACCTCTATGTCCTTCCTTCAGATAAGCAAAAGGTGTTTTCAGAGTCCAGGGGCACATTCCAGTCAGACCAAGACACTTGGGGCTCAAAGCAGGGCGAGTGAGGGGTGTGCTCAGAGGAGATGAGGTGTGTGGCCTGAGGAGAGTTTTGAGGGCCAGCTAGAAAAGTCTGGAGGGCTTCATTCAACCACTGGGCCTAAGGTTCCCTGCATCTGCTCTGTTTGGAGTTGCCTCCTTCTTGAAGAGATGCATTTTCAAAGCCCAGTTTAAAGGTGAAGAACCATAAGCAAGGAGGGCAGGACCCTTACAGCGACTCATCAGCAATTAGCACCCGAACAGCAGTTACCTCAGAACAGCTTGCTCCACTATACCATAGTAATTGACTACTCTGGGGCTTTCTAAATTAAGAGCGCTGTAATAAATGAACCTAAACAATTAGTAAAACATATTTCTAAATTTTCATGTATACACATAAATTGGCATTATGATGCATTTCCTCCTCCTTTTTTTGGGTAATAGATCACCCTATTGGCAAATGTCCACCCTGGCAACCTCTAGAGCAGCGATTCCCAATTAGCCAAGAACTGCAGACTCCGTTTTTCAAAAGCCAAACCATGGCCCCCCACAATTTTGATATCTCTGTGGTAGTTTATTGTTATGTGAATGGTGCCATGGACCACACGGGTGGGTTATGTAGACCCCCTGGGGGCCTGTGGACCACCAATTGGGAACCAGAGCATGATGTAATGCCACGGTCTTATGAACCTCTGTTCCAGACCTCTAACTCTGCCAGTTGCTCCTCAACTCCCTGCATGGAATAACTGGTTGTACCCAATTCACTGCACCACACAGATAGAACAGGCCAAGGGAAGCAACAAAGTTCTCTTCTTATCTCTTGCACAATGTACTGTGGGGCTTTTTGGTCTGAGTCCCAGAGCAGTAAGATTTAAGGATCTAAATTTAGGTAGTGTGGCAGCTAAATTATTACAATGTCCTGCAGTAAAAACGAATACTGGAACACCAAGTGTCTAGACGTAACTTTAAGGCTGAAGCTTTTTTGGGGGGGCTGGGGCAAAGTTGTTGAGCTATTTTTAGTTCCGCCATACATCCAATTTCCACCCGGACACTGCTGCCGACTTCAGTACTGTATTCCGAATACGTCCGGGAAAATCTGGATGTATGGCAACCATACATTACTACATTTCTGAAGACCCATTGACAGCCGTGCTCACCTCCCCAGCATTTTTGGTTGATTCATTTGAAGTGTAGTAGAATCAGCAAGATGGAAGCAATGGGTGCGGGGATCCAACTGTTGTCTTTTAAGGGCCTGGTTGCTGGAAGGGAGAACCTGGGATCAGCAGGCCGCTGGTCACTGTTAAAGCTACATGTAGCACAATCCTATGCATGCTTTCTCAGAAGTAATTGTGCGTCTCTACTTGCCCCACACCCATAGTTACAAATGGCATCACTTCTGGGGCAGGACAGCATGGTTTGAGGGGAAGGGCCTCAGGTGTCGAAACGAATCCCTGGCTGCAGGTTCCCCACCCCTAGTACAGATTACTTTGTGTGATTTTGCTAAAACAAATGCTTTGGGTAAAATAATGGTCTCTATAGTGGATATATTGCATATTTTCATGTGTATGGCTGTTTCTCTTATTTAGCCTTGAATCCACCCGACAATCAGCACCGCCGCTGCTTCTGCCTTGTTCATCCTTTCTCCTTTTCTGCCAGTGGTGCATCTGGTTAACTGGCTGTACTATTTTGACTTAACTGGGGTGCGAATTCAGCTGCCCTTTATTTAAAAATTAGCTGCCCATTATTCAAATAAGTTTATGAAGGTGTGCTTTGAATTTCTCCCCCCCTCCCCTAGATTGACATGAAATGTCACTTTTATTTTCTTTTGTGTGATATGCATGAGATGTATGAGATTCTATTTTGAGATGAAAGGCATAGCATAGCATTACCATATTTCTGATAGTATCTTTTTTTCTGTGGTTGGAATATCCCTGCAACCCACCACTGAACGACACAAAGGCAGATTGTTCCATACGGTCAACAATGCATCCTATGTGCTTCAGCTGAAAATTCCAGAAGTACAGTGAGTGTTGTTGGAGAAACTGTCATCTTTTTCATCACAGCATTGGGTCCAGAATTAAGAGCGTCCAGTTCTACAGCTCTGTGGAAACTGTATAAAATGTATGCACGTGGAAATGCTTCCACAATGGTAGTATGCTACACTCGTGTGACTTATAAAGAGAGTGCACATAATTCATGTCGGCAGCATGCCAGGCTCAAGAGAAAGTTAACTTTCTGACTGTTACTTAAGCCACATTCACAGGGAGAATTTGAAGAGTCAGAGATGTACCAAAAGCACATGGAATTCCTGAAGAAACACACATAAACCAATTTGTTCAGAATAAAGCTAAGGGCCACAGAGTGAGAACCAGTTTCAGATGCATGCCATAGAGACAACTGGATGGGCCTTTTCCCACCTCACTTAGCTAGGATGGGGAACAATAAGCCAAGAGTCTGTGAGTTTTGGGTGATGATGGAAGCTGGAGAAACAGACATCTCTGCCCCATGTAAGACCAGCATCTGTTTTTGGGGGCTCTCCTGGAACCCTAATGGGGAAGCAAGATCCATTGGGGTGCTAATGCCTTGAGCCCCTCTATCCTGTGATCAGGTGGCATATCTGCGTATATAGAAACATATATAATAAACATATCACAGTCTCCACTGACCTTCATAGCAAGGAATCTGAATCCTGGATAAGTATGGGAATCCCTGGGGTCTCTTGAGACTGGGGTGCACAGAACAATAGAATTGGCAGAGACATAGTTGATCACCAAGCTCTTTTTTGAGGCAGGACATTCTATACACTGACTAAACTTTGCCTAACCTTTAAACAAAGGACTCAAGAGGCAACTTGTTTTACTGGAGAACTTTATGTTGAATCTGTGGTTTAGCCAGTTTTGTTGTGCTTATTGCAACTCTCTGATTTTATTATGTCAATAAAATAAAATAATTCATGACCTATAGATTCGGGGGGGGGGATTGTGGAAAGTAAGATTATATAATATTAGTGTTATGAAACCACTGTGGAACTATCATGGCTGTTCCTAGAACATCATGAAGAAAATGGGATCCGTCATTAGAAAAAACCTTTATGAGCCAGATTGAACTCTGTAGGAATACTGCTGATGTGAGTGGAGTTATACTAGGATGATTTTGATCTATTCCTTGTGAGAGCTATTTCTCATTCACCAAGATAACAGCTGCAGAATGCTCATGACAACTGTAATCTTTTTCTTCTTCTTTTTTTTAAGGATTAGAAGTAAAAGACTCTCCAGGACAGAATGGCAGTCCAAACTTTCTAGCTCCGTAGTAATGGAGTAAGCAGTATTTTTTCATGATTGTGTTTTGTGTGAAGCAAGTCTCAATTCTCGTGCAAGTTCTTTGCTTTCCACACATGCACGCTTATATATATATATGGATTCTGCACTGACCTGTATTTCCATCCCCTCCCCTGTGTAGCTGAAAATTCCCGCCGGCTGACATAACAGCTGTACAGTGCTGAAGGAGATCCAAAAAAGGCTGAAGTGCCATTCTCTGGTTGCTGTTTCCAGCCCGACAGCATAAACGAAGTAACCATTTGCCAGCTTCTGATTCTCTGCTCTTGGTATCTGCTTACAGTACATGACGATTGCAGGGCATTGCACATCTCACACTCAAGCAGGATATCTGAGTATTGAGAAAACCTTATGTAAGATCTTAAGATGTTGTTACACTGCTGCAGGTACAATTGCAGGTATTAGTGTCTAATGTGCACTCAAAATACTAAGAATCTACATTTCATGGAGTAAATACTTTTTTCATACTTTTCTGTATTAATTTTTTTTAATGAGGAACATGCACCTGTTCGTTAAACCGATTTTTTTGTGTGTGTCATTTGTGAACCTAAAAAAGGACAGTGCATTTTAATAGTCCTAATATCACTATAACAAACTGCCTATATTTGTTTTTTAAATTTTAATAAAAGGAGGCTGGCTTAAAAGGTTAACATCCCTAATAAACTAAAAGGGTGATAAAAAAAATTAGAATGTTAAAAGATTTCTTGAGTTTTTGTAGCATGGGTTGGCAACAGTTTTGCAACTATCATACTGGAATGCCAGACCCAACACCTGTCTATCTTTAGAATTTATAACCTGCCCCTTCATTCACATGGAATGTGAAGTCATAGATTTTAATACTTTTTTTTAAAGGTGAGGTTTATGCACACTTTTTCTTTACCTGTTTTAGAAGTGCAACCTCTACTTGAATTGCTCCTATGTCCTGTATTTCCCCAGTAGTAACTCCTTCAAATTCAGTTACAGTTTGACTTAATTACCAAACATCAAGCACTGGTTATTCTGACTGTAATTTAACCTGCAGCGTGGACAGAAGCAGGAAGCAGTTTTATTACTTCTCTGCTTGCACAGAGTGAGTTCTTCCCTACTTTCGTCTCTAATCATAGCAACACATTGTGGGATAACTATGAACCAGTGTTTTCAAAAAGGGGGATATAAATCTGGAAGAAACTATAGTGATATACACCAAAAGGCCAGAGAAATGTTGATGGAGCCAAAGAAAAGTAGGTACTGCTTTTTATCAATCCAACAGTTTTCTCCTGGTAAAATGGTGAGTATGGGTAGATGTACCTACAATGTATCAGGCTGGGAATATTTTTTCCCCCTTCAGAGAACTTTCCCCCCAAAGCTACTAGGGCTAATGGACTGAGTACTAGGATACAATGGTGTCTTTGTAAGATGCAGGGGAATTTTAAGTGGGAATCTCCAGGACATTCATTTCAGCATACATCACCACTGAAAAGGTCTAAAAATCACTGCAATTTTAACTGAAAGGAGAAAGTATGAATAAGCACAGATTTTGTTTTTTGATACACAGGCTTTTGAAGGAACTGGCATAGGCACATCATTCCATACATTTCTACTAGACAATGTAAGTGGATGGATTCATTTCACTGCAGTTGGAACTATTTTCTCAAAGGCAATTCTTTGTTAGCAACAACAATATGCATGCAGATTTGAAGAAATGGAAAACGTTTCCTCACCAGAAGTTATGGTTCCAGGATGTGTAACTTGGCATATTTCTATGGATTTCATCAGACTAACTTTGTTTATAGTAACAATCAATTTCTACATAGTCAAAGCTATGAATGTTTTTGTATTTTACTTCTCGCTAGAATAATTACAGAGCAATGGATTTCTCATTCCCTCCTACAATGAACAAATGGGGAATGGATTTTGTAAAAAAAGAAAGAAAAAAAGTATTTATTGATCTATGGAGAAAGATAGTACTGTAATAAGTCTAAATTCTCCTTCCCTTAACTGTGTTGCATATTCTCATCCCTACTGTTGAAGAATAAAGCTGGAAGACAGGCTGGCACTCTTGTGGAGCAGAGCCTCCTTGGTAGCTGCACCACATCTGTAATTTCTCCTCCCTGGGAGGATCATCTAGGGGGAAAGACCTGGTATTAATCCCTAACACAAGGTGGGCAGGGAGGCCATGTGCTGGGATAGGAATGAAAAGTGAAGCTCCCTGCTCCTCAGCTGACTGGCGTGGATCCCTTGAAGGTCCAGTTTTGATCCCTATTGTGGTACACGGGGGAGGTTTTACCCTTCCTGTTCAGTGTGCCACAATGGGGATGAACCATCATTCATCACTCATCAGATGATTTACGTAAATATGGGGGGGGGGGGGGGTTGTCTTCCCAATTGTTGTGTGTGAGGCATGGAGGTTAAAACTTCTCCATCCAGCATACCACGATGGAGATGAAAGTCAGACCATCCCTGCCCTTCAGCAGATCAACACTGTTGAACTGGGTAGGCACAGATTTCATCCTTATCCCAGTCCATGGCAAATGCTGGGAAACAGATTGAGAGACCTAGCAACCAAACTAGGCCCACAGACCAAAGGGTCCTCCATCCCTGACCTAGTCCAATAGTCTGAACCATCTGACAAAAACTTTTTTGGAGCACTATAAGAAAAAAGTGTCAATGGTTTAATGTTAAAGGTTTGAGAATATTAATCCACATTGTGTGCATAGTTACTTGCCTTAGGTTAATTCTTAATTGGTAAAAGGTGGGATATGAAAATCATGGGCAACCCAAAGATTATATTCTAACAGCTGTGCATCACTGAAGATAACACTTTCATCAAATATCATTTATTTTCGGGTATCAGTTAAAAACTGGTCCCTTCTACCTGGTAGCAATAGGTTATAGTTGAAAGCCCTCATTTCAGAACATTCTTCCATAAAACTCCACTGAACAAGCATCACTAATTTGCAATATATGATAGCCATCTTCAAATATTGAAAGGGCTGAAACATGGAAGATGGAGCAAACTGTTTTCTCCTGCTCTGGAGGGTAGGACTCAGTCCAATGGATTCAAGATACAAGAAAGGAGATTCCGACCAAACACCAGGAAGAACTTTCTGACAGTGACAGCTGTTCAAGAGTGGAATGGACTCCTGTGGGAGGTGGTGGACTCCCCTTCCTAGGAGGTTTTTAAGCAGAGGTTGGATGACCATCTTCATGGATGCTTTAGTTGAGATTCCTACACTGCAGGGGGTTGGACTAGATGACTCTCAGAGTCCCCAACTCTACAATTTTATGATTATTTATTCTTAATTACAGTACTGCAGGAAGCACTGTGTATTGTCAGCCTTAACTGACACTGCTTTTAAATGAAGAAGTTATTGCAGTTGTTTATTCCCACCCCCCAAAGGTACAGTAGTACCTCGGGTTAAGTACTTAATTCGTTTCAGAGGTCTGTTCTTAACCTGAAACTGTTCTTAACCTGAAGCACCACTTTAGCTAATGGGGCCTCCTGCCGTGCCACCGGAGCACGATTTCTGTTCTCATCCTGAAGCAAAGTTCTTAACCCGAGGTACTATTTCTGGGTTAATGGAGTTTGTAACCTGAAGTGAAAAGTAACCCGAGGTACCACTGTATACAAGCTTTGGTGGCATCATCACAGTGATGATAATTTGTTTGGGGGGGGGAGGGAAAACCTGGATTCAGCCCAAAGTATCCTATCCCATCCCAAGATATCTGACGCCATACTTCCTCTTGGAGGTGTGCAATATTTTGAGGACTATCAGTTTGAGGCATTAAAAAGAAACAAGAGCCCATTAGATAAAAGGCAGAAGATGGCACTGCATCCTCTTTGTGTGGGCTACAAAACTGCTTCCTACAACTCTGCCTCGCAGACTCTTGGAAGGATGGCTGTGGCTTCTGAGCCAATGCCACACAACTTACAGATATCAGGACACCACTGAATCCAGGCCCCAGCACCTAGTGTTTTCTTTAAAAATAAAAAATCCAGTAGCAGACAAGCATCAACCTAGAGTGCACACCCCTCCTCCCCAAGCATCTTTGCCCAGTCCAGTGAGACTTACTGCCTTACTTTGGGGGTTTGTTCTGGCTGCCTTCTATGGGTTTAGGACTGCCATACGACTGGACACTACTGGGATTTCAATGGCGGAATTGACATTGGAGGGAATTTCCCAAAAGTGGTGCTTTGTCCTGGAGTTCAGGAAAGTCAATCGAAAAATCATGGTTTTTTTCCACGCCTTTCCCTTTTAAAAAGCTCAATGATTTAGGTGGTTTCTTTTAAAAACAGCGTTCAGCAATTTGGGGTCTTCCTAAGAACTTTCGGGGTGCCCTGGTTTTTTTACTTTTCGAAATCTGGCAACCCTAGAACCCAACTGGGATTCGATTTCTCGTGCTTTCTTTCCAAGAACTTTTAAGGTGGATTTTTGCAACGGGTCCCCTTTCTATTCTCCCGAGGCTACCTATAAGCAGGAATAAAGAACCGCACGCCTTGCTTCCAGGGCCGGTTGCTTTCCGCGACCCGCCTCTGGCAAGCCAGCCGCGCAACCTCGAGCCTGCTCCGTGCGCGAGAGCGAGCCGAGCGCGAGCGAGTCGGTAGCGCCGCCGCCGCCGCGACTCCTCCAATCGCTGGTCAGGTCCCTGCCCCAAGGGGGCGGGCAGAGTCTTTGATGTCGGGGGTCCCGGGGTGGCCGGAGAGTCCGCGAAGCTGGCACCCTTCCCTCTTTGCGCGGCAGGAAAGAGCGAGGCGGCGGCGGCGGCGGCAGCAGCAGCTCTGGAGGGAGCGAACGTGGAGGGGAGGCGGCGGCAGCGGCGGCAGCAGGAGGCAGCGGCAGCAGCAGCAGCAGCAGGGCGCGCCGAACCGGCAGCGTCGCCTTTCGCGAAGAAGTCCCAGGCGAGCGGGGACGCCGGGGCGGAGAGGAAGAGGCGGCGGCGGAGGAGGAGGAAGAGGAGACGCGGCGGCGGCGGGCGCAGCGCGGGCGCCGCGGGAACATGAGGGAGCCGCGCCGTCCGAGGTCGGCCCAGCCGGCGAGCGGCTGCAGTAGCTGCCGCGGCCGCCGCTGAGGCAGCAAGGAGCGGCGCCGGAGGCGTTTGAGGCAGGCGGAACCATGCGGGGTCCGGAGGGGTTGGCGAGGCTGCTGTACCTCGCCGCCCTGCTCGTCGCCAGGACGTGGGAAGCCCGCCTGCACCCCAAGCAAGGTAAAAGAGCCGGCCGGTTCGAAGAGCGCGCCCGCCCGGGCTCGGGCACCCGCGCGAAAAGCCCCGCAGGTCCCCGGCCACTCGCCTCACGCCCCTCTCCGCCAGCAGCCGCTTTCTAGGAACCCGAGGCTTTGGCGCTGCGCTGGCGGAGGAGGAGGAGGGACAGCGGCGTGAGGCGAGCGCGCGTGCGCGTGGGGAAGGCGCCTCGCACGTGCGGGAAAAGCGCGCGGCGCGCGCTGAGGCGAAGGCAGAGCCCGGCTGGGGCTGGGCGCTTGTCTCTTTCAGGTGCATTCCCGCCTGGAAGGCCTTTTTCTCCCCGTCCTCGTACATGGTTACACTATGGCAGACAGGCCAGAGCAAAAAACATTTCAGGCACCCATAAGAAAGACATTGTTGTGTGGAAAATACTAATAAAATTCATTTATTTAAAAAAGAAAGAAAAAGAAAGAAAGACATTTGTCCTGGGTTGTGTTTGGAGTTAGTTATTCAGTGGGAAAAGAAGAGCAGTGCCTGTTCCTGCTGGCCTTCTTTTATTCTTGCATGGACGTCAGAATTAATTCATAAGCCCCTGAGGAAATAACATTTCCTCACTTTTATATCATAGGATGTGTTTTGGAATATGCTAGACCTTCAGTGTTAACTCAGCTAAGTTTTACTCCGGGTCAGCCCACTGAATTAGCATGATTAACTTAGGCTCGTTAATTTTTAGTATGTGTTCTCTGAGCAAAATTTAATCAGTTAGCACCCAATGAATGCTAGAAAGAGCCCTGAGATTTTGGACTGGTTTTATTCATCTGGTGACTTAACATCATCATTATTCAAGTTTTAAAATGGTGCATAGGAGCGTAGCCAGAAAATAGCCTGTATTGTATTGTTAGGAAGGTCAGGTATGAGTGAAGCAAAAGCCATTGTTTTTGCCCTTTGTATATTGATGATGCATGTATTGCGCCATTGTTAGTTTGTACATCTTTTTCAAACCATGACGACCGAAAGATTGAGTCAGAGAATTGGGCCGACTTAGCTTATTACTGTCTACACCAGGCATGGCCAAACTTGGCCCTCCAGCTGTTTTGGGACTACAACTCCCATCATCCCTAGCTAACAGGACCAGTGGTCAGGGATGATGGGAATTGTAGTACCAAAACATCTGGAGGGCCAAGTTTGGCCATGCCTGGTCTACACTGACCGGCAATGGATCGCCAAAGTGCTTGACCAGGGCTTTTGCCCCAATCCTATCTGGAGTTGGTGCATGTGCAGATTATTTGCTCAACCTCTCTGCTTTCAAAAGGGCAGATTGTATTGCACTGGTTTTCCCAAAGAACAGAAAGTCTAGCCTTGTCTCCTTTGGTAGGCAGCAGACTGTGATGAGGCCCATGCCTGTATCAGGAATCTGCACCATATTCAAAGTGTGTACCTTTGCTGTTTTGTTGCAGAGACTTTGGTGAAACATCTGCCGTCCTATGAAATAGTGACACCTACGCGGGTGAATGAATTTGGAGAAACTTTTCCTCATACTCACCACTTCAAAAGGAGGAAAAGGAGCATGGAGACAGGTGTGGAACCCATCCCTTTCAGGACTCACTACCGCCTCAGTGCCTATGGACAGGTATTCCAGCTGAATCTGAGTGCTGACACCAGCTTCATCGCTCCTCACTATATTGAAGTACATGTGGGGGCCACTGAAAGGCAGCCCCCCTCAGATTTGCGCCACTGCTTCTACCGTGGGCATGTTAATGCACAGGAAATGCACACAGCAATCTTCAGCATTTGTGGTGGCTTGGTAAGTACTGTGTTTCTTTCATTCAGGTTTGTTCTGTCTGAATGAGAGAGTTGACTTGTTGGACAGCTGGCTGCTGAAGTGGAGGTTTTATGGGTTGCTGACCATAAAGGAAAGAGATTCTGAAGCACTGTTGGCTTCAAATAGAGATGATATTCTTTGGGATACATATATGGCGTTTATATATAATATCTACATTTACCTTAATGGCATTCTGTCTGATATCATGAACTTTGTAAAATGCAACAAAACTGTGTTGCGGTTTGGGATTCTGGCAGTCTTCTTTTCTCTGTCCAAAGTATGATGCTGGAATTCAGTAGAGTATACCTTTTCCAATAGGGTTGCCATATGGCCTTTTTAAACAGAGTCTGGGCGGAAATCGCTTAAATGTTGGAAATCGCATAAATGTCGGAAGTGTAGATTTTGGTTAATTTCATTAAAAATAGCTGAAAAACTTGTGTTTTGTTTTCTGAGATTTTGCAAACTCAGAAGGGATTATAAAGAACCGTTGCAGCATACATGGTGTGTCACTTCAATTCAAGTTTCGTCCGTCCTACTCACTAGGGAAAGTGCTCCCCACCACTAGCAAATTGCAAGGCTTTATTCACATTTTTTAAAAACAGATTGGAAATTAAGGCTGAGAAGTGATGTATCCAAGACCATGCAACAGCCTGTGCTAGGGCTTGGAAGCAGAACTCTCAGGTCCCATGTGCTATCTGCTATCTAAAAAGTTACTGTGTTGCCTATGGGTGTGATATTTGAGCACTTTCTACAGCCAGCTAGCCCTTCTGAGCCTCGATTCATCTCCAAAAAGTGGATTCAGCATCTGCTGCTGAATAACTCAGGTCTTTTGAATTTCAGCCCGTGTTTCATATTTCCAGCTATGACTTAATTTATGTCCAAATCTACTTTTAGCAATGTCAACAGATTAACTACAATTTTAAGTTCTTTTTAAGGAAGTTTATTTGAGATCTGAGCTATGGAAGACTGAAACTCTTTGAGTGCTGGAATCTTGAAAAGAATGGGGGAATCCAGCTAATGCACTTTTGTACACTTTTTGACATAAGGCTTTACTGGTACATGGATGAATGGAGTTAAATAGACTATATTTTGCAAGCCATTTAAACCTACAAAGGCATTTCCACTGTGAGTTCCAGCTGTGTTTTGCTGCGATGGTACTTAAGGCGAACAGAGGGTTATGGAAAGGTCCATTGAGCATGTGTCCATTGAGGTCCATTGAGCATGTGTAAATGTCCTGTGAGTGCAGTTTTTGGCCACAGGAGGGCTGCTGAGAGGGGATGGGTCAGTGGCAAGAAATCCCCATGCATGAAAAGTGATGGGGTAAATGCAAAGGGTGAATGGATTGTATCCTGTGTAATTTCTGTTGAAATGATTGGCCTTCTAGTGTTTTAACTGTTTCCTAAGAACCATTTGGCTCTTTTATTGAAAGCTATTTATATTATTTCAGGGATGCAGGTGGCGCTGTGGTCTAAACCACAGAGCCTAGGGCTTGCCGATCAGAAGGTCAGCAGTTCGAATCCCCGCTACGGGGTGAGCTTCCGTTGTTCGGCCCCAGCTCCTGCCCACCTAGCAGTTCAAAAGGACATCAAGTGCAAGTAGATAAATAGGTACTGCTCTGGTGGGAAGGTAAACGGCATTTCCGTGTGCTGCTCTGGTTCGCCAGAAGTGGCTTAGTCATGCTGGCCACATGACCCGGAAGCTGTCTGCAGACAAACGCCGGCTCCCTCAGCCTATAGAGCGAGATGAGCGTGCAGCCCCAGAGTCATCCATGACTGGACCTAAAGGTCAGGGGTACCTTTACCTTTACCTTTATTTATATTATTTACACAAAACCCCTTATTTATTATTGGTATTAATCACATTAGGATTTCATTTTATTTACTATTATTTCCTAGGAAGTAGAATTGATGGTGCAATTGGTGCTTAATCTATACACATGTTTCAGTAGTTGTTCTAGTATCTCTTCCTGCCCTTTGCTGAAGTGCATTTATGGCTCAAAGTGTGTTGAGATTCATGATCTAGAGTTACGCATATTTAAGACGTGAAAGTTTGTGGCTTGCCACTTTGGCTTGTTTCCTGAGAACTATTGCAGCCCCCATTTCTCAATTTCCATACTAAGAGATACATTATGAGCATACAGTAACTTCAAAATAGGATATTGCTGTTGTGGTTTCAGTTTGTCTTATTCGTTATAGTTTAACAATGTTGTATCTTCTAGCTTTACTATTGCCTCTTATCAGTAAACAAAATTAGATTTAATAGAATCATAGAATTAATAGTTGGAGGGGACCTGGAGAGTCATTTAGTCTAATCCTCTGCAGTGCAGGAACCTCAGCTAAAGAATCCATTACTCCCAGCACATTTCTGAGCACAATCCAAAGTGTTGCTGCTGACCTTTAAAGCCCCAAAGGGCTTCGGCCCTGTATACCTGAAGGAGCATCCCCACCCCTCATCTTTTAGCCTGGACACTGAGATCCAGCTCCGGGGGCTTTCTGGCAGTTCCCTCATTGTGAAAAGTGAGGTTACAGGGAACCAGGCAGAGGACCTTCTTGGTAGTTTTGCCCACTCTGTTGAACACCCTCCCGTCAGATGTCAAGGAAATAAACAACTATCTGACTTCTAGAAAACATCTGAAAGCAGCCCTGTATAAGGAGGTTTTTAATGTTTGATGTTTTCTGTAGTTTTATAATTTGTTGTTAGCCTCCCAGAGTGGCTGGGACAACTCAGCCAGATGGGTGGCATATAAATAACATAATCATTACCATTATCATTTCATTTTGGGTGAAGAGAGAGGCAGCTCCTCTCTCTGTCACCCAATAGCATTTCTCCATCTTCACTCAAGGGACCTATTGCTTGCTTGTTCTTCCTCTTGCTTTGAACGTAGCCAAAGAAACCCTTTTTATTTGACAAATCTGAGTCTGCTACACAGAAAATCTGTAATTATCAACCTACCTGTAACCTCCCTTCCATGCTTCTTAATACAGAAGTTGAGAAATTGGGGTTGGGCGAAATGCTAAAGGGTTGGTAATGGTCTCTACCCATGACAGACACCCTCCCTCACCCTTGTTCTTCTTTCACAAGGCAGCAGAAAAAACCTAGGACACAGGTGTGGTCCTTGGCAGCCAGGACTCTAACTCTGGCTATGAGGAATCAAACTGTATCTTTATTGCCTATTCCCACCCCAGGGTTAGAGGTGATGTGAGTTGTAGTCTACCCACACATTTCCCATATTTGCTCTAAAGGCCTCTCAGGCAAAGGTAGTCTTGAATTGGCTCAGCACTTAACACCTAATGTTTAGCAGAAATCGTCCAAGCTTTTGAAGGATCGTCTAACTGATTTGGGGCGGGGGATACGTATCTTTTTCTACCCTATCTCTCTTCCCATGAGTTCCTCGTGAGTACCCACGTTTATGCCTTTGTTACCTAATGAATGTTCTGCATTCTGTTTTCATTCTACACCATATGAGGAAGTATTTCCAAACCAGACAAACCAGGATTGCAAGAGCGCCAAACCATAGTTTGATATTAAATCCAAACCAATCCATGTCTTCAGGATTTGTAAATCCTTCAAAATATCAATAACCAAGTTGTGTCATTATCAAGTGGCATCATTTTTTTGGAGTTATGGGGATGCAGTCTTATTTTGTAGAAGGCTAGTTATATTAATATCAATAATTATATAATAAGCAGTGTGAAAATGATTCCAGATGAAAAAATCTTTCCTCCTTTTGTGCCAAACCCTGATACATTAGAGAACAGTTCCTTTCATTATTGCAATTGAAGTATGAGAAGCTCCTTTGATTGATTTGATGACAATTATGTCACACAGTTTCACATATTTGTGAGGAACTGCAATGGATCATTGCTGTAAATGTCAGAGGAAGAAAAAAATAGGACTTAAAAAAGCCTACAAGAAGTTTACAAGCTAAGATTTCAAACATATTCTGAATGTGCATGCAATTTGCCTGAAAATAATCGGATATATAGTTACTTGAGTAGAGTATATTATCATAATTCTGCATTTGTCCAAGCCTGTTTATATAAACAGAGTTTATAGCAGTGGCAGGACTGAAGGTCTAGGCACCGTGACTGCAGTCCTTCACTCAAATATATGTACTCAACACTGAAATAAATGAGATACATTCATTACTGTTCACTGTGGGTTCCAGTGTGCAATATTACATGTACTTATCTGGGAGTGAGCCCCTTTTAACAAAAAGTCATTTACTTCTGAGTAGTCATGTTTAGGGGTGTACTGTTAAGAGGGCACTTCTACAAGCACTGCTTCAGATATGACAAAATTCCTCTGTGGAAAGCACATCTAATGAAAATCTATGTGTGGGTTGCCAGGTGTAAACATACCATATTATTTAACATTTTCTTCATAGAATCATAGAATTGTAGATTTGGAAGGGACCTCAAGGGTCATCAAGTCCAACCCTCTGTATTGCAGGAATCTCAGCTACAGCATCCATGACAGATGGCCATCCTACCTCTGCTTAAAAACCTCTAAGGAAGGAGAGTCCACAACCTCCTGAAGGAGACCATTCCACTGTCAAACAGCTTACATGGCAGTGTTTTTGCTGTGTGTGCATGCACACAAACACACTGAAGGGGTCCTAAGCATATGATAAGTACTTCTTGAATAAATGCTGTGGGCTAACTAGAAACATTTCTTAAAGATGTGATTCAGTCATGCAATGTGCATACGTTCTGGCATGCAGATGTTAGAAGGGAATGACTGAGAAGGGAGCTAAGGGGAAAAATGGAAATATGTATCAGTGCTGTAACCAAAGGACACAGGAGTTATTTGCAATGACACGTGTCTGATCATTTGCGGGCAGGCAGACATAATTTTGAATTCATTCTAGACGCCACAAGCTAACTACATTTTTCTAAGTTCTATATTTTTCTTTTACTTTCACTTCATTGGTCAGTTTTAGCTTCCTACAGAAATGGGCAACCAGATCTGCTGAGGATTTCAGTGGCTGCAGGTGGATCAAAATGGCCTCTTAAACATAGTCCAGAGAGGAAACAAAGAGGTAAAATATATTAATTCTTATTAAACTTAGTTGTCACCAAAGTCTGTTAAGAAATGCAGGGTGAAGTATACAATTGACCACAATACAGTCTTTCTTCAATAGGACAGTCACTATTTAAAGGGGGGGAAAGAGTCCTTTCCTAATGTAAAAGGCCTTGCTTCTTGGAGAATCTGGTGTTACTCTTGGCAGACACAATAAATCTGGTGAATCATCTACCTGTAATTAAACCAGTTTTATGGTCACATATTACCTCACTTTTCCATAGTTCCAGATGTTGTGGATCTAATTCTGCTATATGTGGTTAAGATATCTAAATGGTCCCATGATATTGCTAGTTGCTTGAAAGATACAGGGCACAGACCCGTAGACACAAATCTGCATAATATCTGCATATGCCAAGTTATATCTGTTTATGCAAATGTATAATTTAAATGTTACAAAAGGCAAGCTCACTAATTTTCGATCAGGATAACCTCTATATATTCAGTTAATTCAGAGTAAGTTCATTTGCATCCCACTCTAGTTCACCTGAAATCCGTTCATCTTTTAATTCATTTATCCAAAACTAATTTCCTCACAGGTCCTGCTCCAAATAACTCTTAATTCCATTTGACTAACACTTCTCCATCACTCCCAAATCATCTAGGAAAAGCCATCTTAAATTTATTCCCTCTAATTTATATCCTCCAAAATTCATTATCCACTCAGAAACATTTGGTTGACTCAGAAAAATACATGGGCCTTGTGCATTATGGGTCCACCCTTACTTGATCTATGTAGGTCTGGGTCTCATTTGTGTCGTCATGATATACTCAGCGAACCTTAAGGAAAGGTTACTGCACGGCGAATGATCCATTTTGTTATACAGGGTCAAAATGACTATAGTGCTGCTATTACCACTGCTGCTGCTGCTAAATAATTATTTGATACTCATAGTCTGCTAGATGCCTGTGGTCTGTAAGATCATGTTCTAAACATAGAAATGACACAGCCCTACTGAAAATGCCTTCAGACAATCTAGTAGGTGGAAAATGTGGTATTAGAATCAGGTGGCATAGTATTTGTGGCATGTCCGAGTCGAAAGCTGGATATTTCTCCTGCAGGAGCTGTTATTCTGTCCAGTTTTGACAAAACAGTATGAATTATTTCTTTATTTCTTTATTAAACAACCTTCATGAAAAGCAGTGAGCATACAGTCTTCAGCATTGATGAGAGTCTGATGACTGAGTTACTTCTCTACAAGAAAACACATTTCCAGTGTTGTGGCTTCATAATTTAAAATCTAGGAGGTGCCACTTTAGTAAAAGATGCAATATTTATTGTTTGCGAGGTCTGCTAGGAGGTTTTGTTCTGTGGTGTCTTTGTAGTTCTCCATTACAGAAAATGTTAGGGCTCAAGATTTATGTCTAAATGGTGTTTGTGATACCATAGGTCAGGATCGCATTGTTAGTAATCATTGCAATTTTTAGTTGAGTCCATAATTTTGAATTAGAAAATTTTCCTAAGTAAATTTGCATATAGTAATTTGTATTGTAGATTTTCAGTTTTCATTGGAAAAAGTTCTGAGACCCTAGAAGGTTATTTACTTCAGCATGTTTGTTTTATTTGTACTGTATTTCGTAAACAAAGCTAACTACTTTGTAACTAACCGTATTGCATAATATTTATTTGCAATTCATACCCATTCATTGTTACTGAGGAACTTCAAAAATGGAGAATTTACCTTGGAAAAATAAAGCATTGGGAAATTTTCTGCTACACATGACTGGCTGCAACTGAGTGTTGCTCTTTCCCCCCCAAGTATTAGCAGCTATTTTATCAAATAATAAAAATAAAGGCACTGGTGGGAATTACTCCAGTGATGAACTCCATATTTGTATTAACTGAGAAAAAGAATACCTGTGACTGACTTTTTTCTGTAGATAAGGATAACACATTATGATGAAGTGGGTTTTTGCCCATGAAAGCTTATACCCCAATAAAGCTGTTAGTCTTTAAGACACCATAAAACTCTTTGCTGTTTTTGCTAGAACACAATTATTGCTCTAGAATTAAGAATTTTACAAACATTTTCACACTAATCTTTACTGCATGGTATGTTTTGCTTGAATCCTTTTGTTTATTTTGTTTCAGTTTTGAATTGGTGGGCTGTGCATCAGAATTTTATAACCGCTTGATTGTAAAAACCCTCAAAGTATTAGGAATTGCTTTAAAGACTATTTGTGAAGTTGCTTTCAATTTCACAACTTTTGTTGTTGAAGCTGTTAGCCACAACAGTATTAGATAATGCACACTATAACGTAACGAACTATATATTTTCACTTTATACAGTAGAATTAGTGTTGGAGTTATGTGAGACTTCATTAAAGTAGTAGTAGTTGTAGACAGAAAGCTGTTGTAACAAACTAGTTGATGTAAGAATTTTACATGAATATATGTGGGTAACAACTTGCTTATCATTTAGTATTTGAGTTAGTGATTGCGCCTAACTTACATATAGAACCAATTATATAGTAATAGTTTAGGGATATACTCAGTAAATAGTGTAATTATATGTCCCTAGGTGGCACTGAACTTTGCGGTATCTGAGCGGACTCAGGAATTTCCTGTTGCTGTTTTGATATTGTTGAGGAGAGATGATACATTTCTTATGTAGCTTATTGACTGGTCTAAGCCTTCCATGACATGCATTGCAAGGCAGTAAGAATACCAGTATTACTGGGCATACTGGGAACTAGTTTAACCAGTGAAGCTCTTGGCAATAAGTTGTGAAGTGTCTGGGGATGGGGCTTCTCTGTGTGACCTGGAAATATATGCATGACAAGATATGTGCAGTTTGACTGATGTGATTATATGAGTCATCAAAAAAGCAAGAAGTGGAAGAAAGACTTATCGAATAAATTTATTTATTTAAGAGTTTTGTGTACCACCTTTTGGCAGTAGCCCCAGTGTGGTAAATGGTGTCAAAAGTCACCAAGATGTCAAAGAGGACCAACATTTTTATTGCCTGTTCCTCCCCCAGCACAGGGCACCAAGCAGTTTGAGTACCCCAAACCAGACTTGAAACCAGATTGAAAATCATTACTGTCCAAGCTGAAGCTGCCCCATCATCACCTTTTGGGTGTAGATGAAAGTGGCTTTGGGGAAGTGACCTCATGGGTCTATTAGGGTCCCATGCCCAGTTACATTTGGCTAATAATAATAATAAGAAGAAGAAGAAGAAGAAGAAGAAGGCTGATCGCTGAAGAATTGATGCTTTTGAATTATGGTGCTGGAGGAGACTCTTGAGAGTCCCATGGACTGCAAGAAGATCAAACGCATCCATTCTTAAGGAAATTAGCTCTGAGTGCTCACTGGAAGGACAGATTGTGAAGCTGAGGCTCCAATACTTTGGCCACCTCATGAGAAGAGAAGACTCCCTGGAAAAGACCCTGGTGTTGGGAAAGATTGAGGGCACAAGAAGAAGGGGACGATAGAGGTCGAGATGGTTGGACAGTGTTCTCGAAGCTACAAACATGAGTCTGACCAAACTGCGGGAGGCAGTGGAAGACAGGAGTGCCTGGCGTGCTCTGGTCCATGGGGTCACGAAGAGTCGGACATGACTAAATGACTAAACAACAACAACAACAACAACAAATAAATTAATAATAATAATAATAATAATAAATTAATTAATTTGTACCCCACCCATCTGGCTGGGTTTCCCCAGCCAATCTGGGCGGCTTCCAACAGAACACTAAAATACAATAACCTATTAAACATCAAAAGCTTCCCTAAACAGGGCTGCCTTCAGATGTCTTCTAAAAGTTTGGTAGTTATTTTTCTCTTTGATATCTGGTGGGAGGGCGTTCCAGAGGGCAGGTGCCACTACCTAGAAGGCCCTCTGCCTGGTTCCCTGTAACTTGGCTTCTCGCAGCGAGGGAACCGCCAGAAGGCCCTCGGCGCTGGACCTCAGTGTCTGGGCAGAACGATGAAGGTGGAGACGTTCCTTCAGGTATACTGGACCGAGGCCATTTAGGGCTTTAAAGGTCAGCACCAACACTTTGAATTGTGCTCGGAAGCGTACTGGGAGCCAGTGTAGGTCTTTCAAGACCGGTGTTATATCACCTTGGCGGCTGCTCCCAGTCACCAGTCTAGCTGCCGCATTCTGGATTAGTTGTAGTTTCCGGGTCACCTTCAAAGGTAGCCCCACGTAGAGCGCATTTCAGTAGTCCAAGCGAGAGATAACCAGAGCATGCACCACTCTGGTGAGACAATCTGCGGGCAGGTAGGGTCTCAGCCTGCGTACCAGATGGAGCTGATAAACAGCTGCCCTGGACACAGAATTGATCTGTACCTCCATGGACAGCTGTGAGTCCAGAATGACTCCCAGGCTGTGCACCTGGTCCTTCAGGGGCACAGTTACCCCATTCAGGACCAGGAAGTCCCCAACACCCACCCGCCTCCTGTCCCCCCAAAACAGTACTTCTGTCTTGTCAGGATTCAACCTCAATCTGTTAGCCGCCATCCATCCTCCAACTCCTCCAATAGACAAGAAGTTTGCCGCCCCTTCCTTAGGCAAACAAGTAAAACCGTCCTGAAATGTGACATTCTTCTTCCACGGAGTGTTGTTCTGCCATTTTGTATTCTCCTGTTTTAAGTCTTGTTTATTTAATATAGCCTTCAGCAATTGTTCCTCTTTTGGTAATATTTAAAGATCTCACATTCATTCCAAAGGATCTATTCAGTTTTTTCATTCATAGAATTTTGAACTGATTATATTAACAGATAGTAAAGTTAGAAGGGTAACGGTATTATTGTATACATGAGTACATGCACAAAATTTCACACTCATTTTGCAAAAGCGTAATGGCTTGGCACCAGAAAGCCCTGCACTCCTGTATATACGCGTTAATCCTATTATGTGACCTGGTTAGTAAAACTGACTTTGCTGTCCAATGCTAAATGTTGCTTAACCCAATTTTTAGGCTAGTGGCTAGGTTCAGAACATGATCCAGGGTAAAATCTATACATTGTTCTTTTTGTGCCTGGCAGGTTTCAGTGGATTGCCTCCATGTTTCCTTTTGTGTGCGAGTTTAATATTGTTTTTGTTAAGCATGAGCACAGGTTATTGTTTTCAGAGTCAGCACACCTTCTTGCCAAACTGTAAAATGTTTTCAACACATCATTTTTCTATCTCTTTAACTTGGAGACTGAGAAGATCCTTCCAGCATGCATTCTATTATTTAGTATGCACAAATGAAAGGGCTTTTGTCCCCTTCATGCATGTACAATTCCTATTGAAGTAAAAGAGGTTTAAACTTGTAGATGGAAAGGCAGAATTTGACCTCATGGCTATGTAGTGGGCTTTAAAGCAGCCTTTGATAGAGTTGTGGTCTGTTGCTCTACAAAGGAGTATTTGACTTGATTCAACTGATGATTTATCCTGGAGTGCTAAGCTTGTTTGTTATGTGCTTTTGTTTACAGCACATTGCATTCACCGTTTTATCACATAGTGCAGTGATATTAAAATTCTATTTGAAGTGAATGCATTTAGAAACGCAGCCTCCCTGCCCCATCATGTATAATTCTTTATAAACAGCAGGGGTAAGAAACCCTTGGTCCTCTCTCAATAGGCAAATTGAGACCTTCGCTCACTTGCCATGTGGGTTCTTGCAAGGTCACCATAGCCTTTATTAATCTGATCCTGCCTTTTCTCTCTCCGCTGATTCCCATGCATGTCCTAGTAGGCTGTGTCAGTCAGGAATGAGAGTTTCTGGGGGACATGAACAAAGCTTGGTTTATTAATGTTTTCTGATGAGAGAACCTGGCTGCATAAGCAGCTGTGTGGGCCAGAGTGTATTGAGTCATAATTCACCAAAATCCAAAACCTATTTAAAAGAGTTACTGCTGAAAACAGATAGAAAAAAGATATCTCTTGTTTGTATGGGGAAGAGGAATGCAGGAGTCTTTGTTTTGCCTCATTCTGGGAAGAAAAAGAGGCAACTTGTCTATTTTGTTCCATTCTTAAAATTATGACTTACAGATAGATCAGTCAATAAGGTAGGCATCTCCACCTTACCTTTGTGCATACCTGGGATATTTATTTTGAAAATAGCAAGATAGTTTGTGCAAGTGTATGTTTATTTGTGCGTGTGCTAGTGCAGAAGTGTGTAACCACCTTTCTACAAATGGTCTTTAGCCATTCGAATATGTTTTTCCTGTCTTCATATAATCCATAATACTGTAAAGCCATTTCAAAATCAATGTCAGGTTTTTTTGGTCATTATGACTGAATTGGGATGTCATAGTTCCCCTGCTGCAGACTTGCCAGTTGTGTGTGTGTATGCCATCTTGAGCAAACACTCTTTGCCTGTGTAGATGATGACAAAACACTTATCTGAAATAGCTGTTCATGTCTTCATCATGTTTAGAGTTACATGGCCTTGGAACTTGTTTATGTTCACTGGTTATAATGTTTTAATTGTAGAAATGCCATGCTGAAGATACTGGATGGCCAAAACTAACGTATTATTTATTGCAAGCATTTATAGCCTGTTCTTCATCCAATGTTTCCAGGGCGGAAAATACAAATACAATAAGACAACAACAAGATAAACAAAAATCAACATCATCAATAAACAATTGATAGTAAACATCTGCGATAAAACCGCAGCAACAAAATCAGAAATCAGGACAGTGCGATAGAAGGTGCTATCAGTACCTAATGTACTTTATCCCTCCTGAAAGGCCTGAATGAGTAGGTGTATTTTCACCTGTCAGCAGACGTAAGAGCATGATGCACCTCAGAGGGGTGACCTCATTCTATCAGCACCGAACCATCATCTTGGACTCAGCTACATTAGTCGAAAAACAGCATTTCAAATGTGTTATAAGCATGCAACACTAGTTGATGCTGTGAGCACAAAGCTTTTCTATGTAATTTTACATAGTGTGTTTTTTTCTTTTGTTATAACGATTTAAATTATAGCTTATTTATAGTGGTTTCTGCCCCTGTGTGTAGATCCATCCCTCATTGAAGTACATATTTTCAAAGGAAAAACTTTACCCATAAGTTCATACTCTTGGATTTATAACCTTCAAAAATGCTTCCTGATTCTCTGAATGCATTAATTTTCCAGTTCTTGGTTCCAGAATAATATTTCATTTACTGGACAACCCTTTATTCAGCTTTATATTTTTGTTCAATAATCCTGATCAGAGACCACCAGACTCTCTAACATCCTCTTCAAGCTTGCTCTGGCTGAAGATTTGTTATTGTTAATCAGCCCCATCTTCCTCTCACCTGGGGGTCATTATACAGTGACTGACAATTCCCCAAGAGCCATCTTTCAATTACTTACAGCTGTCCTTGGAGGCCCAAGTCTACCAAAACCCATGGCAGCCTGCCATAGCTACTTTTCTGAGTTTTGTTTCACATAAATCTCACAGTATTACAAAATGAGCAGCCAGCAATTGCTGTTACATAAACTGCAGTTTTCCAAGTTCTTGGAAGAATTAAGGCTGAAGAATTGGACTCAGTGGGATATCCTCTTGCTTGGGAAAATAACAGACAAGTCAAAAAGTGGAAGCAGCAAGAAGGCAAGAGAAGAAGCCTTGCTGGATATAAGCAAAGAAGTAAACAGGATGCTTCCATACCATCAAATGAAATAATTTTCTCTGCTGATGAAAATAAAAGAACAAATACAGTGGTACCTCAGGTTACATACGCTTCAGGTTACATACGCTTCAGGTTACAGACTCCGCTAACCCAGAAATAGTCCTTCAGGTTAAGAACTTTGCTTCAGGATGAGAAGAGAAATCGTGCTTTGGGGGCGCGGCGGCAGCAGGAGGCCCCATTAGCTAAAGTGGTGCTTCAGGTTAAGAACAGTTTCAGGTTAAGTACGGACCTCCGGAACGAATTAAATACTTAACCCGAGGTACCACTGTACCTGATGTCCAAGATGGAAATGATGGAACTTATGAATTGACTTTAGGAAAACCAAGTAAACCTTCCACTTCTAATAAAAAGGCAGAGTACAACATCATTAGAAATACATAATGTTGCTATGCAGAGCATCGGATAGGGTGTTAGCCTTCGTGCCACAGCTGCTATCACCACAACCACCTTTATGGATGCTGGCTTGATCACTGAGAGGACAAGAGATTTGAGTTTATCACAATAAAGTCAAGAGACCCCAATAAAAAGTTATGTAGTCTCTGGATCAGGAATTGGATCATCTTTGTCAGAAGGGTGAAAATGACTGCATCTCCTCTGATGGTCACAAAGATACTGCTAAAGTTATGCTGAAAGCAGACAATTCAAATCAGCAGTTCCCCATTTCCCCGGCATCAGAACAGCATTATTCTGTGTGCAGTGAACCAGGTGAAAGATATCTCTACTTTTCGCTCTGGAAAAAGGCTCAAAGAGAGAAAAACCAGCTGGTTATTGCTAATGATCTTGTAGATATTATAAAGACGAAGGGCATTGGTAAGAGCCTGCAGGCCATTGAAAGTGATTCTACAAATGCTAACATGGCTGGGACCATGTTACCATGCAGTGGATACAGGTCAAGATTGGTCGTAAGCTTGATCTGGTTGGTTTGTGCTCTCCACACCAATGACTTACCCTTAAGACACTTGATCACAACACTTGATGGGAAGACCTTATCTAACAACAAGTGGACAGGTAACATTGGCAAGATACTAGACACTTCTACATAACTTGAAATTGAGCTTTCATTCACCAAACTCTCAATTGGAGAGCCTCTTACTTCACTGATTGACAATGTTGTAAAGGATCTGTCTACTGATCAAGCATACAGGTATCAGATCACACATGCAATAAGGATAGGAAAACTTCCCACAGATCTGGCCCTTCTTGAAATTGGTTGAACGAGCCATTCAAGGTGGTTAACAACAGCAAACAAGCTTTCCTGCATATGAGTTTCAAAACATGGCCTTAAAGGCAAAACCCTCAACAACTTAAGACTGATAGTGGAATACGTGGTTTGTATGTACTACCCCTGCTGGTTCAACATCAAAGTAAAATATTATTGGGTGGAAGGCCCACACCACATTGTGTTTCAGCTGCTGCAATTTAGGCTGCAAAAGCAGGCTATAGTGGATGCTGTTTTGCCAACCATCCAGAGCTCAGCATGGTATGCATTCAGCATAATAATAAATCAGACACTCTTGTCCTCAGGTGACATGAATTCTCACTGACCAAAGTTTCTAGAGAAAATGAAAAGGTTCATAAAGCAAAACTATAATACCTTAACACACATTTCAGTGTTGTTATAAAATAAGAATGTAGATCTGTAATTGTACTACTACAGAGTTCCAGGCAGGAATAAATAGTGCAACTGTTTCTAGAATTTCGTGCCTGGTACATCAGAAGCATTTTGTTCAGTTCCAAAAAATGCTATAAATGAGAGCGATTAATTTAATTTACATTCTTAGTATACAATAATTAATTTTAAAAGTTAGATATGACACTCAGATAAAGGCTCTTGTAGATGACTGGTGTAACTATCTGCAGTACAGTCACTTGTAAATTAGCAGAATTTGCAACTCACTTATTCCGATGATAATTTAATTTGTTAATTGATGTGTTTAACCCAGATTCCACTAAATATGCAATACTTTTTCTAGAAATAATTTCATTAGAATTGTAAGCTTTGGTTTCTAATCTACATTTATCTTTGCTTTCTTGAAACGACCTACAAGTATAATAATGAAATCCTGGGCATGTCTTCTGGCTTCCATGTGTTCGGAAGTTCCTGGACATAGATGGGATTCGTCCATCGAAGAGATTTCCTTCCACCCCCTCCCCCCAAAAAAGAAAAAGCTCAACAACTTTGCAAGCAAAAAGAAAAGAAAAAGCGTTCGACAACTTTTGTGTCTGGATTTTCACTTTTTGAAATACGACAATCCTATAATAAGTTTGTTGGCATGTATTAGCTCTAGAATTACTACAGTTATCCAAGGAACGGTGGGAGTGAACAAAGGAACCATAATTGATTACCTGTGGTCACCATGGTAGGCACAGAAAGTACCATCAAAAGTTGATAGGGCAGACATTTGAATGTGTTGCCGCCGCCGCCACGGGGGTATGTGTGTGTGTGATTGACCTGATGTTATCTAGAATCATAAAAGCAGTTGGGCAAGCCTGGGTTGATTTTGGTCTGATAAATGCACATATCCCTGGAGCTCAGCATGAACTTTCCCCCAAATAGCTCAAAAACATCTCCTTTTTTTATTTGGATTTTGCCCCCCCCCCCACCTTTTGTGTCCAGTTTTTCACTTTTTGAAATACGGCAACCCTATATTGTTCATTCCAACATACTCCCAGGTAAGTGCATATAGGATTGCAACACCAGTGTTTCAGCATCATCAAAAAGCTTGAAATCCCAGTTTTGCCTGTAAGGTTTAAAGGTAAAGGTAAAGGGACCCCAGACTGTTAGGTCCAGTCGCGGAACGACTCTGGGGTTGCGGCACTCATCTTGCTTTATTGGCCGAGGGAGCCGGCGTACACCTTCCAGGTCATGTGGCCAGCATGACTAAGCCATTTCTGGCAAACCAGAGCAGCGCACGGAAACGCTGTTTACCTTCCCGCCGGAGCGGTACCTATTTATCTACTTGCACTTTGACGTGCTTTTGAACTGCTAGGTTGGCAGGAGAAGGGACCGAGCAACAGGAGCTCATCCTGTTGTGGGGATTCAAACCGCCGGCCTTCTGATCTGCAAGTCCTAGGCTCTGTGGTTTAACCCACAGCGCCACCCGCGTCCCTCCTGTAAGGTTTAAGGACCATTAATTCATATAATAATTAATGCAACTGTGATTACTTTTTAAAAGGCATTAACCTACTCACATTTGGGTTGCTGCAGCTTCTCCAGTGACACCTTCTCTTTCGTTTTCAGATGGGCACATTTAAGTCCCATGACGGTGAATACTTTTTGGAACCTTTGATGACAACAGCTGAAGATGAACAAGAAGATGACCATAATAAACCACATCTAATATATAAACATGAAGAATTTAAGAAAGATTCTTATCAGAATTCCTATAAACCTTGTGAAACTTCAGGTACAACTAAATTTTAAACAGTGATGGACAATATATTTATTATCTTGTTAGAATCACAAATGGTTTGTTGATATTATCCCATGGTGATACTAGTCTTCATCAAGATATGCTTGTGTTTCTCTATCATGTTGGTGGTGTTGGGTAAGATGCTGTAAGTCAGGTGTAGGGAACCTTTATCCCTGCAGATGCTGGTCATTGGTCATGATTACAGGGGAGATGCTGTAAGTCAGGTGTGGGGAACCTTTATCCCTGCAGATGCTGGTCATTGGTCATGATTACAGGGGCTGATGGGAGTTGTAGTTCTGCAACAACTGGAGGGTCAAAGGTTCCCTATACCTGCTGTACATAATTGTTGAAGATGAAGGGTGTATCTAAGTAATGAATTCACATTTAACAGACTTGTTACCACATAGAATTCTAGGAATTGGTATCAGACAGAGAATTATGTTAGAGAGCCTCACCTTTTTTCACAAAACTGCATTTCCCATTTCCTGTGGAGCAGGGAAAGACTGTTAAACTAGTTGAAGTCTGCAGTGTAGCTGTCCCCTCAGGATCTGTGCTGAAGTGACATGATCTGCTACTGCTGGCATCTAAGAAAGGTTGGCTGGTTAGTAAAATACGGCTGCTCTGATCTGTACTCAAGAAACCTGACCAGCATTTTCTTCCATGTTCTTTATTAGATGCTCCATCTTAAAGGCTGCAGTGTCCTTTGGTATGATTGGACTAGAGCTGTTTTTAAAAATTGTATTGTGTATTTTAGTTCCAGAGGAGAGTGGCGCTTGCATGGAGAATACCAAGCAGGGTTTAATTGCAGAATCAGGTTGGATAAAGTTCTTGTTTAGCTTTAGAAATTTAATTGGAAGATGTGAACAGGCCATTTTCTTCCTTCATTTAGTCTTACATGGCTTCCTTTCATTAAAAGGCTTTGCAGTCTGGAGGTGTGTCGTGACACTTGGCTGATCAGGCATCAGATAATGCCAAAATACTCTCTCCCTCCCCCCTACCCCCGCCATGTTTGGTTGGCTACTGAACAGTGTCCATTCCTTTTCCAGGAATTGGACCTAGCATTTCCAGTAATTCCTATGTAGTGGAAATTTGTATGATTTTCAATTAGATAACCTGGGACTGTTATTAAAAATGGATAAGCGTTTGTTTGCTTTTTGAAGGAAAAGGCTTATGTTTATAAGTTTGGAAACAGCAAAAATGGTAGATACGTGCTGTTGTTTTAACATATGGTCTCTGAGCAGCATCTCTCTTAACTAGATCACATGTGTTTTTGAGAGTTGGCACCGTTGCCAAGCGCTCAGCCTAGGGCTTGCATACAGATTAAGAATATTCTGACAATTGTGAATAATGTAGAATGCCTCTTAAACAGTATTTTGTGAAGTAGGGCGGTAGAGAGAAATGAAGGCAGCATGCTTTAGGATATACTTTGGCCTTTCAATTCTGCTTTGATGAAGCAAGATTGGCAATTTTCTGCAATTCATCATGTGCAGAATTGTTTCTTAATTTGATACATAGGACATAATTGTGAGGATCTTGCTGTTGAGTGCATTTTGTTTAAAAAGGCATTTCTTGTATACCGCGATTCCTCTTATGGTTAGGGAAAGAGGCAGCATTGTACAGGGAGTGGAGTTTCTGTGTCCAACATAACTATATGCCAATGCTACCTCCCAACATCACCTGCCAATCAGACTTTTCCATTGCCTCCTCAAATTACTTCTCCATTTTTTACTCACCCTGCTGCTAGAAAATGGAAAAATCCAAATCCCACAAAATCACAACTATTGAGTTCAAAATAATGCATAATAAATTCTGGGTGTTTATGCAGACCTAAGCCTAAGATTTGGCTTAATGTTGCATCTTAATTCAGGATCTTGGCTTATCTCTCTCCAGACAAAGCAGGAGTCGTACAAGGGCTTACTAGGGTTTACAAGGGCTGTGCATTATGTAGCCTATTGAGATTTTTGGTTGTTATGTCATATTTGTGACTAATCAAACTCAGATTGCATTAAATTAAATCTATGGCACCGCCTTCTGTTTGTGGTGTCACTCTTCTCCACCTGCATCAGAGCAACATCTGCTTCTCTATCCTTTACATTTGTCACCCCCTGGTGTCCACCCTGCAGTATAGCTGTTTAAAAAATTATGGCTGCAATCCGATACACATTTACGGTAACTGGAAATCTGTTCCATTGAACTTTGTGGGATTTAGACAGTGCGAGTAGACCTCTATCGGAATTTTTATTGCATATATAATAGTATCATAGGTGGTCAAGACATATAATACCAGTTTTGCAAAGTGAGTCTTCAGATTTAATGTGTTCATTCATGGAAAACTAGGTAGGGAAGTGTATGTTTAGCAAGAAGATTGTGTCACCTTAGGAAGGTCTGTGTGGTGCAATCCCATGTGTATTTTTTGAAGTATTTTTGTGTAGATTAGGCAGTGTTGTTAGTTCTTCACTGTTTCATATGAGAGCAATTGTTTCTTCTTATAAGAGTAATTATTTCTTCTTGTGCAGTTTTTTCAACATCTTAATTTCCAAGCCATGTTCATCACTGTGCATTACTGCCATTTCTTTAGGAAAGTCTCTCCCCCCCCCCCCATATAGCTAGGTAGGAAGGCAGTTTTATAAGGATGCAATACTTGTAGCTTATGACTTTATAATTCACAGTTTATCAGTCTGCCATTTTTGTGTCTCATTTTTTATTTTGAATTTTGCGTATCTTTAATTTCACTGGCCAGTTGTTTTTATATCACTGCATCTCAACCATTTTTTTTTTTTGTTCCCTAATGCTGTGATTGATAACTCCACATTGTGTATAAATGGGTTGTATCTTCTCAACCTCTTGTTCTGTGAAAAGAAACCTTTTTGCTAAGCCATTGAACTAAGCAGAAAAAGATTCACAGTACATAAAACATTGGTAGCGGGTACAATAGCACCAAGAGGGGTACTCTTGTTAAAGTTTGTTTTGAGGGAAATTGAAACTTGGAAAAAAGAAAGGTGGTAGACAATATTCCATAAGCATTACACACTTGAAGAGGCACACTATGTACTGGATAACAGCCAGCAGTGAAGAGGCCTGTTTAAGGGTTGCTGTCTCCACACACAGGTGTTGCCATATGGTGTCTGGATTTCTAACCAATGGGTTTTGGAATAACACTTTTGTTCTTATTGTGCATGTGTTATGTAGCAAATGCCAAGTTTCAGAGTTGCTTTATCCACCGAGAACAACAGAAGTAGAGCGTTATAGGAAAGCCTTCAGGCAAACTTGCAAGTTTAGGACATCTTTTCTTTTGGTATTCAGCATCCCCATCTTTGTTTGGAATGGGATGAAGAATATGAGCAAGACTGATTCAGGCTTCTTTTTCAGTGCTGGGGATTGTTGGCCTTGTTCCCATGCATCCTGGATCTTTATAAGGTGCCTGTAGGCAATTATTGACTGGCAGAGAAAGAGCTAGTGTTGCCCAAATAGCCCAAGCAGAAATTTTAGCTATTGAATGTAGTAATGACATTGAATGTAAACGAATTTCTATGCTAGCCTGACTCTGCTTATTGGCATACATAGACAAGTGAGCATAGATTAGTTTCTGTTCTCTTTTGGACAGATTGGTAACATTCCAATCTTCTTTTCTATCTGTTCCCTTGTTTGTACAATGGTGCCCAAAGCAAGAAAAGCAAAAAGGGCAGAACTGAGTTCCTGTGCGTGCAAAGGGTCCTCTTAAGTATGCAAGCAAATCCCATTGCTGATATATATATATATATATATATATATATATATATCAGCATCAGCAATGGGATTTATATATATATATATAAACTATCCCCCAAAATGACCTGAAAGAGGTCATAGGGACTGAGAAGTGTGCATGTGAAGCAACAGAGAGCTCAGGTGTGAGCCCGCACATGCCAGAATTCAGAGTTAACACCTAAACAAAGCAGGTTACTTGTTTCTTCAGCCTAGCACATAAAGGGCAGAGGGTGGAATTGAAATCCAAACAGACAAAAACTTACGTTCATTCTTCAAGCCAATTCCCCCACTTTCTGTGTGATCCTTTAAGCTGCAAGGGGACTGCAAGAAATATGTTTAGCATTAGGGTGTTAGCCTTGCAAATTGTATGTGCAATAGTAATTGTTCGTTTTTATTTTGCAGAAGAGCCAAAGAAAAGCACTTTACTATTTCCATATGAGAGCAGCTTAATGAAAGACATAAATGTACTTCAGGAGCACACAGTTGTAGAATATGCTTCTAAAAACCTTTCTGTCGAGAGTGATAGAAACAACCCACATTCCCGGAGGAAACGTTTCCTTTCCTATCCAAGATACGTAGAGGTGATGGTTACGGCTGATGCCAGAATGGTTCAGCACCATGGACGGAACTTGCAGCATTATGTATTAACACTAATGTCAATAGTAAGTAAGCCTATATTATTACAGATGTATTCCAACAGGTACTTGAGGAGAATTAATGTTGTATCCCTGTCAGCCTGCAGGGACCAACGTAGAGCCCAGACAACTGTTCCAGGCTTCCCCGTCATTGTTTTAAGCAACGTAACATTTAGACTGCAACCTCCAGAATTGTGATCAAAGGCTTTTTGTGTCCCCCCCCCCAATGGCAACCTTTCCCTACCTGATGACATGTTGCGGTGTATCCATGAGCCTATGAGTGCAATTTGCCTGGTCTTCCTCCAGGCCAGAAGGAGAGTTGGAGAATTAGCCGAACATGCCCCCCAGCTTGAACAGCCTTGTGAGATAGGGGATTTCACAGTTACAGAGCAGAAGATTTGCACCTGCACTCCAGCCTCTTGCTGCCAGGATTCCATAATGCAAACATTTTTAATTTGGAGAAAAATTGACTCTCTTTTGCAGGAAGGGGTTATAGAGAGGAAAGAAGTAGGCTTCTGTATACCTCAGGGTTCCCCTGTGTATGCAGAAAATACCTTGTTTGTGAATGTCCAGTTTTGCTTCCAAGCTGATTGGCATAGGCTCACACATTTTGCTTTTAGAAGGAATGATATGGCTATTCAAGGAAAAAAAACCCATTCATTTGGGCTAGCATAGTAACCTGGCAGAAGCCCAGGCAGCTCTTTGGATCCAGGCCCATATTACTTGGTTGGCTGTATCCAGTGACAAATTCTTTTTGACAGTAAATTTGGTTCTAAAAATGATGTCAGGGGAATGTTGAGCCCCAGATATCCACAAATGCTGTGAATACATATAATGTCAGATTTGCTTCTACTAATCTGTTATGTACAGTTCAGACCAATATGGATTAAAATAAACCTATTTCATTTCATTTAAATTAAAGAACTTTGGCTTAACTGAGTTGTGGATGAGGTCTACATCTAAGACAGTTATGGAACTTACGTTTGTGTGTGCGTGTCTCTGTGTGTGTGTGTGTGTGTATAAGCATAGATATGATCTCATAAGAATTATTTTTGCCTTTATTCAATAGAAAAATAGGAACTTAACCCAGTATACAGGCGTATTAAAATACTTGCTGCACCTAGAAAATAACTAGATTTTTTGGAAGGGGAGAGATTTGAATACTATGCCAGAGGTTTGCCATAATACATGACCTTTTCCTGGTATGGCAAGAATGTACCAATAGTTTCTCAAGTTTGATGGGTTTGTCCCATTGATGACAACAGGACAATTAGCTAATTTTCATATTACATTTGCCCTAAATAACTGTCTCGCTGATTCTGACTGGGAATTGGCATTCAAGTGGCATTTGTTAGTTTCCCTGCTTGTGTGTATATTGCAGTTAGAGAAAATATGACATGAAAATTGGTTCAGACAGTGCAACCCAATGCTTCATTATTCCTAAGTAAGACCCACAGTATTCAGTGGGGTTTGCTGCCTGGAAAATATGGATAGGATTGCATGCTAAATCAAATAGGGCAGAGGAGTTGAATGAATGCTCAATGCAATGTTGGATTCCACTGAATGTACAGTACCATAGAATTTTAACACTCTGGCTTTTATTTATCTAGGTTGCTACAATCTACAAAGATTCAAGTATAGGAAATCAAATAAATATTATGATTGTAAAATTAATTGTAGTTCACAATGAACAGGTAAGAAAACGCATTCATTTCGCGATTCAGAATAACTTGCTGCAATTTTCAGTTTTAACGTGTACTTTCAGAAGTTAATGCTTTTAAAAGTATTGAAGTGAAATGCTTCAAATGAGATTTGCTAGCTGCTCTGCCAAGTATTTTGTACATACATTGCAGGCAGACAGGCTGGTGTAAATGTTTAGAATTGGGATCTAGCTATTAATACTGATTAACATGGCCAGGTTTATTATTTATCGGGGGGGGGGCTATTGGGTTGTTGATTTTATTTTGATTATATTTTTTGTGGTTTTATATTTTGATTTTATTCTGTGAGCCGCCCTGAGACCTCCGGGTATAGGGTGGTATATTATTGTTATTAATAATAATAATAGATAATATTTTAATGCTGACCAGGTTCAGCCTTGACCCTGCCAACTAGTCTTTCTGGTCATCAACTTGCTCAAAATTCATACAGATATGTACCATTGAGATATCTTTTCCAGAGCTGGTCTTACGTTATAATACAACTGCAACGGATTTAAACTTGCCATCCTTGTTTTGTCTTGGCAACTTATGTACAGGAAGGACCAGCTATCAGTTTTAATGCAGCTACCACTCTTCGCAACTTCTGTTTATGGCAGCAAACACAAAACATTATGGATGATGCTCATCCTTCCCACCACGATACTGCAGTTCTTATCACTAGGTACAGTATCTGAGAAAACTCATTTTTCATTACTATCCCTATTCCATAAAATTACTGCATAGAAGTACCATTGGGCCCTTTTAAGCTTTGTGTGAACAATCAGGATTAAGAAGAGGAGGAGGAATTTGCAAATAAGAGGGAAGGGATATTGAGAAGGAATGCATAAACCCCTGATCTGCTTCCAGTTTTTGTCTAGTTGAGGAGTGGCTGATATTACACCTGTAACCATGTGGGGCATGTTCTCTTGGAATTTAGTGCCATTGATCTTAATAAAAAAGATGTATGCATAGGGTTACAACGAGGCACCTTGATCCCAAGGTGCTGCTTTACTGCAAGTACATCTTTCAGAACCAGTCAAATGGGGCACCTGCCCATTAAAACCATTTAAATTTTGATGAAAGAATTCCATTTGGGAGGGGGATTCAGAAAAGTATGTATAGGTATCTAGAATATGTTTTCCCTGTTGTTTTTAAGACCGAAATTTTCATAGAAAACCTTTGTTTCTTTAAGGGAAGATATCTGCAGAGCTAGAGAAAAATGTGACACCTTAGGTAAGTTAAAGCAAAAAGATGATCATGCAATTTTCCTGCAAATAAGAACAATTGTTGTTTTAAATGGTAAATGAGTATTTAATGTAATTTATCTTGTTTTGTAAACTTTTTGAACATATTTTGAACCTCTTTAAGCATATGGTTACATGATGATAAATATCTGGATCATAGTCCTAGGCCTGCATTCAGGTAACAAATTCCATTTTATAGGTTTAGCTGAACTGGGTACAATGTGTGACCCACTGCGTAGCTGTTCCATCAGTGAGGAAAATGGATTAAGTGCTGCATTCACAATAGCTCATGAACTTGGACACGTGTAAGTCTGTCTTTTCTACCAAGTAAATCTTGCATTTGCCTTACATAGGGGACACAGTATTTTTATTTTGCAGGGAAGCCTCTGCATGATTGGCTGAAAAAGCGTGAGCTTGCAAGGAAGTACTGTATTTACATACTAATACTTAGCATTCATATAGCAGTTTAGACTCTAAAGTTGGGAGTGTTCATAGTGGTTCATGTACAGTACGTTATCTTACTGATTCCCAACAAGAACATTGTAAGATATCTCAGTGTCATTACAAGTGATGTTGCTGAGAATAGCTTGAATCTTGGCCTTCTGATGTAACTCAGTATCATATCTTGGCCACTGTGCTACTCCAGGTTATCATCGAAACCTGGCATATTTTGAGATGAATTTAAGTAGTAGACGGCAGTAGGGCAGCAGTGCTCATCTGACCATTGGTTGTATTGCTGCTGCTTACCAGGAAGTAGAGTGGGAGGGGCAAGGCTAGTGAGGTGTAAATGCACTGGTGGGAGTAGTAGAGTGGCTCTGCCAGTGTGTTTGTACTATGCCAATCTTACTATTGCCTCCTCCCCACTTTTACCTCCTGATAAGCAGCATCAACGTGACTGGCCAGAGGTCAGGTGAGCGCTGCTGCCCCACCATGCTGTTGTGTAGGAATCTGCCAGAATATTATTGTGCTGAGACTCACCTGTGTCTTTTCACTTTCTGCCCCCAAATATGCACAGCTCTTACTCTTCAATATCTTAACTCCCAGTTTCTAAAAACATTGCTGAGATTCAAATTATATATTTCCATAGGTGAGTTGTTAGAAAGACAAATAACCCCTAAAACACCATTAAATTATTCAAGTGCTGTCATAATCAATGAGGCTATGCATCGGTTTAATGTTTGCTCATATCGTTATTGAAAAGTAAAAGGCCCTTTCTGAATTTGTTTTGTATTTGTATTAGGTTTAATGTTCCCCATGATGATAGCTTTAAATGTAAAGAAGTTGGGATTAAACATCAATATCACGTAATGGCCCCAACTTTAAACTACCATTCAAATCCATGGACTTGGTCAAAATGCAGTGAGAAGTACATTACTGAATTTCTTGAGTAAGTATGGTTCCAGTCCATCCACCTCCTGCATATGTTTAGCACATGGACGCTGTAGTGGTGGGCATTTGTGTGATTTCTCTGTTATGCAGAATTTCAACCTTTAACTTTATTAAAATATGTGTGAGGGGCAGGGGGAGAAAGAGAAAAGCTTCAAATAAATTAACATTTTGGGGTTTCCTTATAAAAGGTAAAAACAATTACCGTATTTTTCGCCCTATATGACGCACTTTTCCCCCTCCAAAAATGAAGGGGAAATGTGTGTGCATCCTATGGGGTGGATACAGGCTTTCGCTGAAGCCTGGAAAGCAAGAGGGGTCGGGGCGCCCCGACCCCTCTCGCTCTCCAGGCAGCTCTGCGCAACCTTCGGGAGCCCGGCGCCAAGCCGCGCCGGGCTCCAGAGGGTTACGCAGAGCTGCCTGCGCTCCCGGGCTCTATGCAGCTCTGTGCAACCCTCGGGAGCCCAGCGGGAAGCCACGCCGGGCTCCCAAAGGTTGCGCAGAGGTGCCTGTATTCCGAAGTCTCAGGCGCGCTGAAGAGCGCACCCGGGCTTCGCGCAGCTCTCCGCAAGCCTGGGGAGACCGGCGCGGCTCCCTAGGCTTGCGGATAGCAGGCTGTTCTGGGGGCTGGGGTCGGGGGAAGCTCGGGCTTCCCCCCCGCCAGCCCTGTGCCTGGGGGGGAAATAATTCCCCCCTTTATTTCCCCCACAAAAAAGCTAGGTGCGTCCTATAGGGCGGTGCGTCCTATGGGGCGAAAAATACGGTAATCATAGTTTAGAACACAACTATATTACATTTGAACATGTGCTTCTTTTTGTGTCAGATTCACAAACCCAGAGTTGATTTCTTGTAATAGCACTGCATTATGTTGAATTCTTTAATAGCAGTGCACCATAGCAAATCAACCTCAGTCCTAAAATTTATTTGCAAAGTATGTTTGAGTCAAAAGCAATGTGTCATTTAAGAGAAGTTCTGTTTGTTTATTATAGCACTGGTTATGGGGAATGCCTTCTTGACAAACCAAATGGAAGAATCTATGACTTTCAATCTCAGTTGCCTGGTTCCCTGTATGATGTGAACAAGCAGTGTGAGCTTATGTTTGGACCTGGGTCACAAGTATGTCCTTACATGGTAAGTTACGTAATGCAAAACACAATTTATAATACTTGCATAACAATCCTGAGAAGATGGTTGAAAATGTTTTTGGCACCCCCCTTTAATTTGTAATTCCTTGTTGCCTTTGCTATCCTTGAAAACACATGTATCCTGCATTTTAGTGCCATACCACAGGATTTCTATTACCTTTTAATTGTTTCTTTTGTTAGTGACCCAGGTAATGGAGGAGCTAGAAATAAATATTTAACAACATTTAATGAATACTTTTAATGGAAACAAAATACATCAACTCTGTTAACTCAGTAATCAGTAATAAAGGAAGGTTAGCAGGAAGATAAAAGAATGATAAAATAAATAAAATGATAAAGTAGCATCTTTAAAAAATATTGCCAAGGTAGAGGTGTTCATTCCTCTGCAATGGGCAATATTCAGAAGAAGTAAAATGTTGCTTGAAATGCAGTATCGAAATAGAGTTTGATAGTAAAGGGGCAACAAAGCCACAAAAGCTAATCTAAAAGTAACCAAAATGTATTTCATAAATACTTCTTAATCACACTGAGCTAAGAAAGTGATGTATTATCAGAGGCATAAATTTATCCCTTCCTTCCTCTTCCCTCTTCTTTCATTCCAAAAATGGAATTTAAAGTTTGCCTAGTGTAGTTCTTTGGATCTTAGCTCAAGACCAAAAGTTTATAATGTAAACTTAATTAATGACAGACCAATCCTACCAGATTGGGGGACTGAGTGGTTACTGTCAAAATTTTCCAATTTATTTTTTTTTAATGGACTCACTTTGCCTGACAGAATGTAGAAGGAGCATATTTAATCCCCTGCTTCTTCTGTTGAAACTCCTGTTGGTCCCACTGGGGAGGGGAAATAAGTATCCCAATCCCACAGTGGAGTACTTCATTATTTGAAGGCGTGTTAGAAATGGGAGGGCTTTGGATTAAATCCATTTACTCTCAGCACATCCCTGATATGCCCATTCTCCCTCCAACCACCATTGGAGCAGAGACAGCTGTTGTGGTTTCTGCAGCTGCAACAAACAGGCCTCTGCAGCTGAAAGACCTGCTTTGGCCACGGAGAGGAAGATTCCCCCAAACTCCTGTGCACTTTAGGATAGCCATAGGATTGTACCTTTGGTGGGCTGAGTATCTTCTAACATGACCATTTAGAGATTTCTTAGCCTCACTCACCACAAGATTGTATTTGGCATGCAGATATCTAAGTACAAAATACATGTGGATCATGTTCAAGATGAATGGTCCATGTTTCAAACAGGGCTTTCCACTTTAAAATGTAAACAGGACCACAATCTTTTCCTGGTTGCTCCTTGAAAGTATTTGAAGACACATTTAAGAATGCATGCACGCTTCATTTTTAATTCAATATATTAGAATATTGGTGTTTGAACTCAGGACACGTGGGTGGTATCTAATGATATAGTTTTGCTAGTGCAAGGACTTTTGGCTGTGGAATGGAATTTCCCTCCCTCTCCAGTCCCTTCTCTCCCACAACTGTTCTGAGAGTTCTCACAACCCTCCAGAGCAAATTTTGGGTACAGCGCCGTGTGCTAAGGGATCTACTTTGTTGCATACCACTAAATATCCTGTAAAACATCCTTCTCCTTAGGTTGCATTCTTCCTGACACCCCTGGAGTTGTTCCCAGTTGACAACTAGGCCTGCCCTGTAGCTTAAAACCAAAACATAGTTTAAGTTGGGGGTATTGCATCTATAGATTGATGAGAAATAAGTGTTACTCATGTAACAAAGTAAATCCTGTTTGTTTGGTAGAAACAATGCAAACGTTTGTGGTGCACAAGTGCAGAAGGCATTCATAAGGGTTGCCGTACGCAGCACATGCCTTTGGCTGATGGAACAGAATGTGGCCATGGAATGGTAAGATTTCTTTTCCACATCTACCATTTCCCTTTCCTTAAATCACTGGCTTTCTGTCCACATCAAGATCTATCCTTATCTTCAAATGTCTTCATGCCCTCCCTTATCTCTCTGCTGTTACATCCATATATATATATATATATATATATACCAATAATACTGAAAGAAATCAATCTTGATTTTTCATTAGCGGAGTGCATTGCTGGAGGTCTCCTGTGAATGAAAACTGTGATGTAGAAGGCAGTTCTGAATTAACAATTCAGAACGTATCTATGCTTCCACTGGAGGGAAACAGTATCTTATTTCCTGCTGTAATCCATTTTTCCACTGGAAGGCAGCCATTAAACCCATCAGTGGTTTAGATGTAGCGCAAAGCAATATGGCCTAGTGTTTCCCTGTACCCAGTCCAGACAATGGCAGAGACATGAGACATAAGAGTCCTTACACTGGGTCATCAGACCAAAGACCTATTTCGTCCACCATCTTCTTTCTCACAGTGGCCAACCAGGTGCCAATGGGAAGCCCACAATAGCCCTCTCATTCTTTTGTTGTCCCAGTGAATGAATGCCTTGTCTCTGAACACCAGTGAACTTTGGTATTTGGAGGCATCAACTAGATTTCAGAGACATCCTATTTCTATAGCATCCTGAAGGTAGTCTACAGCCCTCACAAGTGCCAGTCATTAGCAGCATTATATTCCAGGGACAAGTACAGGGGCTAATCTCCAGCTGATCTCCTCAGCAACAAAAATGGTTGGAGTGGCTGTGGAAATATTTTCTCTAAGCTCAGGCTGTCTCTATAGCTTGCTGTGTTCTGAGGTGCATAGCTAGAATAGAGGGATGGTTTCTCTAAGGAGTTGCGGCAGCTAGCAGAGTGGGAAAGCAATTGCTGTGTTAAAGCCACTGACCTAATCGCCAAGGGGGGAAAATCCCATTGCCCTTTCCTTGTATCCAGAACAGACAGTGGCTGATTTATGACTGGAATTTACCGTGGGAAGTACATAGTTGTTCTCACAGTAGTTAACATTTCATAAAGTATTTTCCTGTGAAATACACTAAACAAACCTAAAATCGGGGTACTTGCTTCAGTAATGCCCTGTAGCAAAAGGCATTATTATCACAGCTTTAATTATCAGTGGAGATGGCTCTTCTTACCCTTTAATTTGGACTCCTATCTTTGCATTTGTGTTCATGGATTACAAGTCTTGCGTGCATTGCTTGATATATAAATAATAAAATAAGTATATCTGAAGCACAAGCACTGCTAGGCTGAAGAAAAACTGCATGACACGAACATCTGGGATAGGTCTGGTGTGTAATTTTTCTACTGTGACTTCATCTTGTTTCTTCTGTAGAGATGCTGCACAGCATAAAAAACTGATACATCTTTATTGAATAAGCTATTAAATCCCAGATGTTAACATGGGCTTATTCCAGTTCTATGGAAGTGGCCATATTAGTACAATATTTCTAGGTATAACTTCAAACATTCCAGAATCGTCTTTCCAGGCAAATATAAAACTAACTCCACTTTTATTTCATGTGCTACACAGTTTGCTCTCAGGTATCATGCCATATTATCCTGTCCACTCTCTTAAGATCAGAAGGTGACGCCCCTCTCTGTGTCCTATTGGTTTCTGCAGCAACAGCAGGTGCTCTAACTTTCTAATGGTTTGACTTTACCCCCAATGGCACACTCTTGCATTATCTCTCAAGACAACTTGATGCCAACAACCAAGAGTTGAAACAAGTTGGGGTAAGGGGGGAATATTCTCAGTGGCTGCAGCTAGACTATTAGTTGGGGCCATACTAGCTGTAGTCCAGCTACAGCTGGAGGTCACCATGTTGGCACCCCTGATTAAAGGTACAGTGGTGCCCCGCAAGACGAATGCCTCGCAAGACGGAAAACTCGCTAGATGAAAGGGTTTTCCGTTTTTTGAGCTGCTTCGCAAGACAAATTTCCCTATGGGCTTGCTTCGCAAGACGAAAATGTCTTGCAAGTTTGTTTCCTTTTTCTTAACACCGTTAATACAGTTGTGACTTGACTTCGAGGAGCAACTCATAGAACGCAGTGTATATAGTAGCCTTTTTTGAGGTTTTTAAAGACTTTGGTGATTTTTGAAGCTTTTCCAAAACTTCTTTTGCAGCCATTTGGTAAGTTAAGCTTTTAAAACTTTTTTGGGGGGTTTTGGATTTTGGGTTGGGGTGTTTAGAATTCAAGGACTTGGTGTTGGGGAGGGGTTTGCAAGAATCTGGAAGCTTGTGTGGTTTTTTCTGCATTTTTATGATTTTCTGTGACCATTGGGCCACTCTGTTGTTGTTTTTTTTAAAAAAATCTGGATTTGAATTTCTGTGTGCTGGGTGGCTGGGGGAACAGTTGGGGAGGGGTTTGCAAGAATCTGGAAGCTTGTGTTTTTTTCCCTGCATTTTTATGATTTTCTGTGACCATTGGGCAACTCTGCTGTTTTTTTAAAAAAATTCTGGGTTTGAATTTTGAAATGCTCTTTACAGTATGTGTGACTTTAAAGAGCACTTAATAAACTCTTGTTATACCAAATTTGGCTTTGTTTGGACTTTTTTTGACCATAGGAACGCATTAATTGATTTTTCAATGCATTCCTATGGGATTTCATGCTTCGCAAGACGAAAAATTCACTAGACGAAAAAATTCGCGGAATGAATTAATTTCGTCTTGCGAGGCACCACTGTACCTTATTTGCCCTCTGCCTGGACTGGCATGGTTGCATAAGGCCTCCATCGTCTACTCACATGCTATGGGTAGATTGTGTGGCTGCACACCATACTAAAAATAAACCCCTTAATTTGGAATGAAAGCAGGAAATCTATCCTGTCTGAGTGGAAAATGAAAAGGTTTCTACAAGTGCTATGAAAACAGCTGGTGTTTCTTATTTTCCCATGTTTCATAGGAACAAATCCATTGTGCATAAACACTAGTTTTACACACATAAACTCCTTTAGTCTGTTGCATCTTATTGCACATGTTTTAGGTTTGCTTTCTATTCTGATCAGCCTAAATTGGGGTTCATGCTTATTTCATTGCACAATGTATGTGTAAAAATACCAGCAGCCAGATTTTCTGGTGTTCTGAAAGAAAAATACTAGGAGCAGATTGCTTTTGAATTGCTAGACATCTCATTTAAATGCGTAAATGAAAGCTTAGATGCTGAACTTTCCAGATTCCTGAATTGTTAATAGTATTTTGAAAGTAAAGTTCGTTAAATAGTGTTTAAATGACACAGTAATCTTTTAACACCGATTTAATTTTCTTTGATATCAGTTCCTGTTCTCCTATTTGATTATCAGAGTCTGTGCACACTGAATTAGTTTTTTTCTAATTTTGATGCTTTTGCTATGTTTGTTAATTGAGCAGCATTGCCGGCATGGGATTTGTGTAAGCAAAGAAAAGGAAAAGCTCCCTGTAGATGGAGAATGGGGATCCTGGGGACCCTACAGTTCATGTACCAGAACATGTGGAGGTGGCATCAAAAGCGCAACCAGACTGTGTAATCGGCCAGAGTATGTGTTTTGTTCTTCATTTTAAATATATGTCCATTGAGACTATGTTTACTCTGCCTGGTCCTCTGAAAGCAATAATAAATTAATAGCAGGTTTCCATAGCGGATCAGATAGTGACATACTGTTTAGCCTTTCTGTGCACTGCTCTGGTACGCCAGAAGCGGCTTAGTCATGCTGGCCACATGACCCAGAAGCTGTACACCGGCTCCCTCGGCCAATAAAGCAAGATGAGTGCCGCAACCCCAGAGTTGGTCACGACTGGACCTAATGATCAGGGGTCCCTTTACCTTTACCTTTATACTTTGGTAAAAGGTAAAGGTGACTATGGCCGAGGGAGCCAGCATTTGTTCGTAGACAGCTTTTCAGGTCATGTGGCCAGCATGACTAAGCCGCTTCTGGCACAACAGGACACCGTGACGAGTGCCAGAGCGTACGAAAATGCTGTTTACCTTCCCACCACAGCAGTACCTGTTTATCTACTCTCACTGGTATGCTTTCGAACTGCTATACTTTGAATCATCTATCAAGAGTAGCATGCCTCTTCGAGCTCTTAAAGACACATTACCATACTTGGATCATAACTTCAATGTGTCTTTTGAAATTTAAAGGCAGAAATTATGAATAGTGCATTACTCAAAGCCAAATGAAACATAAGCTATCTTTATTGTATATATTGTAATAGTTGGTTTGTATAATCCTGGCATTTTGGCAGTGGATAGTGAAGCCTTAGAATAATGTGGTTGGGTTTGTAAAAATGCATGCTTGTGCAATGATGACATTTTATATTTAATTCCCATTCACTTTGCAATTGTATAAATGGCTTCCCACCATGATGCACATTACAGCTGTTAAGTTGTGTTTAATATTCTTGCTTGCAATGTGTTTTATTACCTATTGAAAGCTGCTTGTGATGGGATGATGAGCTGCTTGTGCGTAAAATAGTATCCCCTCAGAGTTTGTTCAAGTCCACAAACCTCTGTCTGTGACGGAGCCCCTCAGACATGGCTCCTCTAGTCACTAGCAGATTCCGACAGTGGTTGCTTTGGAATCGCTTCCAACATAAAAGCTCCTTAACGGAAACACGTCTTCTGGACTCTCTGCGTGACAGTTTCCGGCGAGGAGTGGGTGTTCCTACAGGAGGTCCTGAAACCTCCCCACTGTTTTCGCTGGAAGTGTCTCTGAGCCATCCCTCCAGCTCACTTTCCCTCAGCTCAGCTCCTCTCCCCTACTGGTTCCCTCTTCAGCTGCTGAGTCTCTCCCAACCTGTGTGAGCCCTTTCACCTCCCTTCCTTCCGATGGCAGTTCCCTGACATCCACCTCCCCTCCAGGGCCCCTTTCACCCCCTCTCGCCCCCTCCTCTACGGGCGGTGAGGAGGCAAAACCCGGAATGAACTTCCTTCATCTTCCGATGTCTCGAACACTTCTCTCCACCTGTTGCGGTTCCTGGTCTCGAAGTACTCCTCCTCCTCAGAGTCCATCTCCCCTTCCCCTTCCGAGTCCGGGAATCCTTCCAACTCCTCCTCCTCATCAGTGGTCCCAAAGTATTCCCTCCGGAACCTCTCCACAGGCTGAGGTTTCCTTGGGAACCTTTGATGGAACGTTTCTATCAATACCTCGTCATTGATATCTTCGGCCATTACCCAAGTGTTTTCTGACTCCGGTTCTCCTTCCCACGCTACCAAATACTCCACCTGATCCCCCTTCCACCTGGCGTCGAAGATTTCTGCCACATGGCTGCTGCATTCTCTTTCTTCTATGACCGGTCCCCGAGTGGCCATCCCTTCTCGTCCCCCTTCGTACGGTGACAGTAACGACCTGTGAAATACTGGGTGCAGTTTCATGTGGTTGGGTAACCGGAGCCTGAAAGCCACTGGGTTGACCTGTTGAATGACCTCAAAGGGACCCAACCTCCTGGGTCTTAATTTCTTACAACCTCCTTTGAACGGCAACCCTTGGGTTGACAGCCACACCCTATCTCCCACCCTTATGGTTTCACCTTCCCTTCGGTTCTTGTCTGCCTGCCTCTTGTATTCTTCCTTCGCCCTTTCTAAGTTGAGTTGGAGCTGACGATGGATTGCTTCCATTTCTTCCACAAAATGCTCGGCTGCCGGGACGCTCCATCTCTCCCCATCTCCCCTGGGAAAGCCCTGGGATGACACCCATAATTAGCCAAGAAGGGGCTCATCCCTGTGGACACATTCTCGGCATTGTTGTAGGCAAATTCCGCCAGCGCCAACTTTTCTACCCAGTCATTCTCTCTGTCATTGACATAACACCTCAGGTATTGCTGGAGGACACCGTTTGCTCTTTCCGCCTGCCCGTTGGTTTCAGGGTGCCGGGCAGTCGAAAAATTGACCTCCACCTGCAGTAAGCTCATGAGCTTCCTCCAGAACCTGGAAGTAAATTGTTTTCCTTGGTCTGAGACCACCCTCAATGGCACCCCGTGCAACCTAAAAATGTGTTCTACAAATAACTTCGCTGTCTCTTCCGCCGTGACTGCATGCGAGCAAGCTACAAAGTGGCACATCTTTGTTAGTAGGTCTACCACCACCATGATGGCTGTTTTCCCTTGGACTTCGGCAGATCAGTCATAAAATCTATCGACACTGCCTCCCAAGGTCGTTCTGGGGTTGGTAAGGGTTCTAATAGCCCCGCCGGCGCCCGCCTTTCCCCTTTGGCTCGCTGGCATTGCTCGCACCCTCTTACATACTCACGTACATCTTCCCTCACCTTAGGCCACCAAAATTCCCTGGTGACCAACCACATGGTTTTGTGTTGTCCAAAATGCCCCGCCGTAGGGCTGTCGTGCAACTGCTTGAGTACCCTCCCCTTAAGTCTCCTTCAGGGATATACAGTGCCCCTTTGTAATACAAAGCTCCATTTCTTTCCTCGAAACCCCCTGGTTCCTCTCCCTCACCCCTAAGACCTCTGAGCTTATTCTGGGCGTATTCATCATTCTCTGTTTCCTCTACCAGTTCTCTTTGTCCCACCAATGCCGCCCCACACACCCAGCGGTCCTCTGGAATGACATGTCTCTCTTCGGTGCTCCTCCCCCTCCAAATATTCAGGTTTGCGTGAGAGAGCGTCCGCCCTAATGTTCTCTGGGCCTGGCACGTAACCAATCTCAAAGTTAAATTTGGAGAACTCCTGGGCCCATCTCACTTGCCGTTGGTTGAGCACTCGTGCCGTCCTCCAATACTCTAGGTTCTTGTGGTCAGTGCACACTTGCACCTTATGTTGTGCGCCAATTAGCAGGTGCCTCCATCTCCGGAACGCCTCATGAATGGCTAGTAGTTCTCGGTCATACACCGTGTAGTTCCTCTCGGATTTGTTCAGCTTTCGCGAAAAAAAGCACACGGTCTCCACTCTGACTCCTCCTTCCCTGGCTGCAGAAGCACCGCCCCAATCGCTCTGTCTGATGCGTCAGTTTCCACTCTCATCGGTTTTTGTAAATCCACATGCAGGAGTTGTTGTTCCGAGGCGAAGGCCCTCTTTAGTTCCTCAAATGCTCGCTCCGCCTCCTCAGTCCAAACGAACTTCTTCTTACTGCTGAGACAGTCCGTAATGGGCGCCGTCAGGTGGGCAAAGTTTCGGATGAACTTACGATAGAAGTTCCCAAATCCTAGGAACCTCTGCACATCCTTCCTTGTTTTGGGTGTTTTCCATTCCAGCACCGCCTGGACCTTGCCGGGATCCATGGCCAATCCCTTGTCTGACAGGCGATACCCCAGGAATTCCACCTCCTTGGTATGAAACTGACACTTCTCCAGTTTCACCCACAGCTGGTTGGCTTGCAGCCTGCTCAACACTTCTCTGACGTCTCTCACATGCTGCTCCTCATTCTCAGAATACACCAACACGTCGTCTAAGAAGGCCACACAATTCTTGTAAAGCAAAGGCCCCAGGACGTGGTTCATAACGATTGAAAGCATGCGGAGCCTGCTTGTAGGCCGAAGGGCATAACCAAATATTCAAATGCCCCTAAAGGGGTGAACATGGTGGTTTTCCATTCATCCCCCTTCCTTATTCGTATCAGGTTGTACGCCCCCCTTAGGTCCAGCTTTGTGAAAATCTTTCCCTTCCGCACCCTTGTCAAAATGTCGTCAATCCTGGGCATAGGGAAGGCCACCGGTTCTGACACTGCATTTAAGGCCCTGAAGTCACACACCAGCCTCGGCTTGTTCGTGTTTTTGTCCACAAAAACACTGGGCTGCCCCCACCGCCCTGGACTCTCTGATGAACCCTCTCTTCAGGTTCTTGTCAATGAACTCTCTTAGCTCCTGCATCTCTCTGTCTGACATGGCGTACAGCTTGCCTACAGGGAGCTGTGCCCCAGGGAGTAAATTGATTTGACAGTCAAAGGGTCTATGCGGGGTAGTTGGTCAGCTTCCTTTCGCTGAAGACGTCGCGGAGATCTGCGTATTGTCGTGGTACCTTCACGTTCTCCGTTACTTCAGTCCCTGCTAGGGTGGCTTGGGCCCCTGCCAAACCCTTTCCCTCTTTGCAGTGTTCTAAGCAATGTGCTGAACCAAAAGAAACCACTCTCTGATGCCAGCCCACCAGCGGATCATGTAACGCTAGCCAGCTCATCCCCAATATAATGGGAGCTCCTCCCAAGGTGGCCACATTAAACGCTATCAGTTCGGTGTGCCTTGCCACCTTCATTATCATTGGGACGGTCTGCAAGCTGACTTCTCCTCCCAACAGCTCCCTGCCATCGATCGTGGTCACCTGCAGGGGGTTGCTTAAAGGGATCGTCTGTATCTGGTGTTCAGCTGCAAACTCTTTGCTCATGAAATTGCAGGAGCTGCCTGAGTCCAACAGCGCCTTTATCTTTAGAGGGTGTCCGTTTGGCAGCTCTAGCGCCACTTCTATCACTAGGGCGGGTTTAGGAGGTTCTGGCGTGGGCACTCTCACTGCTCTTTGGCCTGGCTGCTGTGCCCCGACGGTGGCAGCCAGGCGTTGGCTTTTACTTGCTCCGGTGTTTCTTCCTCTCTTCCCTCCACAGCTCCTACCATCCCTTGCCATTCCTTCCTCTGGGGGCAGACTCTGGCAAAGTGACCTGGCTGTTGGCAGGGATAGCATTTCCGGGCGCGTTTTCCCTCCTTCTTTCCCCCCTCACTGGGCTTTGAAACTGCGCGCGCGCGCTGTTCCGATTTCCATCGGCTCTGCCGGCGGGAAAGTTGGCTCTGGAATGTCTGGAATGCGGAACTCCTTCCAACGTTCCCCCTTCCCTTCCCGCCTCTCCAATGCTCTCGCCTCCTGGCGCGCTCCTATGGTCAGCGCTGATTTGGTCAGCTGGTCCATAGACTCCGCCCTGGGCGCCCGGGAAAGTTCGTCTTTCACAGCCGAAGAAAGCCCTTCTTCAAAGAGCATTTGAATGGGTTCCGCCGATAAGTCCCACCCCAATCTGTGAACCAGCATGGTGAACTCAGTCCAGTACTCACGGACAGATCGGCTCCCCTGTTTGCAAGCCATTAACTGTCTGCGCACCACTCCCTGTTCAATATCGCTGGAAAACATCAGATCCATGGCGCGAAAGAACTTCATCGTGTCCTTTAGGACGTCACTATTCGCTGCCATCAGGGGTCTAACCCAGTCTCTTGCCCCCTTTCAAGATGCCCAATCACGAAAGCCACTCGTGATTCCTCGTCAGGGAATTCATCAAACTGCAGATTGAGGGCATATTGCATCTCTGTCCGAAAGCCATGATAGTCTTTGGGCTCCCCCCCAAACTTCTGCACCAATCCTGGTACCTTTCTGGCGAGCTGGGTGGCTTTCCCCTTTTGTCTGCATCCTGAGCCCTCCTCTCCTCAAGCCTCGCCGTCTGCAGCGCTAGCTGGACCTCCAACACCCGGTACCTTTCTTCCAGGCTTGGACCCGCTCCAGCTCCTGCTTCTCCGGTTCCGGCTGGGTTGCTCATGATGCCTTCTCCTGCACAAGCTGCTTTCAAAGACTGTCGGAATGCTGTGATGGGATGACGAGCTGCTTGTGCGTAAAATAGTATCCCCTCAGAGTTTGTTCAAGTCCACAAACCTCTGTCTGTGACGGAGCCCCTCAGACATGGCTCCTCTAGTCACTAGCAGATTCCGACAGTGGTTGCTTTGAATCGCTTCCAACATAAAAGCTCCTTAACGGAAACACGTCTTCTGGACTCTCTGCGTGACAGTTTCCGGCGAGGAGTGGGTGTTCCTACAGGAGGTCCTGAAACCTCCCCACTGTTTTCGCTGGAAGTGTCTCTGAGCCATCCCTCCAGCTCACTTTCCCTCAGCTCAGCTCCTCTCCCCCTACTGGTTCCCTCTTCAGCTGCTGAGTCTCTCCCAACCTGTGTGAGCCCTTTCACCTCCCTTCCTTCCGATGGCAGTTCCCTGACACTGCTCTAGAAATTTTAAATTGAAAGGCTGTATATACTGTGTATATATTTTCAAATAAATGAAAACCACAGCAGCGTAGTTTAGTTCTGAAAATATTGTTTATAGTATTGTGATAGAAGTCTGTTAAAGCTATGCAGTGGGGGCCATCACCTTAAGAACTTAAGAAGATCCTGCTGAGTCTGGCCAATGGCCCATCTAGTTCAGTATCCTGTTCTCACAGTCGCCAACCATATGCCTGTGGGAAACCCACAAGGAGGACCTGAGCACAAGAGCAGCCTTCCTCCCTGTCATTTCAAGCAACTGGTATACAGAAGCATCACTAGCAAAGCCTAGCCATTGATAGCCTTCTCCTTCATGAATTTGTCCAATCGTCTTTTAAAGCCATCCATGTTATTTAGATTAAATCAGTAAGATCTCTTTGGAAGGTTTGTTTTAAATATGACTGTGTCTGCTTAACATGCTTGCAATGCAATTTTCATTAGGCCAAAACATGGAGGACAATACTGCGTTGGCCGCAGGATGAAATTTCGATCCTGTAATACTGATTCATGTCCCAAAGGCAGAAAAGATTTTCGGGAGCAGCAGTGCTCCGAGTTTGATGGTAAACATTTCAACATCAACGGGCTAACATCTACCGTGCGCTGGCTTCCAAAATACAGTGGCAGTAAGTAATGAGAAACTTCCTCTTTAAACTAAACATTAATTTGCATAAAATTTCACAAGTGACAAAAAACATACTTGACTTTTTTTGTCCCAACAGTTTCTACGAAGGATCGCTGTAAGCTTTTTTGCCGTGTTTCTGGCACAACATCCTACTATCAGCTGAAAGACAGGGTCATTGATGGTACTCCATGTGGAACGGACACTCATGATATATGTGTGCAAGGCTTATGCAGGGTAATTGAGTTCACTAAAACAACACAAATATTTTTGGAAACTGTTTGAGAGCAGCAAAGAGTTTTGTGGTGCCTTAAAGTCCTAACTTATTTATTATGGCATAAGCTTTTATGAACTACAGCAGATGTCATATGCATGCATTGTTGGGAGGTGGAATTGTAAACAGCGAGAGGTCAGAGGGACATAAAAGATAGAGAAGTACAAATACCGGTAGTGCTAAAAACAGTGGTCATTAGAAAACAAACACCCAACCTAGTTGGAGTTGATAAAACTGACATCCTGGAATTGGTATTAAGTGAACTGTTGCCCACCAAATCAAGTTCATAGGGAGCTTCCAGATCACACACACAAGCATACATGTACAGCAATGTCCTTATGATGTTGTCATCATAAAAATGCCAGTCCATACACTTTTTATATTAAACCTGAATTTTCCCTGAGCATGGAAAATCTAATTAATAAACAAAAAACCATTTGCAGACAGATGATGTGTGTGATGACACGTTGGTGGGTGTTTTTTATTGCCACACCCCCGTTTCTGTTTGTTCCTCCCCTGAGCACAACCTCTCCATTTGTTTCGAACATGCTCCTAGACACAATCCAGCACACCTATGCTTTTGATATTTTGTTGTCGTAACACACTTGAATTAGAAGTATGGTTTTGGTGTGCTCGTTTGTTTGGAAATCTTCTTTTATAGACTAGTAAAGCTAATCATTGTTTCAACACAGCACCAAAAGCATTATTGATTATGAGAATTGTTGAATGAATTATTACTTGCAAGGTGTGAGGAATGAGAGGTTAAAATGAGCAATTTGAATTACCTGTAAATTGAATGCTGTTGCATGTACTTAAAAACATTTTGACATGTTTCCATAGCAAGCAGGCTGTGATCATGTGTTAAACTCTAAGGCAAGGCGAGATAAATGTGGAATCTGTGGTGGTGATGATTCTTCATGTAGAACTCTTGCAGGAACTTTCAATAGCGCTCATTATGGTATGTTTCTTGATATCCATCTATCTATTTACATATTTAATTGCATATGGCACTGGCTTTCATATGCCAAACAGATTCTCAAGTTTGATTTTGTGTGTGTGCAGTCAGCTGTGTTTTTCTACTAGCGAATTCAAACAATTCAAAATTAAAATAATAAATATTGGCATTAAATCATTTTTTCTACATTCCACAATGCTGTTCAGTATGCCAGACATATTTTCCTTTCAAAAAAGGCTGTATTTTCAAACCCCTATATTATAATCTTATTAATTTCTAAAATTACTTTCGTTTCATTCCCAAACCCAGCTACAGAAAGGAAAGCTGTTGGAGTGTTATGAGCAAGTTTAGTATAGTGCCACATATTTGAATGGTTTAAATCAGTAGTTCTAAACTTTTTCAGACCGGGGGCCCACCTTTAACCCAAACATGCATTACCAATGCTGTGTTTTTACTTGTGAGATATATAATTTTCTTTTTCTTTTTTTGTCTTGGTTATTATGGCCTGTGATTAAGATAATTAATAAACAAAGCAATATTATATAGGGAATAAATTGTTTTCGTTGCTCCTTGGAAGTGATTATCTAGCGGTAACTTGTTATTCTGGCAGGGGACAAAAACAAACAAACCAAAAAGCTGCTTTAATTTCTCTTCAGGTTTATCACTTCTCTTGGGAAGTTTATTGTTTACAAGCATAATCTTTCATAGGATTAATTTAAGTTTAATTATATTCTAGGCTATAACATTGTAGTAAAAATTCCCATAGGAGCAACAAACCTTGACATACATCAGCACAGCTATTCAGGGAAGCCAGAAGACGACAACTATCTTGGTAAGTGTTTCAGATAATCCGTTACTGGCTTCATTCCCTATGAGAAATCCAACAGCCCTAAGACTCTCTTGAACACCTTTGCATAATATCACTCTGACTCAGTGGTATTTTACCATATTCAGTGGTATTTTACCACTGTGGGGTTCAAATTAATTCTTACAATTATTTGAACCTTGGAATTTATTTTAATGTTCCATATCGTAATTCCCTAGCAATAATTAAATCATTACAAATGTGCAAGATGCATGTAAGTATGAAGTAAAGATGCACTAATGGTGATTGTTTCTGTTAATGTTGTTATAGCATTATCCAACACTCAGGGGCATTTTTTCCTGAATGGAAATTTTGTTGTGAGCTTGTCTAAAAAAGAAATCAGTATGTACGGAACTAATTTTGAGTACAGTGGGTCAAACAACACAGTGGAGCGAATAAACAGCACTGGCCAGCTGGAAGAGGAGATTCTTTTGCAGGTGAATCTTCAATATGTTAATTAATAGTATGCATTTGCGTTTTTTTATGCACCAGGAGTGAGGAAAAATTCATTGAAAAACAGTTTTTAAAACATCTTTGTTTAGGTGTTGTGCGTAGGGAATTTATACAACCCAGACATTCGCTATTCATTCAATGTTCCTGTAGAAGAAGGCCAGGATCTGTTTATATGGGACCCCTATGGGCTTTGGCAGGACTGCAGCAAAATGTGTCAAGGTATTGTCATTTTCTTGGTTGATGTGATTTTAAAGATATTTCAAAATTTCTTGTCGTAACCTGCTGTAAATTATATTTATTTCTCTTTCACCTTGCTGTGGTTTGATTATGGAAATGTGTGCGAAACATAGTTTTGTGTAGGCTGCAACTTGGTAGACCATCGTCATAATTTCCATAAGATTCACTGTTTAAAAGCAAGGAAATTCTGATTTTAAAAACTTTGGAACAATGGAAAAATAATCGGAAATGATGCTCCTACTAGAATGGGGACAAGTAAAAGAGGATGCCTTCACCCTTGTGTGGCTTCCTTTTATTACATATACAAGACAGCAACACAATCCCCCTGACAGCATGTAGACTGATATGGCTAAATTGACCCAACACCCCCCACCCCCTCTCATACACAAACAAAACACTTTGTGATTCACTGAATGCAACCAACTGTGCTCTGGGTTTCCCAGCGTCTCCACCACCAACACAAACAAACAAACAAACAAACAAACAAACAAACAAACAAACAGACAGACAAATAAAGAACCTCCAGACACAAAAGATTGAAATAACATTATCCCCCCTTCTTTCTCCCCCTCTCACTCACCAATTCTTTCCTCCCAACCTCACAATGCTTAACACAGCAATGTCTCACCCCAAATGTAACTGGCCTGTAGAAAAGATCTTATGAATTGAAAACAGAGATGTTGTATGTTCCCTTGTTATCCATGAGAATCTTTCAATAAAAACAAATTTTAAAAAATAAAAATAAATAAATGACATTTCTAGTTCAGCATACCAAGAAGCTTAGGGAAAAGCTCCCATCTTTATGAAATGTCCATGCAAGAAAATTTGCATTTTGTGAATGCTGTCCTGTTCATAACTAAGTTGCAAATTATATGTACGATCCCTGTGTTTTGATGTTGTGCTAAACTACTAGTGTGGCAGGAATAGACCTGAGTTGAGCCTCTCACTTTCACACTTCTCCCTTCCTCCTCAAGGCAAGACTGCAAAGAGATGGGCAGCTTTCACTGGTTTTAATTAACTGCAGTTTAGTAAGTAATTCAGTCCTAAAATGTGGTTGATGTTAACCAATATTTGTTTAAACACAACAGCTTCATAACTCATAGGTTGGTGTCTGTTTCAAACAAACCATAGGTAAGATTAACCACATATTGGGCTCAAATAATATGACAGGCTATGTTTAATTCAAATGGAGGAGTTCTGAATCGAACTCCTCATGGCTACCTCAGTTTTATCAGTGCTGAGTCTCCTCCCTGATGTTGGAGACTGTCAGCTCTCTGAAGTGAACAAGGAAGGTAGATGGGGAGGGGAACTAAAACGTTTATTGCAAATTTTGATGAGATTAAGCTTTGATGAGATTAAAGCCTGAAATAAAATCTACTTTCATCCTGTATAAATCTCATCTTTAACTTTTTCTAAACCTTTTATTTAAGGTCTTCACAGGAGGGAGGTTACATGCATACGAAGGAGTGATCATTTGGTGGTCTCTGACCAAAGATGTGAGCATATAACCCGTCCCACAGCCGTAACAGAACAGTGTAATACAGAATGTGAATTAAGGTATAAACATTTATCAAATTGTATGACTAGATTAACGTTAACTCAAACTGTTACATATTCTGGATTTACTTTTGTAACTTCGAAGTGTGTGTTCCACAAACTCATTTAATTCACTGTGTTTGGATTTTTTTATATGATTTCTTTAAGTGGTATAAAAATTCATTGAGTTGGTGTTTCTTGCATTGAATGATTACAAATAATAAAAAAGTAAGCTTAATGTTTGTTTGTTTGCTCCCCATTCTATTTGAAGACCTTCATAATTTAGGTTACCTTTACACACTAAAACATATTTAGTTTTATATAATAGTTTATACTTATAGGTGGCATAACACTGGCAAAAGTGAGTGTTCAACTCGGTGTGGCCCGGGGTTTCGATCTTTAGACATCCACTGTATGAAGTACTCTGTTTCAAAGGGACTGAGTGTTCCAGTGGATGATAAATACTGTGCTGATCAACAGAAACCACCAATCCGAGAACCCTGTCATGGAGACTGTCTTCTAACAAGCTGGCATTACACAGGATGGTCAGAGGTACTGATCTAGAACCTTCCTATGATTCGTTTTTGCATTAACAAGTGCGCTGTAGCCTTACTGTATTTTCTGATAAGCAACAGAACGCTCCATTCATGTGTAAACCACCAGCCATTTTTGAACATAAGAATTTTTTTTAAGCATTCAACAGTTTATAACAACCACAGAACAAGATGCTAAATCTTTTCCAGCCCGAAGCATGCATTGATGCACATCTGTGCTTCTATTCCTTAACACGCACTTGTTTATTTTATAATGATACATTTCTTATCTTTTCTCGATTAAACCAGTGTTCGAGGAGTTGTGGACGAGGTGCGAGAACCAGAGAAGCTTTTTGTATGAACAACTTTGGCCGCCGGCTGGCAGATAGAGAGTGCCATGAACTTCCAAAGATTATTACGGAGAGCTGCAATGAGTTCTTGTGCCCCAGCTGGACCACTAGTGATTGGAGTGAGGTAATGTGTGCAGATTGATTTCACTGTTGTGAAGCCATTAAGCCCTTTCCACCAGAATCGCCAGAGATTCCTGGTGAACTGTGTGTTTAGATTGAGTTTGGAGTTCTTATTATCCCTTCTTAAATTCCTTATGCCCAAACTCATTACTTAGCCCTGCTCCCACTCCTCACTTAAAATCAATATATTTCATAATTCTGTGGGCTGGACAGTACATTTTGGGCTGCCATGGATGGGAGCAAAGCTTGATTCCCATTTAAAAGTAGTAGTGGCAGGCACCCACCTCTAAAACAACTGCCGTACACCTGGCAGGGAATGGTATCACACAGGTGTCACTTTGAGACTACAGATTTGCTGATTTTTGTGCTATTAACATAGGTTTAGCATGCTGTTAATGTGAGAAACTTGATAGCGGGTGATAATAAACGTTAGGATTTTTCTTTTTACTTATGCAGATTTTATTACTTTGTTTGTGTACTTCCAAGAGCCTTGTTGGAGGAGGAGCTGTAATGTAAAAGCTGCATGAATCAATCAACAAATAACACTCAAATCTTTTTATCATCTCTGATACTCTGCGTAGTGTCCTGTGACTTGTGGGAAGGGAATGAGGCATCGACAAGTATGGTGTCAACTGAATGACGAACAACTGGAAAATGTATTCTGCAATCCAAACTCTATGCCAAATTCAATGACAGCATGTGAACTTAATGAATGTGCAGCTTGGCAAGTGGGACCCTGGGGAGCAGTGAGTACATAGAAGTCCTTACATAATATTATTTTCAAGCATTTCACCAGTAAAAAGCCTCTTCTTAAACCATTCCTGTGAAGACAGGGGGACAGGTAGGTTAAAGATGCTCCAAAAATATATTTGTTATCGCCTAAGAAGTCTTTGTACAAGGCCTCAGAATGCTTGATGAAAGACTTTGAGGATCAGGTGGAGAACTTGACAAATGGGCAGTGGAGAAACTGTAGTGGGAAAAGAGAAAATATATATACAGTGGTACCTCTGGTTAAGTACTTAATTCATTCTGGAGGACTGTTCTTAACCTGAAGCACCACTTTAGCTAATGGGGCCTCCTGCTGCTGCTGCGCCGCTGCTGCACAATTTCTGTTCTCATCCTGAAGCAAAGTTCTTAACCTGAGGTACTATTTCTGGGTTAGCGGAGTCTGTAACCTGAAGCGTATGTAACCTGAAGCGTATGTAACCCGAGGTACCACTGTATAGCCAGGAGACAGAGAGCTCTAAAGGCAAAAACTAGCACCTTCAAATTCATTCAAAGTAGGGTAGGAATCCACTGTAGAAATTTAAGAAGAGGAATACATGGTTAGCAACAGTTGGAACTGAAGAATTTTCCATTTGTCTCTGTGGATCCTAAGTCTAATCTGTTCTATCTTTACGGAATTGTTTGTGTTTAGTGCTCTGTTACATGTGGGCATGGATATCAAGTGCGTGCAGTCAAATGTGTTGCTGGCATTTATGGAACGATTTTGGACGATAACAGAGAGTGCAGCGCTGCAACTCGTCCAAGGGACAGCCAAGTAAGCAAAACAAGTATTTAGAGAAAGTGCTGTGAAAAAATAACAATTAAGTGAGTTTTATTCTACCCTTCCAGCCATCTCATGTTTCCAAAATGTACTTTTTCACCTTTAGGAATGTGAAATGGCTTCTTGTCCAGAGACCATCAAGCTGTGGCCAACATCACTTCCTGTGATCCAGACTGATAAAGCGGCTCAGTGGAGATACGGATCATGGACTCCAGTGAGTGATATTGCAATGGTGCAATCAAACGTGCATTTTCCTTCTTTATTTCACAATTACTTAAACTTCACCATTTCAAAATATTATTCTATAAATAAACTGGGATAAGGATAAGATCTTAAGAATTGTCTTCTCTTGATAAGAAAAAGGGATGAAAAACTCCTGCATCCCTTTTCAGCAAATTAATTTAGCCCATTTGTTTTGCAGTGTTTATAGTACAACATTATGCATTTGTTCGCTGCTCTTATCTCTTTTTCAAATTGTGCACCATGCATAGGACGCCTTGTCCCCAGGAGCAGAATAATTGGTAGGCAGACCAGTTGTGGGTTAAAAAAAAATAACAGGCTGCAAATTTTTCAAATTGTGCACCATGCATAGGATGCCTTGTCCCCAGGAGCAGAATAATGGGTAGGCAGACCAGTTGTGGGTTAAAAAAAAATAACAGGCCGCAATTTACAGCAAGAACATGGGGTTGACATGGCATGGGGCAAGGATCAGTAATAGAACAGCCCACCTGCTGTCTGAGTGAGATGGGTTGTCCTGGTCAGGGTCCTTTGTTCCGGCTGGGGTTCAAGCAAGGCCAGTATAAGAAGTCTTGTTGTACAGGATGGCTTACCTTGACAGCTGCAGGGCTAGGGAGTCAAGTGCTAACAAATGGCACCATAATGAAAAGAATCTAGGTAAACTGCCAACTACACAGTGGCATTCTTGACTTCATTGAATATTTGGCGCCCTAGTTGACTAGCATGCCAACCCTAAGGAACATATCCTAGCTACACTTAATATCTTAGGGAAAGAGAAGTTTCTTGACTCTGGGTCCTGAGTATGTGCCTCTTTGGTTAGAATAGTACAATTCTGGTTTTGGTCTGTCTTTGCAGTGTTCTGCATCTTGTGGGAAGGGGAACCGTGCGCGTTACGTAAGCTGCCGGGATGGTCACGGCAGAGTAGCAGAAGAATCATTTTGTGCACATTTGCCACGACCCGAAGAACTTTCAAGCTGCTTTAGTCCCTGTGGTGTTTGGCAGTCTGGAAGCTGGTCACCTGTAAATATTACTCTTTTTCCCATTTTGTTTTTTATTTTCCTATTTTATATTAGAACGCCAGTGTACACCTAGGTAGAAAGACTTCCTATGTTTAATTTCTGATGAGGCATGCATAGAGTTGCTTTGGCCCTTGTTCAACAAATGTAGATAATTGTTAATTGCAATTTTTTAAAATAATTGTTAATCATTGGTTATCACTTTTTCCTGTTACGTTGTGTCACATAAATGTTGGGTTAATTTTTGGTCAGTGCACAGTTACATGTGGTAATGGAATAGTAACAAGGCAAGTTGTCTGTGTCAACCACCATCAACAAATTGATGAGAATTACTGTGATCCCGAAGGCCACCCTGCAAAAGAACAAGAATGTAACATGCCACCCTGCCAGCCAGTTTATCACCACAATCCGGATACACGTGAACATCCAAACCACCAGGATTATCCTCCAATGCACAAGGTCCATGATTCACATGACAATGTAAACTCAAGGAATCACCACTCTCCTCAAGGAAACCAGTGGAGAACAGGACCATGGGGAGCAGTAAGTAAATCATTGTCTGTGTACATTTTTCTGCAAACATTTGATGATGATGATGATGATTACCCCACCCATCTGGCTGGGTTTCCCCAGCCACTCTGGGCAGCTCCCAACAGAAAAAAAGGTGATAAAATATCAAACAGGGCTGCCTTCATATATCTTCTAAAAGTCAGATAGTTGTTTATTTCCTTGACATCTGATGGGAGGGTATTCCACAGGGCAGGCACCACTACCAAGAAGGCCCTCTGCCTGGTTCCCTGTAACCCCACTTCTTACCGTGAGGGAACCGCAAGAAGGCCCTCGGAGCTGGACCTCAGTGTCCAGGCTGAACGATGGGGGTGGAGACGCTCTTTCAGCTATACTGGGCCGAGTCCGTTTAGGGCTTTAAAGGTGAACAGATCTTGCTGCTGTTCACTTTTTCCATCCTGTAGGTCCCTGATCCAGAGGTGTCCACATGCAAACTGTCAACACATATACTGTAATCTTCCTTACATGTTTCCCTTCCCTCACTGAACACCACAACTATATATAACTCTGATGTTATATTTTAGGTGCAAACAAGGTTCTCCTTCCTTGCTCTAAACTGAAGGATGGCGTAGTGTGAAAATACAGTCTTTCAGAGAGGAGATTGCAGCCACTTTGCTCCTCCTCTAGACCTGCTGCTGCGGTGCAGCTGTGAGCTAAGCCATGGTTGTACTTTGTGTGCTGTCTGAACGCAAGCTTGTACTTTGTCTCCTCCATACAAACCACAAACTGTTAGCCAAGAGCAAGCCTTTGTTGCAGCTCCTGGTTTGTCTGAAGCACCACAAACCTCAAATGCCTGAATTCAGGTGGCACACTTAGCCAATAATAATAAATTTTTATTTGTATCCCGCCCTCCCCTACCGCAGCTGGGCTTAGAGCGGCTCACAGCCACCACAGCAGATGCAGGACCAATGATGGGAGCAAAGGGACTGTGATCTCCTCTCCTCGACCCAACACATCTGTGTGTATGCACTGAGTTTTGTGCTAAGTGTGAACTGGATCACTGTATTCCTTTGGTATTCATACAACTAGGGCAGCATATTGTGTTTATTGCCTCCTAGTGCTCAAGTACTTGTGCTGGTGGATTTCACCGCCGGGTCGTGGTGTGCCAAGATGAGGAAGGAAGAAGTGCTAGCTTCTGTGATGAAGCACTGAAACCACCTGACTCCAGCCATTGCGATTCTGGTCCCTGTCCAAGATGGAACTATGGGGACTGGGGAGAAGTAAGATGATTAGACTCCATTTGGTTAAAAAAGAGTATTTATTTCTATTAATGCTTTCTAACTTACGATTTGATGTTAGACAAATTCCACGCAGCATTATGAACCCAGCAATATAACATTTGTTACCGATTTAGTCCATTTTCTAGACAAACCCAGCCCTGGTTCACAAGTAGAGAATGAGGCTGACTTGCAGATGTTTTAGCATAGTAAAGAAACGTTAATTTCACTGCTGTCTGTTGTATTTTTAACAGTGGATATTCCACCTCATTTTTAAGAATCCACCCCCCTTATCTTCTTCTGTTTTCACCTATCATTTTGTGTCATGCTTCTCAAATATCTATGTCTTCTATATTGTAACCCTTTTCTACAGGTATATAAAACAGGCTGCAACTCACTACGCTTGCTGGGAGTAAACCCATTAGACCCATATAGGCTTCCTCTTTTAGCTAGTTCTTTTTTAAAGAAACATTTTATGGTAATAATAGTAGTAATAGTTGTTTTTAGACTGTTGGGCTAGGACCTGGGGAACCAGGGTTTACATTTCCCCTCATCTATGAAGTGAACTTGGATCAATCACCTTGTATCAGCCTAACCAACGTAAACACGTAAGAACAACACTAATATAGCTATTTTCCTTACAAAAAAACACCAGTTCTAGATAACCAGGCAGTATACACATTTATGTAAAAGAAGTGGCTACACCAGTTTTGTTTTCCTCATATGGAAAGGATAAGCCCAATGAATGCCACACACAGCTGGTTGGAATAAGGAATACAGATGTCTTTGATAATTAAAATTATGAGCAATAAACGACGGGCTTTTCTTGATAACAGTACCATTCATGAAAATGCTGATCTGTATTTAACTTGCAGTGTACTCAGACATGTGGCGATGGAATAAAGACACGACTGGTGATCTGTCAGCTTGCAAATGGCCAAGCGCTGAATGATCAAAACTGTGAACTGCTAGAGAAACCACCTGAAAGAGCACAGTGTGATATACATGCATGTCCCGTTGAAGTTTCATGGCATCGTGGACCATGGAAATTGGTACGGTAGTATTCACTATCATATTTATTTTACTTTCTTCCTTTCCCCTTTGCCTTTTTGTTTATTAAGTAGAAGTTTTGTTTAAATACAAGAAGAACAGTGCATTCAGTATGCATTTTGTATATGTAGTTTGCTACTTGGTGTTGTATCTTAACCCCTGTAGCTGCTACATTGCTTCAAGCCTTGAAAATGGCTAGTCAATGGTGGCAATTTCAGTGACTCTAATAGAAGTCAAATTGATGCTTTGTACACTCTAGGGTGTGGGAACAAACATGCAGGTTTCTGATCATCAAGAGTGACTAAGCTTTTTGTTACTAACTGGTTTTGAAGGCAACGAAAAGGGGGACTTGTTTAAAAGTCAGCGTAAAAGTCTATAATGTTTTCTACATATTTATTTTTGTACATAGAAAATAATGAACACTCTAATGTCTCTTTGTTGTGTATATAGCTGGCTTGCCTTATATTCAGTAATGTATACCATGCCATCCATACAGTGTGTGATAAAGACTCATATTTGCAGGCTACAGAAATATGTATAATACTGCATTGTGTATAAAATACAACAGCTTTCATTTTATGGTTCAGATAGATTTTGATTAGAAGTTATAAGCACTAGCCTGCACATGTCTAGGGATTGTGTGTTCCCCTGTCTCATTTGTGTGTGAGTAAGGATATTTAAAGTATCTATTCCTGGTTTGTACAGACTGCAGTTGCCTGAGTTCAGATGAAATGGGGGGGGGGGGAAGGTTTAGAACAAACCAATGAGATTTAAGTCTCCTCCCTTCACACACAAAGGGGAGAGCAACAAGGCATGTTTTATTGTTGTGTTTGAACAAGATCACACCTTGGTTATACCAAAAACATACATAGCTATTGCCATTGATGCTTTCACAAGTGCCATTCCGCCCCCTCCAAAAAAAAATGTGAATTATCCAGCCAAAGTTAAGCAGTTTATGGGCTTATTCATGCTTACCACACAGGTTTGCACTTTCCCAGTCTGTGCCCAAGTGCTATTTTCCCTCAGGAAAACCCAATCTTTACCACTGAATTGGAGCAAACAGCAATTCAGGTTTTCTGCAGATTGCCATTTGCTCCGATTCAACGGTAAAGAGCAGGTTTTCACAGAGAAAGTGCTAAGGCAAGAAACAAAAGTGCTCAGACACAGACTTGGAAAGTTCAGACCTGTGCGGAGCTAAGGTAAGCATGGATGAGCCCTAAGTGTGTTGTAGTTAAAGATGCTTGAGTCATGTTCTTAGTATAATCACAGTATTATTATTTTGGGAGTAGAATTGGATAGTGGGAGTTACTGGATAACAGAATAACACTGATTAGTCTAGCTAAGCAGATCGTGCTGGAAAACTCACTGCATTTATTAGAAGCCTCTGGTTTTATTAAGAACGATTTTGCAAGCAAAATTGTTCAGCGTTCTGTTTGACTATGTCAATATCTATAAGGTTAATACTATAATATCCATTTGCAGTGATTTTTCTTCCACTGTTTTGAAGTCAATTTTATAAACAAACATTTTATATGCCGAAAAATATTTAAGTAATTATTAAAACCTTTTCATGCTGCAAATAGAACTTTCAATCTAGAGCATACTGAACATTCAGCACCAGAATATTTTGCGAAGCATTTCCATGCTTAAATTGCACTCATTACAATTGTAAAATTGTAAAATTAAACTCTGGCTGAATTCTCTCCATTTGAATTCAGTGGTGCTAAAGATGTGTCTGGATCATACCTCGTAATATTTATTTTCCTTAATGACTCTGAAATGGTAAACACTAATGATGTTGGAACTAATGCATGAATATGCCAGTAACCCAATTAGCAAGGCATGGATTCTAGAACATAAATGAAAATAAGATCAAGACATGGCAAAGCTGCCAGTACTGGAAAGAATAATAGTTTTACTCAGTTAAAAGTAAATGCAATAGAAAATTATTTAGGCTCTAAGTTTATTAGAATATGTGAAGCTACTTTTGTCTTCATTTGTAGCTCCAATACCCTCTCATGTGAATGGAAGTAACCAACCAACTTGGTGAAGCTGTGAACTTCTATATTTACTCCTAGATGGGTTTCTGTTCGCTCATAAAGCTTTATAAGTGAACTGACATCTTTATCCTAAATGCATTAATTCAGCAGTACATTGGGCTGGATCCAGAGCAAGTTCATTGCACTTGGGCTCCAGTGGGAAGTTAGTCATGATTGTTGAGAGCCAGTGTGGTGTAGTGGTTAAGAGCGGTAGTCTCTTAATCTGGTGAACTGGGTTCACGTCTCCGCTCCTCCACATGCAGCTGCTGGGTGACCTTGGGCTAGTCACACTTCTTTGAAGTCTCTCAGCCCCACTCACCTCACAGAGTGTTTGTTGTGGGGGAGGAAGGGAAAGGAGAATGTTAGCCGCTTTGAGACTCCTTCGGGTAGTGATAAAGCGGGATATCAAATCCAAACTCCTCCTCCTCCTGATATTTCTCATTGTTGTCAGTAGGGTCCAAGTGCAACTAACTTGCTCAGGATGCAACTAATTCTGTTTATTGAAATTATGTACAAATAAGATTTATTGTGCAGTTTTTAGCTTCCTTTTATTTTGTAGATCAAGATGCAGTAGATATTATCAATCCTCTTCTGTGTTTATATATTTCAACCCCTTTCACCATTAAGTCATTGGCCACCATCTGTTCTTGGCTTCAGTAGTCCTTGGAGTCTGATGAAGTATATATAAGTAAAAGAATATTTATTTGACCCGTGTTAATGTAAAGATGGAATTTTCTGTCATAAAAGTGCCTCCACTCACTTATTATAGTGCCTGAAAGTATTTATATTTTTAATAGTCTTTTATATTAAAAGGGAAGTCAGGATCTTGCTTTCAAAACCAACTACATACTTCTTCCTCTGCTGCTGAATATTGTCAAGCGTCAGAATACCTCATTGCTGATATTTGTCCAATGGTTTGTTTACTAACTTCAGTCTTACTTTTAATGCTTTGGGAGAAAAGAATGATCTGCCAATGTCTGACATAATTCATACAATGAAATCAAAAGACTCTAAACACTTGACACTCCATCCAGCGCATAATTGTGTTGAAAAAGGAGAACAAAATAGACATTTCTAAAATTCTCAAACAAGTTTAATGTGTTGATTGTATTGTTGTTGTTGTTACTGTTGTTTAAAAATGTCCATGTTAATGTTCTATTACCTTGTAGTTAACAGAATAAAATAATAATAATTTATGTCTGATAATTTAATTTAATTATATGGATACTACTTGGTGTCTATGCAAAATAATTTCTTTTTGATTTAATTGTTGTGTCACCTGTCTTTCGTGGCTTCATAATTGTTAATAATTAAATGTGCTTTTATTAATTCATCCTTTGTTTTTGGATTGCTGTTTGGAATTAACCATTGATGTGGAAGTGTTTTATATGACAATAAATGTGCTATTCTTCAGTGCCAGTGCTTTCATAGGGGAATAATTGTTACAACACCCTTAAATAATTAAAGATTGAAATACTGCAGAGTTTGTCATGGCCTTTATGTGTGGACTTATATTATCTATTATCAAAAATATACTCTGAACCAGGAAGACACTTAGTGCTTGGTGGAATCTAAGTATATTCCTTTCCGTGTCAGAAAGAAAAATGCCTCAGGTAGGAGTAAATCATTCCATAACTACTAAAGTTTGAATTCTTTAACCAATGTGATCTAAAACAAATACTATTTCAATATGACTGTGACAATGTGACTGTCCCAGCTCATGCCAAACTAGTAGTTCGAAAACATACCAGCACAAGTAGATAAACAGGTAAGGTGGCGGGAAGGTAAACGGCATTTCTGTGCGCTCTGGTTTCCATCACGGTGTTCTGTTGCGCCAGAAGCGGTTTAGTCATGCTGGCCACATGACCCGGAAAGCTGTCTGTGGACAAATGCCAGCTCCCCCAGCCTGAAAGCAAGATGAGCGCCACAACCCCATAGTCGCCTTTGACTGGACTTAAACGTCCAGGGGTCCTTTACTGTTTAGACATCTCAAGTAGCAGATTTTGGGTGTCATGAAAGACAAAAAATACAAATTGTTAGCTATTTAATGTGTAATTAATGTCATTGACCACAAGGGAAGGGGAAAGGTGAGATTTTTCTGCCTTTGGCACTGAAGTAACTATATTAACAGCTAATACGGATTAAATATGCACACTAATTGTGGTGTCCTTTGGCCACATTCTTATGTCACAAGTAACCAGGGTTGCTGGTGTACCATGGTTTATTGTGTGCAGACACACTATTTGCTTACTCCAGCTTCGTTCCTCCTCTGACACAATCGGGAGAACCAAACTAGGAAGCCACAATCAAGCTTGGCTTCTTGTTATAACCAAACCCAGGGTTGTGCAAGCCATGATTGCTTGTCAGCCTTAAACCATGGTTTGCTCCTGACTTACAAATCCTGGCTTGTTAGAGTGTAACGTGCCTTGATCTTAGGTTTGGATGTAATGGGAGGTTGAGCACAACCATGTCTTACTTTGTTTCTCTACTCATTCCTGGGAAGGAATGAAGCAGGAATGATAAACTAGGAAGCTGCTTATTCACAACAATCCACCATAAGCCAGCAGTCCTGGCTTACTGTTACACGTGAACTCTGTTTTGTAGAGATGGGTGTGTGTATGTGCATCTATTTATTTATTTAGAGCACTTGTACCCTGCTCTTCAGCCAAAAAAGGCTTCCAGAGCAGGTTACATGAAATCAAAGCAAGATGCTCCCTACCTGCAGGCTTACATTCAAATAAATAACTTAAAATACAACACACAAAGGAAAAGGGACAAGGAGGAAAGAGGAAAATGAAACTCGAAACTCAGGCACCAGTTTGTAGACAATTGTTCAGGCAGGCACAGTTGAGAGGCAGGAGGTCCCTGGTGGAGCTGGGACTCCAGAAAAGCGGATGCAATGAACCCTGCTTTCCCACTGAGGCAGCCTGATGAAATGGCTTCGCCCAGATGACAGCTGAAGGGAGAGGAGGCCTGATGGAGCTGGCCTGTCGCAGCAGAGCTGGTGGAGTGAGCTCTGCTTCTTCAGTTTTGTTTGGTGCCTGCAGATCTTCCTGGATCCTGAGGTGGTTTCCACCAAGTTCATAATACAGGCGTTGGGGGATCTGTGAAACGACGTGGTTTGAGTTGTAGCTCATTCTTTTGCAGCATCCCAAACCATATTTTACCCTGTTTGGGGAAGAACGAAGAGCTAACCTGAAGAGGTATGTACAAAATGAGCTGCTTTTAAGTTGCTTAGCTATAATGAGTTGTTAAGCCGTTTTCCCTACAACAATTTTTGAAATACATTTTGCTAGATCATTCAGCGGCTGCAAATATGAGCTGCCTTAGTTTTGAAAGTACTTCTGTTCATGCAGAACAATCACTATACTTCCCACAGTAGGCATTTGTGACCCCCAAACTGTGTGTATGGTACTCTTATGTACATAAATGACATGAAACCAAAGGAGTTGAATGGATTCATGGGGAATATGTCTATCAGTGGCTACCTACATGTTCAGAGGAAGAATGCTTTTGAATACCAATTTCTGGGAGGAAGCAGCTGGGGTGGGCTTTTCCCCTCTTGTCTCGCTTGTGGTTTTGCAAAAATGTGCCTTTCCTAAGATCAGGCAGGGCTATTTTTATGTTCTTAAATCCAAATTTTCATCTGCCTTAACTGGGTATTCCTCAGTGAAAACAGAATGTCTCAATCTATTTTGTTGTTGTTGTTCCTGAAGCACATGAATCAATCAAATCAAACTGTACGTGTTCCAATCCGCTCCTGTAAAAGTTGCATCAGTTCCACATGGAAACTCATTGAAATCCACTTTTTTCTGCCACACACAGCTATTTGTTCTCTAGCAGGACTCTTGTCAAGCAAGAGGTGATTCAAACGTATCCTCTTCGACCATTTTATTGATACTTTTTGCTTCAATATTAACATTTCATTGTTATCATCAAATAGATGTAATTACATTAAGTAATATAATGTGGTTAGAGAATATCACAAATTCTCTTAATAAGCTCCTAAAGATATATTAAATAATATGATGTAATTTACTAATGTCATCAGTCCTATTCATGATTCTACCTAATGCTGTCCCTGCTGAAATGTTCTTTTTTTAAAAAAAAATATTTTATCGTTTTTTCAATACAGACACCAACCACAAAACACACATACAACAAAAACCACAATAACACTAATAATACAATTTAACAATTCAGATTTGAGTACTGATATACCTATAACTACACCCTTTTAACAATATTTTCCCACCTCTCCCCCCCCACTTCCCGCCACTTTCCGCCTTATCGCTTAAGTATTCTTCCAGATTTCTTCATATTTATCCATTCTTAATTTGCGTCGATATTCAATTCGCTCGTATGTAACTAGTCTGTCCATATTGTCAATCCATGCTGAAATGTTCTTGATTTACAAAGCAGATCCCTCTGCCACTCACCATGCTTAACTTAGACCCAGCACCCAGCAGATGGGTTCCTGTGTTCACTGCTTTGCATGCCCAACAGTTGCAGGTACATTGTAAAAGTACATCTGTCTCAATATTGTTGGCATAATAGTTTTCTTTCATTTGAAGAGGAACATGCTGAAATATTCTTTGGTTCTTCTGTGATCTTTTAGCAAATTATTCCTACTTTCATTTTTGTGTGTGAATTCTTTTGTTGCTGTTGACAGAATCATTCCAGCCATCATCTTTGTCAGTGTTCTTTCCCTAATGTGACTTTCATCTTGTGATAAATGCATGCATTCCTCATTTCTGAAGCAGGTGGGTGGGGGGATTGATAGTTATAGCTCAACATTTTGGATGGTGTTTTAGGCTGGTTCAAGATGTTCCCTGAAAATCTCATTCTCTCATGCCAGTTTAGTGTGCCTACATAGCCTGATCAGCTGTTGAACTTTTTTCTTTCTAAAAGAGAAGTAGCTTAGGTATCTTGTTAGTAATAATGGCATCATCACATGTCGGTCAGGTGTTGCAACATAGCAACACCACTGAAGCCAAATGAAATTAGTTCAGAGTGAAGGCAATGCTTCCTGAACATTACTCCGAATTAGCTTGTTGGTTCTCAGTGATAATCTCATGTGACTAAATCTGGTTATGCGGGAACTCACTTGTTTCTATGGGAAAATAACTAGTTTAAAGAGAAATAGTGCTGCAGAAATAGATGAACAGATCTCCAAAGATACACCAGACCATCCAACTGACAGGTAATGCAGAATGAAACCCAAAGGGAAATAGGAGTACACCTATGCAGCCATGCTAAAAACACTTTGCCCCTTTTTGAGCCTTCCAGAAGGATGTTGGAAAGGGGTCCTCATGTTTGTAGGGCTGCAAAGTCATTGTTTTGGTTTAGCCTCAATAGATACCCAATTATTATAATCATTACTTCATAAGGTGCACTTCAGTATACTGGCAAAGGGTATATCCAGTAAAGGATTATATCTGAACAGCAATATAATGCATATATGGGATGCGGGTGGCGCTGTGGTCTAAACCACTGAGCCTCTTGGGCTTGCCGATCAGAAGGTTGGCGGTTCAAATCCCCGTGATGGGGTGAGCTCCCATTGCTCTTTCCACCCTAGCAGTTCAAAAGCAGGTCAGTGCAAGTAGATAAATAGGTACTGCTGTGGTGGCATTTGCATGCACTCTGGTTTCCATCACGGTATTCTGTTGCGCCAGAAGTGGTTCAGTCATGCTGGCCACATGACCCAGAAAGCTGTCTGTGAACAAATGCCGGCTCCCTCGGCCTGAAAGCGAGATGAGCGCTGCAACCCCATAGGCGCCTTTGACTGGACTTAACCATCCAGGGGTCCTTTACCTTTTTACCTTTCTTATAATGCACACTTGTGTATAGTGTATATGGGAAGACATTTGTGATTATGCATGCAGTAACCATATGATTGATATATCAAGCTGTTTTAAAACTTTGCCATTTTACCAGCTGGTAATAATATTTTAATGGCATCTGTACTTGAAATAATGACTGGGCTTCAAATTGTGAAGTAGGGAGGAAATTTATTGACAGCTGATCCCACCACACGAGTAAATGAAAAATTAAGTGTGTGTGTGTGTGTGTGTGTGAGAGAGAGAGAGAGAGAGAGAGAGAGAGAGATATTTTCTGATTCTCGGATGGGAATCAGATGCCACAGCAAAGACCCCGTTAAGACAAAAGCAAAAATAATAATTCCTTCTGTTGTAACGGGTTTGTGTGTATGTCTTTTTTATTATTTTAAAAAAGCATATTAAACTGCATGAAATGTTGATATATCTGTGCAGTTGGGGGAAAGCATGCATTGATAGTAAATATTGAATAAGTAATTTTAAACTTTTATGCAGTGTGAAAATCAGTTTATATAGTGACACGCTTACATATTGTTCAATAATAATTGAATCTTAGAAGAATTATAATTTTTCCAATATGTAGTTTAATCCTGGGAGGGGGGGACATAGCTGAGAAGAGTAGACCAACACGATTTTATTATGGCAATTTCAGTTGCAATAGAGGTGTCAAACATAATGGCTTAGTGACCTCCTGAAATCCTCCTGCACAATATACTATTGAATTATCTTTATAGTTTGAAATCTGATGTTCATTTTAAAATCAATGTATTTATTTATAAGCATCCTATACATACAAAAATATCTATATAAACAATCAGGTAATTTAAGAGCTGCAGACAATCTATACTAATGTCATTGTTATTCCTGGTATAAACAATTAGCAATACAATAAAGATTTTCTCTTAATATTCCACAATAATCAAATTGTTATAATATTCAGCAATTACCAAAAAACCTATATTTCATAAATAGTTGAGAACACATTCTATTGAATTGAATTGAATTCACATTCTATTCTATTCTTTACAAACCTTTTTTTTTTTTAAGCACAAAGGTTCAAATCTATCAATGATCGCTGCTGTGTGATGCAGACAGATGAATTATTTTCAGGTTTAAAATATGGGTGTGTTTCTTGCTTGGTGGCAAATTATTGGTCCTGCAATCCATTTGAATTTAGCACACCTAGTCAGAATCATGATTCTGAAATTGTTGTTGCTGCTGCTGTTATATCTTACCCTCCCTTCACTTGAAAGTCCCAGGGTGGGCTGCAACAATTTCAAATACAACATTAAAAACAGTTTTTAAAAAAGTTACAATCTCAAAATAAGGTCTTAAGAATATGTATCTCAGGTATCAAAGGTCACGGTAAAGAGGTGAGACTTTAGCATTTGCTGAAAGCCATTAAGTGACATTTCCAGATGTGTCTCTGTTTTAAAACAATAAATCTAAATGGAACCCATTATCTGGCTACTGCACTTTTGAGCAGTTGACATTTCTGAGTCATCTTCAAAGCCAGTCGCATTGCAGTTGTCCAATCTGGTAGTGTCCAGAGCATGGAGTACAGTGTCCAAGTCATTTCTGTCCAAAAGGGGCCAGAGCTTGGCAAACCAGTGAGACTGGGGGGAAAGCACTCCTAGCCACTGAGGCCACCTGAGCCTCTGGTGACAGTGCTGAATTCAGGAGTCACCCCTGGACCTGCGCCTTGCAGAGGAGTGCAACCCCATCCAGAATGAGCTGTTTCCCCACTTCCCAGGCATGAGAACTTGCGGCACATGACATCTTTGTCTTTTCAAAGATTCAGCTTTGAGGTATTGACTCCCCTCCACCTAATATGCCAATAACTGTCCTGATAATTAGATGGAAGTGCTTCGTTTTGCCTGAAGACGATTGATGGATTGATATAATATTTAAGCACTTCTTTGTGGAGGGTTGCAAGAGGGTGGTGTTTCGAGGAGAGAGGGTTAAATTGGGATGTGGAAAATATGAAAACAACAAGAAGAGGCAGGACAGAGATTTGGAGATATGCTTCAGAGGTCCAGACTATGGGGAGCCCCAAAAAATCAGTAATTACAATTTGGATTATAATTTGGTCTTTTTTTGTTTTTGTTTTTTGTTTAATTGGATTATGATTGGATATGTTGCTTGGATGTTTTTTACTGGAAAATCAATAAAAATATTTTTTTTAAAAAAGAGGAGAGAGGGAATGTGCTGTTGTTGCCAGAGAAACTGGGCTGATACTTCTCATCTTGATCCAATCCGACACAGTTGCAGCCGAATGAGGCTGAAGATGTGTCTTTGGATGCACAACCAAACGCTGATGTCACTAATTCACAACACGTTGCTTTTTTTCCATCCAAATATTTAACTTCATCCACATTCCACCACACTTAGCCACACACAGCAACGTGCCACTAGAGTTGGACTGGGGACAAAGCCTGGTTGTGCAGGGCTAAATAGGCAATGTAACCTCCTGCACAGCACAGCAAGGCGAGAATATTAGAAGCGCATCTCCACTGTTCGAAGGGGTGGTTTCACTATCCGTTTGTGATGTGGCCTAATCTCATTGGCTGTGTCAGACTGCAGTCATGGAATCATAGAATTGTTGAGTTGGAAGGGACCCTAAGAGGTTCTCTGTGTAATCCCTAACTGGTTGGGATCATTCAGTGAAGAAGAATCACTGCAGATGGATCTGAAGCAACAATATTATTGGGGCTAGGAAAACCTGAAAGGCTACTGTGATGGGTATGGGGTTTTTTCAAAGGTTTTTCTTGCCTCTTGAAAGCTCAAGCTTGAGTGTAAAAATTCCTCACTAAGGCAAAGGAAAGAGATGAGAAAGATGGTGCAAAAAGGAAGAAGAGGAACTATAGCTGGGGAAGGAGGGTGGGGATACAAATGGTGAATGGCTTCATGAAATTTCACAGGCCTTGTCACCTCAATCTCTTCCAGTACAGTTTATTGCAGAACATCCCAACTATTCAGGATTCTGCAATCAACTGTGTCTTGAGGTGTCTGGATGTGAATATTACACCTGTATCATATGAATTCATTTGTATTCCAGCGGCTGCATTTGATTGATCTCCCTTGAATGTTATTATTTAAAGGAAAAGGGGATTTAGCAGACAAAGCCCAGTTACCAGAGAAGCATACAGACTTTGAACAATACTAATCAAATCCAGCTTTTGCCCTTTGATGTGTTAATATTTTTAAAAGAATCTGCCATACAACAGATGTTAGTTTAGTCCAGTTGAGATAAGTAACAGAATCTTAGCATAAATAAGAGATCATCCAGCTTCAATTTAGTCGGTATATTTGATTCTTCAAATTATGGCGAATGGTTTCTGCATGCTACGTCCAATGAAAGTATTTTGTATAAATCATCAAATGAATAAGATTTAAGACTGAAATCTTGTACACCCTTACCTGGCAGTAAGTCCCATTGACAATGATAAGACTTACGTTGGAGTGGTGATGTAGAGATGATTGTGATGATTGTGCTGCATATCTTCTAACTGTATAATTGCAAAAATGTTCAAAGAGAAATAAAATGGTTAGAAAAAACAGAGAGGTGGGGGGCACTTCTGTAGAAAGTGTGTGCATCTGCCCATAAGGGACTATACTATTTTTCTGAGCTTTAGCTAGGCTTATCCTTTTTAGAGTAAACCCACTGGAATCAATGGAATTTTAGTTAGCCCCATTGGTTTCAATGGGCCTTTCCTTAAGGCTAGAGCCAATTATTTCTTTTGTCTGTGTGAGATGCAGCAAGCAATTGATTACTTTGCCAAAAACTACTTATGCAATAAAGTGCCAATGGGTGTGATAGGATGTCAGGCTTCAGGGAACTGGCTTCCTTCCTCCCCCTTTGGCAGTAGATAAGCAGAACAAAGATAAAAGAGTCTCTTACCAGTTAGAAACTTTAATGATCACAGCAAGAGAGCAAAGAATCCATTCCTAGGAATGAAGGTGCTCCCAATTAAGGGTTCCACCCACTTCCTCCCTAGTCACCCCGTCACTACCGCATCTTGTAACCTGATCTTGCAACCACTGTGCTTTGTCTGCTGCCACCTTATTTGCTCTTCTTGACCTTGGACTGAGCAGATGAACACTTTCAAGTGACAGTGAGTCTGTTAACTCTCTCCCGGTTCTTCTCCTCCTAGCTGTTCCCCATCTAGTACTTCCCAGCTTCTGCCTTCTGAACTATGCCCCTCTGCAAACCACTGTTCCAAATCTATACTGTCCTGGGAAGATTCAGGATTCTGATCAGGAGCAGGGGGAGGGGGAGGCTCCCTCCATTCCTCCTCAGTGCAGCCCTCCTCAGCACGGTCCCTGACATACGATCATTTTTTAAAGGAGTCAGACAGCAGGTACCTTCCCTGGAAAAGGCGCTGAACTAGCACAAAACGAAACTTGTTAAATCCTCCAAGTGTCAGCAGTGATAACTCTATTGTGTTTATTAAGTTGGAAGGACAGAGTTCTACTCCATTGACACTAACTGGCAGCTATATAATTGCTCGCTAAATACCCATCATTTTGATGGACAGTTTGCTTGTGGAGAAAGAGTTCGTATATTGCAAGGACTCCCGAGGGAAGGGGAAACAAGTATGCAGTGACTTTTGGCATAGCCTATGCGATCCCATTATTACAGAGAAAGGTCGGTTTTGCCCTAAATTGACCCCAAACTGCATCACTCTCCTTCCACCCGCCACCCCTTGGCAACCAATAACTTAGGGAAAAGCAGAGAGGTGAAAAACCCTAAAGCCATGGTTAACCAGGCCTGTCTGCACAACCCACCCATTTGGATAACCTAGGCCTGTGATCTTAGACACAATCCAATGGATTGGAACCTGCAGAATTGACTTGGTGTATCTCCATGTTTCAACACATATGATATTATGCACTCTATATACTGTTTCTAGAGAGATGTGGCCAGCTGTTTCTTGGGCACTGGAGTGCCTTGCACAGCTGTTGTAAGCCCTGAAACAAGCAGAAATGCATAGTTAGAAACAGATATCTCAAGCAATCTTACTCCTTTCTTGTAGCTATAAAATAGTCTGCTTTTATTTGTTTCCAAATAGCCGCACAGTATTTTTTGTAAAAGGTAATGTTTTCTACTACTGAAGAGGCAGGATTGATCTAAATTGCAGTCCAAATGATGGAGGCCCCTTGGTGGCACATATGTGGGGTGTTTCTTGAAAGGAAAGATATAAAAGCTATATGAAGAGTTCCTGTCTGTACGGTTTCCTGAAAAGCGACCCTTTAAAGCGCAAGCAAAGAAGCTTTTGAACACAAACCTGAACAGACTTCTCAGTTTAGTTTTACAGATGGAATTAAGTGGCAGCAGTGAAAAAACTTTTAACTTTGCAATAAAATTCACACGATCCAGCCAAAGTTAAGCACTTTTAAGTCCTATTAATTTCAGTGGGAGATTTAAGCACATGCATAAATCTCTCCTGTTGAAACCTGTGGGAGTTTAAAGTGCTTTGGCTAGGGGGAAAATGCATTTATTAATCTATTATAGAGATTAATGCCTAGGGCAATTTACAGGAAACTACCTTTGTAACAAGAGATTATTTACTGAACCTTTAAATGCTGGTCCTAGTGCTTTTTTCTCCACCTAGATATGGATAGCTGAATGCAAAATACACCTTGTTGATCACATGAATTTTCAGCTGATAGTTTTCTTAGTATACTACATGCTAGTGGGTGTGCTTACTGCTTCTACTCAGGAAGAAAGTGATGCAAATCTCAGAGTTTGGGACTTCCTTCATGAAATTTATGTGCCCACAAGCTGAGACACACCACAGACCCTTCCAAGTGTCCCTGTTTTCCAGGAAGAGTTCCAGATTTACAGAAGCCTTCCCGGTTTCTGATTTGATCCTGGAATGTCCCACTTTTCCTTAGGACGTCCCTATTTTCATCAGAGAAATGTTGGAAGGTATGGTAGGATGACCCTATTTTTGTCAGAGAAACATTGGAAGGTATGGAGTTATGCCACCCCTGAGCCAAGGAGATATGTAACTATACAACCTTTAGAAGATATCTGAAGGCAGCCCTGTTTAGGGAAGTTTCTAAATGTTTAATGTTTTGCTGTGTTTTTATATATTGGAAGCTGCCCAGAGTGGCTGGGGCAACCCAGCTAGGTGGGCAGGGCATATATAAAATTATGATGGTGATGATGATGGAATAGGTAGGACACTCCTGTTTTCATTGGAGAAATGTTGGAAGGAACGCATCCATGTTTCAAGGGGTAGTAGTAGCTCAACCACGAAACATGAGCCCTGAATTTTTCTTCAGTTCAGATTTTGATCTGAGCTAGAGAAGAATTCCTTGTACTCATTGTGTCCCAAGCCCTCTCCATTCAGCTGATTCCCTCAGGCCCCTCTAGCCTACCCTGTTCTCCCACACCACTAACTGGACTACAGTGAAGACCGCAGTATGGCTGTAGCAGCAAGTTGCACTGTGTCCAGGCTACAGGGAACGGTGACAGAGAGAGGCCTCCCATCTCCATGGGGTGTAGCAATATGCCAACCCAGGCAAAGTGGGCCCTGGAAAATGTGCTGCCCCTAGGCCATGGCTACAAATAGATGCAGACTACATCCCCAAAGGCTCCTTTTGGTTGCTCTGGTGCCCTGCTACATATCACACAAAAGTATCAAGAGAAGAGCAATAGGAAGGAAAGGCATCCCTTCCATCAGTCTCCCTACAGCTTAATGTACATTCTGGCAGTTCCCTTGCTGCGAGAAGCCAAGTTACAGGGAACCAGGCAGAGGACCTTCTCGGTAGTGGCGCCCTCCCTGTGGAACACCCTCCCACCAGATGTCAAAGAAAAAAACAATGACCAGACTTTTAGAAGACATCTGAAGGCAGCCCTGTTTAGGGAAACTTTTAATGTTTAATAGACTATTGTATTTTAATATTTTGTTGGAAGCCGCCCAGAGTGGCTGGGAAACCCAGCCAAATGGGTGAGGTATAAATAATAAATTATTATTATTATTATTATTATTTGAACTGCCACCTGATAAGTGGGGGGGGGGATTCTGAGGTACCGGCGGAAGATAAGTTTGAGTGACTACGAGGTTGGGAGTGGACCCTATTTGGGAGGAGATAACTCAATTTCTTTCCAAGCCAACCTGAAGTGAACCGAGGCAGAGGAGGCTCACCCATCACTAGTGCAAAGTTAATAATAGCGAGACACAGTCGGGCACAGTTATGTGTAAGGAACAAATCCCATAGATTTTAGTAAAATTCAGTAGAGAACAACACTGGAGTATGAGTCTTTGGCCTTTCGCTTTTTCATCTAGAGCAAATAAGTGTCTTAACACTTAAGGGCTCTTTATATATGTAAAAACCATGAGTATCCAGTGAAGTCATTCCACTGGCACAAAGATTTATGTCTTCACAACAGAACTTTCCTCCCTCTCCTCTCCTCACACCCCATGCCTCTCCCAAATCTGCTCTGGAGTTCTTATGCTGACAGAACAACTTTGATGGATCCTGCCCTCTGGCACCATCTGTGTAGTAGACAAAGAGATAATTTTAATTCCCAATATGTTTCAGGCATCAGCCTGTCGCAATAGACCAGTTGCTTTATCTAAGGCAGATGAATCCACTTGTCCATTCAGTAGAGTGCATGTATGTTTTGAAACTTTTTATAAGCAGTGTCACATTATCAAACTAGGCCAAGGAAGACTTTTTTTAAAATCATACATTTGGTACTTTCCCCACTCCTAATATTTTTTCCACAGCTGCTGCACTTCTTGTTGCTTTCCTTCCATTACTAGTGTACAGCTAATGTTTTTTCCTTTATCCTTTCTGAATTACTAACTTCCACTCTATACTCCGTCTGTTTTGTCATTATTTTATTGTACATTAATTGACACTTCATTGACCATTATCAAGAAATCCTTTTAAGAAGCTAAACCTACTACAGTGACTTCATAAAACACACTTGCACAAACACCATCTTCTATAGTATATATTGTCTGCGTCCTGTTCTGTGTTATTCTATACAAGCACAACTTAAAATGAGCATTTTGTAAACAGCAAAATATTCCCCATATTCCTTGCAAGCAAAACTGGTGCCCATTTGATCAAAGACAGCATTGGTTTTATTTCAGAGCATTTGCATGCTGTCGTTATACATTTGAGGGATTCAGCAGGTCACAATTAAAGCATTTATATCTTTATATTTCAAACAATACATTTATAACAAGCCGCTGTATGAATTACTAATGAGCAGCCGTCTGCTTTTTTATATTGGCACTCTAAGCATTATTCTTCTAATGCAAATCCTGTAGATTTCAAATGGGGAGAGTTCAGCACTGGCTTAATTATTCCATTGAAACTGATGGTGCTTTTAAAGCAGTGCTGTTTTTCTGGAAAAAGAGGTGCCGGAACTCACGATGAACGCCTCCTTTGCTCTCTTATAATGTCAATGGTGCCCACCTGAGAGGCGCAGGAACTGAACTCTGGTGAATTCCTGCTGAAAAAAGGACTTGCTTAGCTGTGGCTGGATTGCACCCTTAATTTTTTATTATTAATCACTGAGTAGACCAGGCATGTTTCTTTGCTATGAAAGTAAAGAACAGAACAACATTCTTACCTTAACACTGTTGCCTTCGGTGAATATTGTTTGGAAACCGCAAACCTCGGAAACAGAGGAAAAATGGAAGTAAAGTGTCTGGTGAGGAATAGCTCATACTGCGGAAATGGAAACCGCTGAGGAAGGAGGGGACAGCCTAATACACTGACACTGGATCTGTTTTCATGTTGGTACTTCAGATAAAGAAATTAAATGATTAGATCTGCCTTACAGTATAAGTGAACTTTTTTTAAAAAAAGAAAAAAGATGAGCCTTTTGAGACAATAGGAAATACGTTGTGTCTTTTTCAAACACCTGCCTTACTTAAGTGCCACCATTTATCAAGTTCTGTTTACAGTGTAAAGACTTTAATGTGGAGCTTATCACTGGGGTCCTTTGATACTTAATCCTTCCAGAACTGGCTCTTTGAAATGCCTTTATAATGATAAGGTTTGCAAAAGTGGCAGGTTCTCTGTCGCCTCATGCTCAAGGGCTCGGATAAGAGAAAAGAATACCTTGCAGGAAATATCAAATATCCTTCGCATGGGTCTTTCCCCCTCATTAGAATACCCTCAAAGTGTAACAGAATACAAAGCCTGTAGTGTTTGAAAATTTAGCATAAGAAAACAAATACACTGACATCCCTAGTCCTAACTGTATATACAATGAAGTAAATCCTACTTTTCAGTAAAACTATAGGCAAGTTCCACCATACAATCTATATGTCAGTTCCATAGAAATATGAGACATCCTGCTAGATACAGCGATGTAAAATGCAAGTCTCAGTCAGTAGCCTTAGAAATGTTTCCATTTGCTGAAAATAAGTACTGTATTAATTTTTGCTTTGGGGAAAGTAAGGCTGCTGAAGTAGGTAAATCTTAAACACAACTACAAATGAGCAGGCAACTGCCGACTTATTTTAGCTGCCCTGAGCATTTGGGTCTAACTGCTATTTTAAGTTCCCATTATGGCCCACCATGTAGTAGTGTCACTGCCAATGTGGTAAATTTAAATGTCTGCCAAGCCCAGGGCAGATCAGGGCAACAGAAAACAGAAAGATAATTGTTAGTGATAGGGCCTCGTAGGGTGCTCTGGTACTGACCAGCTCTGGTATTAACTCCACCTGACTTTCCAGTAAGATTTCCTCCCACCGCTATAAGGCTGGTGAGAATCAGAGTAAAGAATCATACAGAGATGGATGGTCACACAGAGGATAGATACATCAACATGCTATTAAGCATGTAAGCAAAATGGAATGTTTGGGTGCCAGGCCATGGGAACAAAGAGCAGGACGTGGTCACTGTCAACATCAGTGGTGGTGCCAGGGCAGGACTTGATGGTAGAACCGGAGGAGGACCCACTTAGCAGAGTGAGCAGGGGGACCACCAAACACTGCAGGGCTGACTTCAAAGTAAGCAAAGCAACACAGAGAGATTCTCTGTAAGACTGTTAAGTCTGGACTCCAAAATTGTGTAACTGCATCACTGGCCAACATGTCCTGTTTGAGAACTTCAAGACTCACATGGCTGACCACACAGTAGAACCCTATGAATGTTTGTTCACGAGTAAGTGCCAATATCTTCAATAGGGCCCTCTCCCTTAAGTGGGTGTATGATTGTGGCCCAAATGGACCTGATTCAGCATAGTAGCATTTATTTGCCATGCAATATTTGCACCAATAATTGGCCATGCTTCTGCTATGAAAATGTCATCCTAAAGTCAAACAGCTGAGAATGTTTGATTCTTCTTTCTTTTACAGTGCTCTGTATCCTGTGGGAAGGGTGTAAAGGATCGTGACATATATTGCGTTAACAACTTCCAAATTAAACTAGGTGATAATATGTGCCAGCATTTAAAGAAGCCTCGAACCCACAAAGTTTGCAGAGCTGCCCGATGTCCTGGATGGAAGGCCAACAGGTGGAATGAGGTATTTTTTAGTCTTGCAGTCAAGTCACGATACAGTTCTGCAGCAGAGAGAAGGTCATACCTTCTGCAATGAAATATAGTACCTAACTTTTTTGTACTGTGGTACACCCAGTAGAGTTTGGCTCGTATGGTCCAATCTACTGTCTAATGACAGTTGTTATTTATTTATTTATTTACTTATTTGTTTAATCAGTTTATAGACCAATTAATATATTAAAAAGCTCTTAGAGTTTTACAAGGTAAAACAACAGGAACATAAAATAGAATACAAATTAACTGAAAATACAAACTTTCAATGAAACTCAAGGAACAAAATACAAAAACCACCAAGCAGTGCAATCTAAAAAATAACACTTGGGAAATGTTGGGGGCGGGGACAAATACATTCTTAATAAGAATTTAAGACACTTCCAAGTTGGGGTACCAATCCAGTTTTGCTACAGCATTTAATTTTCTTAGGCCATTATCTGGACACAATAGTCACATGGAAATAAGCCCCATTGAAGAATCCTGAGTAAACACAGGATTTGACTGGATTTTAACTCTCCCATTGAAATCAATGAGGTTTTTAAGTGCTTAGCCTTCACTAGGCAGTATTCTCTTGTATTGTGTGGTTCCGGTTATTCAGAAATATTTCACAAAAGTGGCAAATCTGTGATACTAGGCTAGCCACAGGTTGATTCTGAACACATTGGACCACTGTTGCTATAATTCAGAAATGCACAATTTGCACACCACTGGGCTGAACACAGTGAGCCAACAATAGACAGTAACTTACCAGCCGCTCAATAAGGCCTCTTGAATTTGGGGGTCTGCCTGGGCTGGCATGGGTTGTCAGACACCAAGCAGGCCACAATATTTGGCTCAAGAGCTGTCGCCAGTTTGAGACGCCATAAGCTGTGCAAGCCTGCTACAATCATCCCCTTCCATCCATCTCATTTTAGTTTCTCTTAACATGTGGTGAAAGCATAATAGGACCTTAGGAAGCTACATTATACTGAATCATCACCAGGATAGTCTCAGGTCTCTCTCAGTCCTACCTTGGAGATGCCAGAGATACAAACTGGGGCCTTCTGCATGGGAAGAAGATGTTCTACTATTGATCTACAGCCCTTCCTTTATGATTAGGACAATGCGGTCATTTGTTGTTGTTTAGTCGTGACCCCATGGACCAGAGCACGCCAGGCACTTCTGTCTTCCACTGCCTCCTGCAGTTTGATCAAACTCATGCTGGTAGCTTTGAGAACACTGTCCAGCCATCTCGTCCTCTGTCGTCCTCTTCTCCTTGTGCCCTCCATCTTTCCCAGCATCAGGGTCTTTTCCAGGGAGTCTTCTCTTCTCATGAGGTGGCCAAAGTATTGGAGCCTCAGCTTCACGATCTGTCCTTCCAGTGAGCACTCAGGGCTGATTTCCTTAAGAATGGAAAGCATCAATTCTTTGGCGATCAGCCTTCTTTTAATTTTGTGGCTGCTTTCACCATCTGCAGTGATCATGGAGCCCAAGAAAGTAAAATCTCTCACTGCCTCCATTTCTTCCCCTTCTATTTGCCAGGAGGTGATGGGACCAGTGGCCATATATGCGGTCATATATGTGTCCTAAATTATTACACATCATTTTTCATTGTGCCGCATTGTGTCAATGCAGTTCTGAAGTTAATTAACATTCTGTGGAGGGATGTGCCTTGCGTCAGCAAATGCAATTGATGGAGATGACTACAAAGCAAAACACGTATAGAGGATCTGCTCTCCTTTCATGCTTACATACAGATCACCATAAAGTTAATAGTTACGGTACAAATGAGTCTGGAGAATAGAAACTCCAGCTCCCCATCTGCGATTTTCAAATAAAGTTAATGGAAACAAGTTGTGGTATGTGCTTTTTTCACTCACGTACAAGAAGGCTATATATTCTGCCTTTTCAAGAGGCACACATTTTAGGAAATGTGCCATGGAGAATTAACATTAAAAGGCTGCAGAGGAGAGTATGACTTAAAAAAAAAATGAAACAAATATGCAATGAAAGGGTGGAGGCAATAATGGCTAAATATGATTCAGTCATTTTTGAAGTCTGGAAAACATTGGCAATGGTAAGATGAAGCTGCTTGAAAGCATGTGGCCTTTGATTTCTGTGTGAGAGAGAAGACAAGTGACATCAGCATGTGAATAAATTCCCTCTTTACCAGTTACATGAATGCCATGTACGAGGGGTAGGAAATAAAGAGTACATTTGCTCAGTTGCTTTTCAGCCCTCCATATAAGCCTGCACAGCTCGTGACCGACAATACATGCTAACGACCATCTGTTGTGGTTTTCCAATGCCGGAACTCTCCACTTTTGCCTACACAACAAGGGATGGGAGATAAATTTGATTCAGTCTGCATTTAAAGGTGAACTTAATCCACATTTCCCAAAATGATCTGCAAACTGAGGTTCAGCCATCCTTCACAATTCACACTTCCCTGAATTTTGCAATGCAATTCTTTGGCCAAGTATTGTGTACAAAGATGCACAAGCCAGGGTACAATGTGCATATAGGTGCATATATTTTACTGAAAATAACATAAAATGCATTATACTAGGGAAAGCTGCTTTGCAAAAAAATGTAGATATTGGGCAAAATTGCACACAAAAAAGTGGATTCTAGGAGACACCATGAACTGATGTGGAAATCTAAACTTAAAATTGGAAAAATGGGAAACAGAGAGAAAATGACATTGATATATTTCCCCATATATGGCTTGTGGGTGCAATGGCTCACAACTGACAATTGCCTTCCACTAATAGAGCAAGATTTCCTGTGCTGCAGTAGCAAAGACCTATACTTGCCTACTCATAAGTGTCATTCTGAGTTTAACAGGACTTACTCCAAGGTAAGTAGGTAGGCTGCAGTCCTGTCTCCAACTTACCTGGGTGTAAACCCCACTGATTTATTTTAGAGTACGTATACCCTAGCAGAGTTAGTGACTATTAAAAAGTATGAATGTCGTATTCCTAACAATACATACTTGGGTTAAGCACCCTTGAGCTCATCAGGGCTTTTCTCTGTGCAGATATTGTTTGGATTGCCCTGTTATGTCTCATTCACTCATTTTCCTGGTTTTTCTGTGCCTGTGTGTGCACATTTATTTATTTCAGTGTTCCGTGACCTGTGGAGAAGGAGTTCAACACCGGGATGTTTACTGTAGGCTGAGAGGCAGCGGTAGAGTTGATGAAGTGCTGTGTAATTATCTGATGCAACCACCTAGTAAGAGGCCTTGTTGGTTGCCTGCCTGTGTACAGTATCACTGGCTGACTGACGAATGGCAAGATGTAAGTATGGCCAAGAAATAAGCTTCTTGCTTGCGCTTATTTAAACCAGTTACAGATGTCTGCAGGTTTGGCTGCAGTTACCCTACTTGTTAAAAAATATTTGCAGTGGGAAGACTGTCATAGTTTTCAACGGTGACATGCAACACTGTTCCCATATGTGTATTATTTGTGCATTCTGCTGTTTGCCCACGTATTTCCAGTTTGTCTACTTCACTCCCTGCCAATGAAGATGCCCGTAAAGTGAGGTGGGTGGTAACGCTACTGACACACACGTTTTAAGGATCAAAGGCGATCTGTTGAAGAAAGATCTGAAGGTTGCTTTATGATGTATGACTCTATGGCTGCATTAATAGGGTGCCCCAATAGTGTAAATGGGGAAATCAAAACAGTGATACATTTTCCTTTACAACTCTGAGTGGCTTTGAATGGCAGGATGACACACAGGGAACAAGAAGTGATTTTGATGTGAACTTCCTTATTCCGTTGACTCTTGGTCTTCTGTGAAATAGCCATATTATATATCACCCAGTTTGGAAAATCCAAATGCCTGATTGAGGAACAACTTGAACAGCTCTCCACTAGGGCAGACATGAAACATGTAGCTTCCATGAGATGCCCACCCTGAAATGCTACTCTTAGCACCTACCACTTAATATCATATATAAAGCTTTAATATAAACGAGTAGCTACAGAATTCCACTTGCTTTCAGAGTGGCCACATTCGGGACGAGCTTCTCTGGAAAAAAAACTCAGCTTCAGAAATGTAGTCTATCTTACAGGATTTGTTCTTGTCATCTTCAGTGTTCCTCGTCATGTCAAAAAAGGGAAACATACCGCAAGGTGAGGTGTGTGGATGAAAACGGGATCCAAGTAAACGAAAAACTCTGTGATCCTGGCGCGAAACCTCCATCCAGCAAGAAATGCAAACTGGCTTCCTGTAAATATATTGTCATTACAGTTGACTCCTCACAGGTATGTATATGTGCATTTGTGACCAGGTGTCTGATTTTATACCTGAAAACAGCAGATACATTTTTAAAAAAGCATGGGAGTACAAACAGTCTCTCTTACCAACAGTTCAAAAACATTCATTGAATTCTCTCAGCTTCCACCAATTCAGTTTGCTTTTATTATGGGGTACAGGCCTTGGAGCTGCTTTTCCCAACATGAACATCTCTTTCTGTTGAAAAAGTTTTGTATTTTGTGGCCTAAAGATTTTAGGGACAGCCACACAAAAACTGTCTTCCGCAGAGCAGCTGCCTCCCTGAATTTCTGAGGGAGGTGGAGCTACCAAGAGATAAAATCCTATGCCTACTTTCTTGGGAGTAAGCTCATTGAAATGGGGACTTCCTTCTAGGAAACATGCATAGAACAAGGTTGCAATAAAGCCTCTCCTCCTTCCACAACTCCAGGGAGGAGATGTGAGCGAGAGCCATTTCCCGTCTCGGCAGGGGGTGTTCTGGCCCCTGTGTCTGTTGTCCCAGCTGCCGTGCCGCACCCCCTGGCAACCAACCAATCAGGCGGAAGCTGAGGGGGTGGGGTTTAGCTGCTCAAATGCGGCAGCGGCAGCACTGCCCTCTCATTGCGCTGCTGGGTTTTGTCGGATCACCCACCCATCCTCCCTTTAGTTCATTTCCATGTTTTTGACCTTGCTATGGACCTGTGGTTGGTTGCCTTAGTTGTCCAAGGGGCCTGATAGGAATTTTTATATACTTTGTCCTTGTGTCTTTCTTATCCTCAAGCGGGTGGCAGGTCCTCAACTCACAAGTATAATAACAATTAACTTCATGTGCCCTTTGTGACAGTAATTATATTATTTTAGTGTCCAGCTGGTTGTTATCTTGAGAACCAGCAGAAGACCTCATACTGTGTAGAAGCCCACAATGCCTGGAACAGCCATACCAACAGCCTTCGAAAAATAGCATACAGAAATTGCCCACTGGCTCAGTCACCACTGATGAATAAATGTAATGTTGTGGCATGTCCACTTGCCGCATCATGGAATGTGGGGAAGTGGAGTCAGGTGAGTATTGACTCAGCAGGGTTAAGATGCCTCAGCCCAGGAAGGAATTGTGGCCTCCACTTTGACTTGTTTGTTGTTGTCTAAATTATTTCTATGATCTCTGTTTAAGTGTTCAGCACCTTGTGGAAAGGGAACGGCAGGAAGAAGAGTAGAATGCATGACCCAAAGTGGCTCACCCAGTGACTTGTGTCTGTCACATTTGAAACCTGCAGCTAGAAGGATTTGCCATGCGAAAGACTGTAAGTAATTCAGATATGTGCAATGGATACAATGGAATGCTTCATTCACACACACACACACACACACACACACACACACACAAAATGACCTGACACGTCTATTTTTAGGTGAGATGATAACCAGCTGCAAAGAAATCCAGATCAGAAAAAAGATTAGAAAGGATGGGGAATATTTGCTAAACATTAAAGGAAGAAAGATAAAGGTATTGTTACTCCTTTTATCTGAGAGGGGAGATATGTGGAGGAAATGCATCTTTTTCTAAAGGAATTCTATGTTTCTGTTGTAGATTTTTTGTTCAGACATGTGGCTAGAGGATCCCAAAGAATATTTAACACTGGCTAAAGGAGAAGCAGATAACTTTTCAGAAGTATATGGATATAGGTACTGTGATTTTTAATTTTTTAACCTTTCTTTATTTGTAGATATACTGTATTCATATGTAAGTTGCAGAATGATATGTCTGTTTCTTTTTATGTTCTGAATTAATGTTGAGGAACCTAGGAAATGCTATTCCTAGGTTCTTCAACATTAATTCAGAACATAAAAAGGCAACTCTGCACTTGTGCACATTCGAGATGCAGGCTACCTGGACATGTTGGACAGCCATCTAAAATGGTGGCACCCTGCATGCTCCAAACTGAGCATGTGCAAATAGTTTCAGAATTCATCTGGAGCAAACTCCAACCCCCATAATTCATGCTATTATTTGGCCAGAGCTCTACCAAAACTCATAACCTGAGCATGGCTTATTTCTAAGCATTGCATCTGCAGTGGCTCCGTATGCTGGGCATGATCCAGCCAAAGTTAATTTCTAAATCCTATTTATTTTTAATGTGAGAGTTAAGGACATGCTTACACCTCTCTCCATAATATCAACAGGACTTAAAAGATGTTTAGCGTTCCTGGAATGTTTTCACAGCTTTCAGCTGCAAATCTGTAGGCGTTTACACAAGCCTCCGTGTTGCATAATTTAACCTCATTAGTTTTCACCCTCTTCAGGCTTTTAATATGGAATAGCACTTTGCTGTGATGAAAGCAAAAACTAAAGAACGCTTATTTGTAGGCTGCAAAATCCATATGAGTGTCCTTTTAATGGAAGCAGACGGCAAGACTGCATGTGCAGGGATGACTACCCTGCAGCTGGCTACACCATTTTTAGGAAAATAAGAATTGACCTCAGTTCTTTGGAGATTAAAAGTGAGTCTTTATGTAATAATACTGTGTTTTGCAATGACTGAGTGACTGTTGGAAACACAAATTGTATTCCCAGTAGTGCCCTTTTGAAAAAAAAAGTCTATCCTCCCCCCGTCTTTCATTACATAATGATATATTGGAGGTGATGTGAGATTCTATGAAATATCTTCTTGGTGGGGTTTGATTTGTGATAGGTTTTCGCATGCGCACATCATTATGGTGTGATGCTCCTATCAAGAGGTGAGCTTGTATGTGTGGCCTCTCTCCAAAGCAGCCGGCCATATTGTTCTCTCTTCTCATTCTGTGCAAAGGCCAAACTCAGTGCGATGCTAGAGATTTGTCATCCAATCTCTGCTCTCTCTCAACTTTTGCAAATAGCAACCACAATCCAGATTAAGGCAGAAATGAGGCTTTTATGGTTTTCCTAATGGCACTAATGTCAACATCACAAGGGAAATGACAGTGGAAAGAGCTCTCCCTTTTTGCCACCCTCCCAACCTCCCTCAGAGGGGGCAGTGGGCCTCACATGAAGACGGCAGGATCCAAGTAGGTTCATGTCAGGAGAGGCGCTCCAAATATCTATTGGGATGGACAGAGCTTTATAGGTCAAAACCAGTCCTTTGTATTGGATATGCAGAGGCAACCAGTGCAGCTTTCCCAAACAGTCTGCAAAGGCAGACCCACATAAAGCTCCTTGTAGCAATTCAGTACAGTACTGAGCTTCCCAGGCCATAGATTACTGCAGCCAAGGCTATCCCTGCCCTGATAGGGTGATAGCAACTTCAGAAAGGCCATTTTCAGTGGGGAAATAGCTCTTTGAACGGGTTATATTTTCCCTCCCCTGTTGTCCTGACATGCCCTGACACACACACACACACACACACACAGAGAGAGAGAGAGAGAGAGAGAGAGAGCCCCATGGTGGTTGCTATTTGCAAAAGTTTAAAGAGACCTGAGACCTATTCAAGCACTTTCGTGGCCATGTCTGTTCAAGCCCTTAGACTAGATGCTTTAAGGGAACTGGGGCGGGGGGAGAGAAACAGAGTGGTGTAGTTCCATGTTTGCCATGCACTTAGGCCTCCACCAACTCAGAGTTCTGAAGGCGCAGGGCAGGGCTGGTCCACCCATGAGGCAAGCTGAGGCAACTGCCTCAGACGGCAGGATCCACAGGGGCAGCGATCTGGCCTCCAGGGAATGCATTGCCTGATGTTGCTGCTACTGCTGCTGCTGAGGTAGGAGCAACAACTTTGGCACTTTCCTTAGAGACCAGCTCTGCCTCCTCCCTGGCAGCCTCCCCATGCTGCCTCTACAGCAGCGTCTTGGTGTATAAGAGGTGCTGCTGGTCTTCCACTCCCACCCTTGTTCCCATTGTAGACCTTTATTCCCCTCCTTGTTCCCAATGTAGATCTTCATCCACTCTTTCTTCCACGGGGATGCGGGTGGCGCTGTGGTCTAAACCACTGAGCCTCTTGGGCTTGCTAATCAGAAGGTTGGCGGTTCAAATCCCCACAACAGAGTGAGCTCCCGTTGCTTTGTCCCATCTCCTGCCAACCTAGCAGCACACCAGTGCAAGTAGATAAATAGGTACCACTGCGGCTGGAAGATAAGCAGTGTTTCCATGCTCTCTGGCACTCATCACGGTGTTCCGTTGAGCCAGAAGCTGTTTAGTCATGCTGGCCACATGACTCGGAAAGCTGTTTGTGGATAAACGCTGGCTCCCTCGGCCTGAAAGTGAGATGAGTGCCGCAACCCCACAGTCATTTTTGACTGGACTTAACTGTCCAGGGGTTCTTTACCTTACCTTCCATGGGGTGGGCACGAATCAAGAATTAAACTAGTTTTGCTGGCCATAACAAGCTTTCACTTTTGCTTGCTAGCCACCGACTTCCGTTTTGCTCATACCATACTTGGGAAACCCGTTCCTTTTGCCACAGCTGGAGACTGTTACAGCGCTGCTAGATGCCCACAGGTACGTGTCAGGGATAGAGATGGGACTCAGTTTTCCTTTGTCATGCATTTTTTTTCCAGTCCATTAAGTATTAGCAGCCTCATACCCAGTGTTGCTCAGGAACTCTAAGAAATCGAAAGAATAGTGCAGTTTTGAAATCAGTGTAGCTTTGAAAGGCTCGGTCTGCCATCTTGAGTCAAAATGGCGTCCAACTGTATCCAAACATAGACGAAAACCTTCCCCCTTGATCTTAGGAGCCATTATGCCGTATTTGGTTAATATCACGGAAGGTTTGAAAGTCAAGTTTGCCAACTTGTTTGAAAATTGTGTCCAACTGGACAACAAACAAACTCTTTGATCTCAGAACCAAATGTGATTCCAATATGTCCAGAAATGTCCAAACAAGGGATGAACAAACAACTTTCCAAGATATATAGTTGATTTTGTTGAAATCTTTAAATACCCAAATATCCCTCTTCTTGCTTCCTCCCTTTTTATTTCATTTCGGCCTCATCTTCAGCTGGTTTCTCACATTTTATCTGTTTTTAAATGTTCAGTGACTCCAGTGATCAGAAGGACTGTAGAATTTGGCTTGCCATTCATTGCATTTGATGGGGCACATTCCCAAGCAAGTGTGAGGGATTTTCAGCCATTGGCAAGCACTGTAGAGATGTGAGAATTTTCCTAGTGACTGGCAGAAATCAGTACCCAAATCCCATGAGGTGTTTTGTTCCTGTTTCTTTCTCTTTTTTTACCCTTTCCCCTCTTTTCTTGAAACCCCCTCTTTCTGTTCACCTGCTCTTTCACTCTTCCTTTGTCTCGACACTTCTTGTAGACCCCCCCTCCCTTCCGACCCGTTGCATCTGGAGTCTGCAATGCAACACTGCCCTCTTGTGATCTCACAACTTCTCTTCAGCAATTGTGCTTTAGGTTGGAGTCAAGGCAGTCTTTTTCAGAGCGGTACGACAGAGGCATTGACCTAATCCAGAAGTTTTCAACCTTTTTGAGTCCATGGCTCCCTTGACCAACTACCTTCTTTCTGTGGCTCCCCTGTAGGGATATGTGCTCCAGACCTCAGAAGTCCCTTGCCTGCAGAGCTGGCAGCCCCTTTTCGAACATCCTCCCTTGCAGAGTGTTCTCTCAGCCTCCTCTCCTCTCCCCTGACCAGCCCCAGAGGCACCATTTGCCTGCTGAGCTTGTAGCCAGGGCTGCTGCAACAAACAGCTGTGCAAGCCTTCGAGAAGGCATCAGAGGAGGGAGGGAAGGAAGGAGGGACAGAGGCCAGTGTTGCCCACAGCACCCCTGGCCATCATTCAAGGCACCCCAGGGTGCCATGGCACACTGGTTGAAAAACACTGCCCTAATCCATGGCAGGTTCCCCAACTTTAGGGTGTATTTAGGATGCAACTTTTAGAAGGCAGCCCTGTATAGGGAAGCTTTTTAATATGTAATGTTTTATTATGTTTTTATATATGCTGGAAGCTACACAGAGTGCCTAGGATAACCCACTCAGATGGGTGGGGTACATATTATTATTATTATTTCAAATATCTAACGTGGTAGCGACTGGTGCCTGTTGAAGATGGGCTGGGGGCATTGCATATTGCAAAAATGTGCAATGCTGGACAGATGACCATGCATGCACACACACCCCTTGACACACTTAACAAAAGCACACACACATACCTGACAATGTCTCTGCCCATCTGACACTCGCACATACAGCTGACTCTCTCTCTCTCTCTCTCTCTCTCTCTCTCTCTCTCTCTCTCACACACACACACACACACACACACACACAAAGAGAGAGAAAGAAATTAAAGGAAGGAAGGAGGAACTACTAAGGGCCTTATATACATGGTCTCGAAATTTGCCTTCTAAGTTGCTTGTTTCTTCATTTTTGGGTAGGAACCGTGTGACATTTCTCCTCACTAGGTGATACAACAGCTTTTCTGGAGCTAAAATCTGCTTTTCAACCAACTGGTAGTTAGAGCAGAAAGATTTTCTAAATCGATTACATGTCACTGTGCTGTTTGCTATATCACGCCCCCCCATCCCCCTTAACTCCTCTTTTGTGATGCTGCCCCATACTCTCTCCACCCCACCTCAGCCCTCCTTGTCTCATCTTTCTTTTATTGACGCTTCTGCTGTTCATTTCTTGGCACACCTGCACAAATATTTGCAATATTTCTAGCCATGCTCTAAAGCCGATCTATCTGTTTTCCTCTCTCCACTTGAAAAGGGGCAGTTTGGCATCAATTTGGCAGGCACTGGGCTGAGGTTATCCCCTACGGCAAAGTGGATCGCTCAGGGAAATTACGTTACAGTTCAGATACACAAATCTCAAGTAAGTCTGTTTGCACCAATGATTATTTGCAGGGATGGGGTGTTTGCTCCAGTTGCTTCAATTAGCAGCAAAGGAACCTTGAGTCAGGTACAGTGGTACCTCGGGTTAAGTACTTAATTCGTTCTGGAGGTCCGTTCTTAACCTGAAACTGTTCTTAACCTGAAGCACCACTTTAGCTAATGGGGCCTCCTGCTGCTGCTGCGCCGCTGGAGCATGATTCTCATCCTGAAGTAAAGTTCTTAACCTGAAGCACTATTTCTGGGTTACCGGAGTCTGTAACCTGAAGCATATGTAACCTGAAGCGTATGTAACCCGAGGTACCACTGTACTAAGGAGTTGGAAAGCATCAGGCATTTAAAAGAAGAAGAAGAAGAGGCTGTAAAGACTTAATCTCAGAAAACCTCTTAATGAAGAGAACAAGGAAAGTGGCAGCAGACATCTGGAAGAAGCAGTCCTGTTTTAAGGCAGGGCGGCTGGGGCGGGGGGAGTGATTTGTAGCTGCCTGCCACATGGCACAGAAGGAGAGGACGTGCAGGTCATTGATTCATCTCCTTCCCATGATTCCTGGTTCTCAGACAACTTGTGCATCGCTGCAGCGAGGGGGTGCTGTTGCTTCCAAGGCAGCTATGAGTGCATGCTTCTCATGAAGTGATTTTCTGTTCTTTCCAGGATGATACTAAGATATATGGAAGATGTGGAGGATTCTGTGGGAAATGCATTCCTAATGGAAACACTGGTCTTCAACTTCAAATGAACTAGAGAGAAAAAGAGAGAAGAAGAAGAAGAAGAAGAAGAAGAAGAAGAAGAAGAAGAAGAAGAGAAGAAGAAGAAATCCTTAAGAATTATATTGAAGGTGCTGTTATTTCCTCAATCCTTTCAACTCTGCAGTGTTTGTCTACTCTGAATTCCTACTCCTCCTTCTATGTTAATCGGCAACTCTGCTTCTTGCCACACCCACAACCTCCTGCAAAGCTGCCACAGATTGCTGGGCACATTCTTAAGGCCATTTCGCCCATTTAAAAGGAAAACGGACCCCTTGGTGTTTTATGCGCACACATAAAACTGCAACGAGTGACATGAACACAGCAAACGTGATTACAAATGCACATAGCATATAAATACATTTCTCTGAGATCCGGGGTTTCTTGCAGCTCCCTAGCACTCTGAACACACTGGCTGAATGTATAGTGAATGTACCTGGGGATGTAGCCTGCTCCAGCCTGGGCATGTTTCTTTAACAGTCTGTATCCTGTTCTGCTGGGGATTGGGACCTGCAGAGAAAATAGCAGAGAATCAGCAAGGCCACTGCGGAACTTTTTTGGGGGGGGATTGGCCCTTTCATTGCAAATTGGGGGGGGGGCAGCCCCCACTACTTGGCACTGATGGAAGAGCCACAACCTCAGGCCAAATGTACAGAGGACATCCCTTAAGTGTGACACTGGAGTATCATCTGAATCAGGGTCCTCCTTGGGGCAACACTGAGACTCTGAAACAAGGTCCTATATGCAAACCAACCCTGCAAAAAAGTAAAGTCCCAAACTGCAGGTTCGGGCCCTCTCTGCACAGTCTGTATGCACATAGAAACCAAACAGATAGGCACATGGCTGCATGGAGGCCAAGGGGGTAGGGCTTGCTACTATGATTCCATTAGAATCATAGAATCGTAGAGTTTGAAGGGACCCTGAGGATCATCTAGTCCATTGCAAGAATATGCAGCTGTCCCATATGGGGATTTAACCTGCAACCTTGGTGTTATAGGCACCGCACTCTCACCCTGTGAAGGCGCTCCCCTTGTGCACATTTCATTTGCACCAGAGCATTCTCACCCAACCCCCCTGGCAAAAAGAAGAAGAGAACTTGAACTGGCTTTTTGTAAAGTTGTTTATTAAATGAATAAGTTAAGTTCCTTGGACTGACTCCTGTCCATTAGGTCCAGTCGTGGCCGACTCTGGGGTTGTGGCGCTCATCTCGCTTTATTGGCTGAGGGAGCCGGTGTACAGCTTCCGGGTCATGTGGCCAGCATGACTAAGCCGCTTCTGGCGAACCAGAGCAGCGCACAGAAATGCCGTTTTACCTTCCCGCTGGAGTGGTACCTATTTATCTACTTGCACTTTGACGTGCTTTCGAACTGCTAGGTTGGCAGGAGCAGGGACCGAGCAACAGGAGCTCACCCCGTTGCAGGGATTTGAACCGCCGACCTTCTGATTGGCAAGTCCTAGGCTCTGTGGTTTAACCCACAGCACCACCCGCGTCCCTTAAGATCCTTATTACTGTACAAAACAAAGAGTTCACATTTGCTAAGCTGGCTCGATCAGTTACGTTAGAAAGCACGGAAGGTGTTGAAATATACAATGTCCAGCATAATCCTAAATATATTTAATCATCTTTAAATCCCTCTAGGTTCACTGGGACTTACTCTCTAGTAAGTTGGTTTAGGATGGCAACTGATCAACTTTGCAAAACCCTGCCAGGCATTATATTTGTCCCCAGATCTATCTCAGATAGGTGCATATCAATATACTTTCTGCTGATACAGTTCCTGTAGCTTTCTTCATTGTGCTCCTGTCCTCTTTTCACATCACATTTTTGGTACTTACACAGACGCAGCAGCTCAGCTTCAGAAATCTCCCTGGCACATGCTTAGCAAAGTTAACGTCTATTGTGGCTAAAAGCAAGTAATCACATAAGGAAAACCACCATAGTTCTGAACCTAATGTTAGCGATCCTACCTCTCATCTATGTACTATGAAAACAAATTAATTTTGTATATTATAGGGGTTTTTTTATTCAGTTGTGCATATACACACATACACACACGGAAGTATACAACGATTGCCCAAATACTTCAAAATGAATGCCCATACTATATGTTAAAGGAAACCTCTGTTTCATCATTGAAACTCTCATGCAAGAAGCTATCTAGGAAGTAGAGCTCATTAACTTTAGGGGGATCTAGTTTAGATTTCTAGTGCTCCTAGTGGTCCTTGTTCAAGTGTCCTGCTTTTTCCACATCAGGAAGTCATTGCTCTGTGCCACTTTGTCTCCACATAGGTAGAGAGTTTTGTCTTTCAGAAGTGTTCTGGTTGTTGGACTTGCCAGAAACCCCAAATATTAATATTACATTGAATTTAGACACTATTTCATAACAAGTTCTCAGGTATTTGGAATGTATAGCATATAGTACAATTCTATTTTCTTTGTGATGCCTACTGTTGAAGCCAAATACCAGCTAAAGGTACAATCCTCATTCCATTCAAGTCTGTGACAAATGCCCCATTCATCTTAATGGATCAGCATTATTGCAACCTAACAATTAAACCAAATACCGTCAACTGCCAGTAAAGCATTGGTAGAGGAAAAAATGGCAGCTATACTAATATCACCCACAAAGATATTTAAAATAAGGACTAAGTCATACCACGGGATTTTGAGCAGTTAACTGCCTTTGAGCTAACACATATAGATAACTATTTTGTGACCTCTGTATCAGAAAAGTATTTTTTTGCACTATGTGCCTTATTCTACTTGTAAACATGAAAACTGTAACATTATTTTCCTAGAAATGTTTACATTTACAATACCTATGTTATAAATTATAAAAAAAACTTTATGTAATAAATATGCCATGTGATCACTGCTTAAATACACTGCTTAAATACAGTGCTGATGTGTCAGCAAATCACTTATGGGATGGTTTGTGCAAATCATTCAGCGTCTCTTCAACCTTTGACATTTTTCTCTACATCAGGAAGAAAGAGCCTGTGCAACTTAATTTATTAAGACTGCAGTCCTCTGTACAGTGGCACCTCGGTTTACGAACTTAATCCATTCTGGAAGTCCGTTCTTAAATTGAAACCATTCTTAAACTGAGGCACACTTTCCCTACTGAGGCCTCTCGCCACCGGTACCTTTCCACTGTTTGGCTTTCGTTTGGCTTCTGGGGCAAAGTTCGCTAACTAACCAGAACACCTACTTCCGGTTTTGCGGAGTTTGTTGTCCGAATTGTTCATGAACAGGGCTGTTCGTAGACCGAGGTACCACTGTATACCTACCTGAGAGTAGCGATATCAGATAATTCCGATGAACACAGAAATGGGAGCAGAAATTGCTGGAGTTCACTTATTCCTCCCGCATCTGATCTGAAATAGAAATCCATCAAGGGAATATGATCAGCATTCACTGTTTTTGTTACTGTCGGTCTGCAAATGACGCACAACTGGAAAAGAAAGCCCTGGTCTTAGGGCATTACAGTGGACCAGGGCTTTCTTTTCCAGTCTTGTCTGGCTCTGAGCTCTCCTCTAGCTAATTATCACAGCCAGACATCGTATCCATGTCATCGTGTTCCTTCGAGATTTCCTTGAAAGTTATTGGAAACCGCATCCAAATTCACAGCTTTCATTCCGTCTTGCTGGCGCATTGCTATGTTTAAAAAATTGCTGGTGGAATCCAGTTAAGTCTATATTGTGAAGAAATGTTTACAGTCTGGGATCTACATTGGCTCCCAGTACGTTTCTGAGCACAATTCAAAGTGTTGGTGCTCACCTTTAAAGCCCTAATTCAAAGTGTTGGTGCTCACCTTTAAAGCCCTAAACGGCCTCGGCCCAGTATACCTGAAGGAGCGTCTCCACCCCCATTGTTCAATCCAGACACTGAGGTCCAGCGCCAAGGGCCTTCTGGCGGTTCCCTCACTGCAAGATGTGAGGTTACAGGGAACCAGGCAGAGGGCCTTCTCAGTAGTGGCGCCCGCCCTGTGGAATGCCCTCCCATCAGATGTCAAGGAAATAAACAACTATCTGACTTTTAGAAGACATCTGAAGTCATCCCTGTTTAGGGAAGTTTTTAATGACTGGTGTTTTAATGTATTTTTAATCTTTTGTTGGAAGCTGCCCAGAGTGGCTGGGGAAACCCAGCCAGATGGGCGGGGTAGAAATAAATTACAGTGGTACCTCAGGTTAAGAACTTAATTTGTTCTGGAGCTCCGTCCTTAACCTGAAGCACCACTTTAGCTAATGGGGCCTTCTGCTGCCGCTGCGCCGCTGCTGCACGATTTCAGTTCTTATCCTGATGCAAAGTTCTTAACCCGAGGTAATATTTCTGGGTTAGTGGAGTCTGTAACCTGAAGCATATGTAACCTGAAGCGTATGTAACCTGAAGCGTATGTAATACGAGGTACCACTGTATTATTATTATTATTATTATTATTATTAGTGTGGCTCAGCTGGGATTGCGCCTCAGTTTTGTTGTTCACCACAGAAAAGATCTGAGGCGTTGGCAAATGACTTTCTTTGTACTTGAAAGTCGCAATGACATCTGCATGGAAGATGGGAAAGTGTGGGGAGGGATGTGGAGGCCAGCTCCTTTGCCAAGGAAAACCAGTGAAAATGCAAACATGCTTATCCAATCTTGGTAGGGACTCAGGCTCAGGGGATTCATATTTTAGTGCATATATAATATTCCGCTAGACAATTTCTTCTTCAGACTGAGATGTTAAGGTAATCAGCATTAGTTCACAGGGTGCTTATACAAAGGGAGGCCTTGTTCAGCTTGCAGGCCATGCCCTGAGAAAAAAGTCAGAAGTTTTTAGATGAATTTCTGAGTTCACAACTACAGAAGGAAAGATGGAGCTTGAACAAAGCAAGAAATGAATGCCAAGTTTTTCGCCTAGATCTTTAATTTTCAGTACTTTCAAGGGAGTCTATTTCACTGTTGTGACCTACATCAGGACATCCTAAGCTTTAGGATTCAGAATGGGAAGGAGAAAGTCATCACTTTTTATATTTGATTAAAAAAAAATCAGGAGTGGTCAGCTTCTGAAGTCTGGCAAGACCATATGTCTATAACATCTATATCAAATCTGACAATCTGATATGATTGAACATACTTGCTGCTGGGTTAAAATGTGGAATATTGAAACGAAAGCTTCAGTGATATCATGTTCATGTTGAATTTCCATTCCATTACTTAAGTGAAATGACAGAAAACTTACAGAGCACTCTTCATTTTATTCTTATTTCTTTTTTTTGGTATGTGTGTGTGTAGAATAATGTGCACAGCCCCATCTAGTGGCTATGCTTAACATTGTTATAAACTACACTGATTCAAAATAACCATCCTTACAATTTAATGCACAGATGTTAAGCCCAGCGACCTATAAACAAGCATAAAATGCTTTGCTGGAAAAGTGCAGTTTTGAGGCAGTTGTTGGCATTTGTCTGTCTCGGGAGATGATGGAAGAGTGTGCCTTTGGGGGTAAAGTCAAGGAAAGTTACAAAGCCTGCTGTGCCTGTAGAGACCAAAACAGAAGAGACATGTTTTATTGCAGGTGAGGCAGATGAAGGCCTCCATTTTTGCTGCTACAGGTGTACCATGGTGATTCTTCTCTCTGCTCTCCTCTGGTCACTGCTGTGGATACACAACCTGATTGTTTCCAGGCACTGCGATCGTCTCCAAGGGATTCCCATGTGGTGGGGTTAATGTTGCTGGCCTTCTGTATCATGTTGAAGCTTTTCATAAGCTTCTGCGAAGATATTTAGGATGGTTTGGAGGTCATCCTCTGAGTGTGCACACGCTATGTTGTCATCAGCATACTGAAGCTCTATGATGGAAGTTATGGTAACCTTACTCTTTGCTTTCAGCCTACTCAAGTTAAAGAGCTTTCCATCTGTTCAAAATATGATTTCTACTCCGGAGGGGAGTTTCCCTTTGACAATGTGTAGAATCATGGCAGTGAAAATAAGAAATAGAGTTGGGGCGATAAGACAACCCTGTTTAACACCTGATCCCACTGTGAAAGGTTCATTTTGAGAGTCATTGTTATCTGCAATTGTTGCTGTCATGTTATCATGGAGGAGCCAAAGGATGTCCACAAATTTATCTGGGCAGCCAGTTTTCAGAAGGACAGTCCACAGGCATTACAATTTACAGCGCCGAAAGCCTTAGTCAGGTCAGTAAATGCTGTATACAGGTGTTGGTTTTGCTCTCTGCATTTTTATTGAGGCTGTCGAGCAGAGAAAACCATGTCCACTGTCCGCCTAGAAGGTCGAAAACTATTTTGGGATTCAGGAAGGGTAGCCTCAGATATAGTTAGGAGGTGGTTTGCTCAGATTCTTGCAAGAATTTTGCTAGCCGCAGTTGGTTACCTCAGCCACTCTGGGCGACTTCCATCAAATTAATGACGAGGCGCACAGATTACCTTGCTGCAGTCTTTCCTCCTATAGCGAGATACATTGTGTTCCTGTTTACATTAAAGTCATTTGCAAGTAGGAACGTTTTAACACAGATCTGTGCGCTCTTTTGTCCTTTTCCCCTTAGAAGAAGAGTTAGTTCTTCTACGTTATTCAGATTAAGCAATGCAATCGTTCCTGGTTGGCTGGAGATCAATGTGTTCGACACTAGATGTGGTTTTCACAAAATCGAATGTGATAGGATGTGCCACCATTTGAGGCTGATATTAATGGATACTGCTAGGTAGAAGTTAGGGAGGACAACAGTAGGGGTCACTAGAGCAAATGGCCGATTGTGCTAGAGCCAGTGGTAGGTGGAGACAACTGCTGCATTTTTATAAGGGCAACACTGAGACTAAGGGTAAGCAGGCGGACAGCTGGTGTCCCCCTATGGCAGGTGGGACTGACTGAGCATGGCGTGGATTTTGTGGCCCATTGCCTCACTTGCCCTAATGAACTAGCTTCCACTGTGTGTACCATCCTAAGCGAGTGTGCTATCCTAAGCAAGAAGAATTGAGCTTTCTGACTGCTTTGTAAAGTCTCCCTTGTTCTTACATAGCCTACAGTTTAACACAAATATTAGGATTTTCTTTTCGGTGGGGAAAGATGGCAATAATTTTGAGAATATCAAGTACATAATCTCCGCATCCTTGGGCCTTTTTTATACTTAAGCCCATAGAGGAATGGCTTGTTTGGCTTCAGATCCCTTTTTAACACATAAAGGTTTTCTTTTACGGTTTGTGGCGGTTCTTTTTACAAGGCCTCAGCTTCATAGGTACTGGGTGTGTTTATTCTGGCTGTAGGAAAAGATTCTGTGCTCTGTTTTCTGATAAGTTTCCCCTCGAGTTCAGTTATGACAGATCTCCCTTTGAATATGCTTTGCTGAAGAAAAATACCATAGCACAAGACAGGCATCTCTGGCTATATTATATTTATGTCTGTAGTCTGTCCTTAAACATCAACAGCTGTGCACACATTGATCTGGCGCACGGCCGATTCTCCACTACATCCAAGAAACCCTTTTCGAAAAAGTTTCTTGGGGATTATGTCTACATTATTGCAATATGATTTCCTAGCCTACACATATTTTTCCAATATTATCTGTATTTTTATTTATTTTGTAAAGATGGATCAAGATACCAGGTTGTATCCAATGTTAACCATACTCTTTGAAATTAAGGGGGATGTCTAACTTAGGTTCATTCATTTCAATGGGTCAACTCTGAGTAAAACCTGGTAAAACCCAAAGGCTGTAATAGGAGACAATTGTTATACATTTGTAGCTGTGGTATTTGCTGACAGTTTGGGAGCAGATATTTCTGGCTTTTTGTTTTTAAATGTGCTTCCTCTCTGGATAGGGAGAGGTGGGAAAGTTTTCCCCATCTTGCAGCTGGTTTTCCATTCCTTTGTCTGTTGTGTCACACTTACACATAGGTTTTGCAACAGAGGAATTAGACCTTGACGTACACAGGTTCATTTAGGAGGTGGGCTGTATCCTGTACACTCTCATTTACCCTTTGAGTGTTCAAAATGAGCTCCTGAAGAGGACTATGCAGAAATTAGAGGCCAGTTATCCTCATTGTAAGGTAACTTTTGGGGACGCGGGTGGCGCTGTGGGTTAAACCACAGAGCCTAGTGCTTGCTGATCAGAAGGTCAGCAGTTCGAATCCCCGTGACGGGGTGAGCTCCCGTTGCTCGGTCCCTGCTCCTGCCAGCCTAGCAGTTCGAAAGCACGTCAAAGTGCAAGTAGATAAATAGGTACCGCTCTGGCGGGAAGGTAAACGGCGTTTCTGTGCGCTGCTCTGGTTCGCCAGAAGCAGCTTAGTCATGCTGGCCACATGACCCGGAAGCTGTACACCGGCTCCCTCGGCCAATAAAGCGAGATGAGTGCCGCAACTCCAGAGTCGTTCGCGACTGGACCTAATAGTCAGGGGTTCCTTTACCTATGGTAACTTTTATGGCCACCTCAAGTAGAATCCTCAATGAAAGGAGGTTGTCTGAAAATGTCTGCTCCACAATGACCTTCATGACAACCATTCTTTAAGCAAGCAAATAGCCAAAAGAACAGTTCCTGCACAGTTTATCACATTATGAATCCCCTTACAAGGTCCTCATATAGGTCTTCCCTCTTCCAATTTAATGCAGAGGGCCCTGTGCAGCAGGAGAAATGCTAATCTGAAGTCATTCCAATCTGAAAAGGAACATCAATTTTGATACAGGAGCAAAACAAGTTTAATTCATGGGACATTCCATTTGCCAAGAGGGATATAATGCTTTTTGTACAGTTAAATAATTCAAGCTGTAATTATACAACATACAATTGGCATGTGCATTTATAAAAAATCTCTCTCTTTAGGATCTTGAAAACTTGGAACAGGAAAGGATAGGGATTTGATGATAGGGCTAAGAGCTTTAAAAATAGTTAAAAGGAGTTTGGGAGACAAACACAAAAAAGCAAATGGTTTTAACTTGGCCCATCAGCTAGGTATCTCTGCAGCTTATCTGAAACTTGAAGGCCATGACTTGCAAAGAAAATAATAAATTAGCAATGCAATCATATACACGTCTATCCAAAAATAAGCTCCATTGAGTTTGATCCTGTGGTTTTCCAGCCCAGACACTTCTGGACTATATCTCCCATCATCCATTTTCTGTCAGCCTTGCTCATTGGGGCTGATGGAAGTTGGAGCTGAACACCACCTGCAGGGTCACAGGTTCTGCACCCTGCCTTAGGCTGTCTTACTCTAATCAGTATTTCTCAAACATGGGTCTCCAACTGTTGTTGGACTACAACTCCCATCCTCCCTGACCTCTGGTCCTGCTAGCTAAGGATGATGGGAGTTGTAGTCCGACAACAGCTGGAGACCCAAGTTTGAGAAACACTGCATAGCCTCTGCTCCCACTCCCAAATAGGACTTTAGAGATCAGCAGGAGATGAGATAGGTAGATAGATAGATAGATGATAGATAGATGATAGGTAGATGATAGATAGATAGATAGATAGATAGATAGATAGATAGATGATAGATAGATGATAGATATTGATGAGTGTTGGCCTCATAGTGCCACATTTGTAAAGCTAAGCGGAGTCTGGTATGGTTTCAAATGGGATGGGCGACCTCATGTTGAGATTTCTGCATTGCGGGCAGGGCTTTGTCCTAGATGACCCTCGTGGTCCCTTACAAGTCTACAGCTCTATGAGTCTATGTTCGCTTCCAGACCCAATGTGGATTTATCTTGGGATTGCTTATGGAAGTCAGCTTCTGCACATTAGGGATGGCATAGCTATCCATTTCAATTTTTCTCAGTAGGCAAATTTATATTTCAGTTCTCTGAGAAGAGTGTAAGTAGATAAGCCAGTGTGGAAGTGATCATGTGCATACTTTATTGGCTGTAGCATCCAATAACATCAGTAGGAGTAATTTCCAAATAAATGCAATTAGGGGTTTACAACATGAAGTAGTATATGGTGGTGCTGTGGTGGTACTAAGTAATACTGTTGCATGCAATACCTTAGTCTAGCCACTCCGGGTCAGTATTCCTACATCTGAAAGGCATTGCCAAAACGGCCAAAGAGGTTTGAAGGCCCGCCAAGGAAGAATAATGCTGCTGCCTTTCCATCAGGAGACTAGAATAAATCACTCTCTCGCACACATCAATCCAGACATTTCACGTGGATGACAGCAGTTGCACATCAGTGAATGGAATATATCTGAATATGAAGGGAGCAACACAATAGGAAATTCTGCAAATAATAAACTGAGAGCTTACATTTTAGATTGTAAGCATCTTTTTTTTTAAAAAAAGATTACAAACTTTTTAGGTCAGGGGTCTTTCTTACTTATATCTCTGCTGTAGTTCCTAATAGGTTTGGGATACTCTATAAATCCCACACATCTATAAATCTAAAATCAACATGAATAATTATTCAGTTAGGCAAAGGACTTTTCTCTTTTTAAGAAAACATAATACAGCAAAGAAAGTCACCGGCAAATTGGCAGCAATGCCACTAACAGACCTACTAGCCGTTCTAGGGAAGAAAACCAAATTGACCTCAACTAAATACCACACAACAGTCCTGATCATGCTCATTCAGAAGGAAGTCCTACTGAATCAGTGAGACTTACTGCATCGTATCCAAACTGGTTATAAAGGATATACAGTGGTCGGGTTAAGAACTTAATTCGTTCTAGATGTCCGTTCTTAACCTGAAACTGTTTTTAACCTGAAGCAGCACTTTAGCTAATGGGGCCTCCCTCTGCTGCCGCCGCACTGCCGCTGCACAATTTCTGTTCTCATCCTGAAACAAAGTTCTTAACCCTAGGTACTATTTCTGGGTTAGTGGAGTCTGTAACTTGAAGCGTATGTAACCCGAGGTACCACTGTAGTTCAATTACACCAGGCAAGACTGGGGGCTGGGTGCAGAGAATAAACACCCCGCCCCCCCAGTCTGGTCCTCACTGCTGCTGCTGGATGGGCACGGGACAAAGAGGTTTCAGGGGGCTGTGTTGTACCACCAGCCTGCCCACCAACGCAGGGGAGAGCCTGGCTGACCGACACAGTTCTTGGCAGGCATATGCCACAAATGCTGGCTGGGCGGCCATTCAGTGAGGGGACCATGGGTGCAGCAGCAAGGCAAGGCCGGGCTCCAGGGCCCAGAGACCCCTGGCAGCAGGCAGGGCAGGGCAAGGATCTCTGCATGGGGGCACCTGGTTCATTCCCCCCAAATTGTGCTCTCAGGGTTACTGCCTCCCCATGCTATGCCCCTGGGTGAGCCACTTATGATCAGAGGGAGAGGCAGACGGAAATATAGGTTGAGACAGTGAAGAGGAGAACCAGGTCTAGGAAAAACTTGTCCATCTATGGATACCAGTCTTGCATCTGAAGGCCTTTCCCCATACATGTAAATAACATATGGTTCAGTACCAACTCCCAGCAAAGAATATGCACTTTGGTGGATATAAAAAAACTCGGGAACATCCATGTTCGATTTAGTTTGAGTTTTGAAGATGCCGTGTTTCTGCCAGATGTACTCCTTCTAGTTGCAGTTTTCCGAAGGATGTAGTATCTCTGGCAGAATTTTAAAGCAGAGGAAACTTGTGGCTTTGCATGACTTCAAGTGGCGCCCACTCTTTTCTGCGTTAATTCCAAGAGATGTTTTATTAACAGAGACAGAAACTCGCCTCGCAGTCCAAATGTGTACAGCCCACAACTTTCTTGTCTGGATCCAAGGCAAGATGTTTCTGCCAAGCATTCATAAACAGAAATGATGAACAGAGACCCTCGTGCAGACGTCAAAGGCTGTGGAGATTTGGCAGAAAGCACACGGAAGAGGGCTTCCTTCACCCCCAATCAGTCTGACTGCCCCAAGGATCCTAGGACGCCTTTTAAATGACACATTTAAGGATCTGGGAGTCTGTGGCCACTTTCGGATATTTTGATGCAGCACACACATACATATCCTTGCTTCTTTAACCATTCAGGGTGGCTTCCGAGACGTTAAAACACACGGCTGAGAAAACTCAAGCATATAGCTGAGGTTCCTGAAATGCCAATGTAATAAGAATTGTAAATGAGTGCAAATAAATGAACACTTAGAACTTAAAAAGAGTGTGAGGAGAGATTGAATTATCCCTAATGGCCTAATAGATTAAGTTGCAAATCTGGTTTCTTTTAATTTAATGGGAATTTAGCCACTGGACTCCAAGCCACCCTAGATCCTGAAGAGAAAACCCAGAGTTCTTTTTGCTGCTTGGCTATTTTTGGCTGGCAATGGTTTGTTTGTGTTTAGAAAAGGTTACAGGGGCCTAGGAAAGGCCACATCCTTTGGTCTAATCTACATGACTCTATGTGGCCAGAATTTCCAGTTCCAGGCTGCTTGAAGCAAGCACAGTGGCTTTTTTGGTAGGGGAGCAGTATGTGCAGAACCACAGTGGTTGCTTGAAGCAGCGCCCAGGTGCCAGTGTTGGGCACCCACAACCATCTTTACTATACAGTGGTACCTCGGGTTACATACGCTTCAGGTTACATACGCTTCAGGTTACAGACTCTGCTAACCCAGAAATCGTGCTTGAGGTTAAGAACTTTGTTTCAGGATAAGAACAGAAATCGTGCTCTGGCAGCGCGGCAGCAGTAGGAGGCCCCATTAGCTAAAGTGGTGCTTCAGGTTAAGAACAGTTTTAGGTTAAGAACGGACCTCCGGAACGATTTAAGTACTTAACCCAAGGTACCACTGTACATTTAAAGCACTACTATACCACTTTAAATAGTATTCAGCCACTTTAAATTCTGAGAGCTTTCGTTTGTTAAGGGTACAGAGAGTTGCTAGGAGACCTCTGTTCCCCTCACAGATCTACAGTTCCCAGAGTTACTTGGGAAAAGGAATTGACTGTTAAACCACTCTGAGAATTATAGCGCTTGCCCCCTGTGTCCCTATCCGGCCACTTTGATCTACGGAAACAAGCACTTTTACAAGTTCCACATAATGTTTGCTCTGTACTTGCAAGAAGCCAGACTTTTTGTGTTGCAGCATGTGAGGGGAATGGGGGGTAGGGGTCTCCTACAACTCTCAGCACCCTTAACAAACTGCAGCTCCCAATATTTTGGGGGGAAACCATAAAAGTTTAAAGTGATCTCATAATGCTTCAGGGGTGCCCAAACTTTTTTCAAAGAGGGCCAGATTTGATGAAGTGAACATGAGTGAGGGCCAACCAAAGTTGTTGAGCTTTGCTTTTTTTAGGATTTTCCCCAAAAGTTGTTGAGCTTTTTTTAGGACTGACTGGCCACAGGAACCAGATTAAATCAGCCAGAGGGCTGGGTTAGGCTTTGGACATGCCTGCTATATGTACAGTGCAGATGGGACCTAGATTTCACTTGAAGGCCAATAACCTTCACCCTGAACCAATCAGAAACCCTCCAGATGTTGTGGACTGAAACTCCCATGATCCATGTCCATTGTCTGTGTTGACTGATGCTCATGGGATCTGTAGTCCGCAGCATTATTATTTTCCATGGGGGTGGTATCATGCCGGCTAACCCTGTATCCAATTTGATTGGTGCTAATTCAAACATACTTGCTGGATCAGAACGAGGAAGTGGCCTCAGGGATAATATCTCTAATTCCGCAGGGGGAAAAGAAAGAAAGAAAGTCAAATAAAAATAGTTTGAAAGGTAGTGCCAATTAAAACAAGCCAGGGGAAGGTGCAGCTTGCAATCTGGATCCTGACCTCCTTCCCCCTTGTGGATCATTTTGACAGGTGGGCATGGCTGGCCACTTGTCAGTCACCTGACAAGCACTATCCCTTGCCTGAAATGAAGCTACATGGGCAAAGAAACAGGTCTTTGCAAGTGCTGGCAACCAGCAGGGGTTGCAAAGTCCTGAGCTTCTGCAAGCACCAATGAGCTGTCTCAAGGACTCACCTCTTTGCTTGGTGGTGGGCATGGCTTGTGGAAAACCACTTCCCAGGCCAAACTAGGAGACCGCAGACCAGAGGGTCCCTTCCGCTGACTCAGAGGCAGACCAATTCTCATTAAAGCAAGAATATTATCATGGGGGTGAACCCATGCGCATGTTCCCAGTGAAATAAATTCAGGAGACGACTATGAACGCTGCTCTTATTTCATCCTGGTAGGCCTGGAATCAAGCATCTCTCCAGGAAATGTAAGTTGCAGTGGGAATGCCATTCGATTTGTCTGGGGTGAGTGTGTGTGCGCTTCGAAGTTTATTGATAACAATGGAAAGACAAGCTAGCTATTGGCCTTAGAGTTTAGTCCCCAAAGTACCTGCAAGGAAACCTTTCATCGCTGGTAGAACTCAGTTGTCATTTTTACACTAAACACAGCCTCTTATAAACACAGCACATGCCTATGATACTGACAAGCTGTGCATCGGACAGCTGCTGCCTAGCAGCTATTCTAAAGGAAGCGAGGAAAATGTATCCCATTCCTAGACACACGGGCTCCTTGCCAAGGCTGCTCAAATGCACCACATGGCCAGTGAGTAAACCTCCGTTGTACCGTTTCTGCAGATTTACTTTAGTTTTTAACATGCTTTCTTGGCCTTGGGTTGAACAAAGGTGCAATATTGGCTAGGAAATCGTTTCCCACATGTTTCGAGTCACCTATAGCTCCTTGCTCTCCAACGCCCTCCACAACACACCGAAGAGTTCAGAATCTGGTCTCTGTGGGTTGATCTTACCTTATTTGTGGCAGGGGGATTGGACTTCCAGGTTTGCTTTGTTCATTTCATTCTTTTCATGGTATTATAGACAGTAACCTTTTTTTCTCTGAGAGAAAAATGCTGAATCTGTAGCTGTGAAATTAGGAGGAAAGCCAAGAAGAAGAAGAAGAAGAAGAAGAAGAAGAAGAAGGGGAGTTTGGATTTGATATCCCACTTTATCACTACCCTAAGGAGTTTCAAAGCAGCTAACAATCTCATTTTCCCTTTCTCCCCCACAACAAACACTCTGTGAGGTGAATGGGGCTGAGAGACTTCAAAGAAGTGTGACTAGCCCAAGGTCAGCAGCTGCATGTGGAGGAGCGGGGAAGCGAACCCGGTTCACCAGATTACGAGTCAACTGCTTTTAACCACTACACCACAAGGACACAAGAACAGTCTGCTGGATTGGGTCAATGACCCACCCAGGCCAGCATCCTGGCCAACCAGATGCCTGTGGGAAGCCTGAAAGCAGCGCACTAGGGCATCAGCACTCTGCACACCTGCATTTCTCAGCAACTCATATTCCAAGGCACACAGCCTTATGTGCTAGGTGAGAACATCTGATCTGATTAGATCAGTCCTTATAAACTTGAGGATATCGAAAATCGTCTGCTGTTTTTTCCCCTTTTCATTTTACGATGGTGACAATGGATTTACAATCCTTTTCTTTTAGTCCCTAATCTCCAATTAAAAAACAAGATGAAATCACTAATGAAGTCAACTGGAATATGTAGAAACTGCTTTCCCCCCTAAAACAAATGTTTAGGGGCAGTGCTGGATTCATGTATAAGCTAAACATGCTATAGCTTAGGGCCCCACTCTCTTGGGGCTCCCCCCAAAAAATAAAGGGGGGAAAAACTGGATGTACATTTCCAAAATATAAGATAAAAAACAAATAAAATAAAACCTACATACAGCAACAGTGTGCAAATGGCTTTAGATACCTATTAGGTCCACAAATTACCATATAGCATATATTAACACAAAAAGTGACAATTTGTTGTTGGCAAAGGACAGCTGGACATATAAAGGGCCCCATTACTTCAGTAGCTTAGGTCCTCGTCAAATCTAAATCTGGCCCTGTTTAGGGGTACTCTCATTTTGACTCAAGAAAATCACCATTTTATAGTTCAAATCGGGGAAAATAAATACAGTAAATGGACAAAAGTACGAAGAGCATGCACTGCCTCATATTACATAGCTGACAGCTCACAGTAACTTCCACATTGGCATGAGGTTAATAATTTTCCTACTCATATTGAAATACTGCTCCTCAACGAGGCCAAACTTTCATCATTTAAACACCACACATCCACATTCCTTCATGCATTAAACGCTCACTTCCGTATGAGAATAAGGAAACCCTGTGACAGAAAATGAGGCCGCCATCGTGGGAAGCAATAGAACTGAAGATTCACCATGCTAGAGAAGAAACTAATAATTTAATGTATTTTTTAAGTTTCTTCTCCCATTAGAGTCACAAAATGTTTAGGGGTACGCATACCCCTGCGTACCCTCAGGAAAATAAGCCACATACTCTCCCTTCGGAGCATTAGGTCCTGCAATTAGCAATGAGATGTTCAAATAGCGATACAATTCAGTGATGTCTCTAGCCACAAACAAAGAATTATAGCCACAATCATTTTCATACATGCGTTTGGCTTGTACTCACCTCTTTGCCCAGGGATGGCGAAACCCTTTCAGACTGTGAGGGAAGCATTACCTCACAGGAACCTTCCAAGGCCAGAGGCCAGTGGCAACAGGGGGCAGGATCAGCATGCATAGCTCTTACAAAGCCAGTGGTTTCTATGTACCCCACATCTATCTCTCCATTCTCCATCCAGGCCAGCAAAAGACATTATTGCAGTTCAAAGACACATTCCAGTCAGGCAAAAAGATATGAGGAGGGCGTGGAGCAGGGCTGTTGAGGTGCATAGCTTGAGGAAAGGGGCCTGGAGGTCTGCATTTGCCAACACCCCACCCCAGGCCTGAGATTCTCCCCCTTGCCCTAAACTCCCTAAGGCTTCAAATGCTAAGTAGTCTTTCAATCTAAATGTAGTTTTTAAAATAAGAACATAAGGAGAGCCTGCTGCATCAGGTCAGTGGCCCATTGGTCAGTATCGTGTCGAGGTAGCAATGGACGCTATATGTCCTGTGAGTCCTTCTCCAGTGTTCAAACTCTGGTTTCTAATTTTCTCCTCTCAGTTTCTCATTTTCCCAATTCAGTTCTTCACATTTTTGCAGCTATTTGCATTCCCCCCCCTCAAAATACAAATCCTTATGCAAATTCATCAGCAATTTTAGTGTGTTTCTCCCAATAAACACATTTTTATGCAGTTTTGACTGATCTACACATTTTGTGAGCAATTTCCTCTAATACAATGCATTTTTATATGCTATTCTCACTAATTATATGCATTTATAGGCACACTTTACCCAATATATTCATTTTTGTACACATTATTTGGCAGATCAACTGGATCGCAAAATTCAAAAAAATGTGAATTTCAATGGATGGCTGTGATTTGGTTCGCGTATTGTTTCAGAAGGTGCAAATTTAGTAGGCTTGCTTTTAAATGCAAACTGGGTCAAATTTCTGCTCCATCCATACACTCTAGAATTCGCATTAGTCATCCAACAGTCCTTCCACATTTTCACAAAATGGCGGCCCTCCCACTTTCAAAAGGTGTTTGTGCAAAAATCGCAAGACAGGAAAAACTGTTTATTGTTGCATGACTAAACCCAGTAGTCGGCTCAGTCGGGAAATGTGTTGAGAAGTTGTCAAGATCAACAATATATATATGTATATATATGTGTACACACATACACACACACACATATACACTGTGATTCTCCTGAGACGTTCTCTCATAAGTCTGCCTTCGATTTCTTTATTACTCTTGTGTCAGTAAAGTGATTAGCAGTCTTCCATTAAAACTGCAAACCTTTCAGTCTGAATTTATTAGACAATAATAGCTGAATCACTAACGCAAGCACTTGGATGGGCTCCAGTGCTCTTTATATAGAATGACAATGCTCTTCGGGAATCCACTGGTTTCACAATCCAGTGATGGATGAACATATATCCATCACTGGATTGTGATTATATATTGCATTTTTCTGGGGGGACAAAGGGGGACGCATACGCATAAACATTTTGTCAGTCTAAGTTTGGCCTCATTGAGGGGCTGTATTTCAATATGAGTAGGAAAATGAGAGTACCCCTAACATTTTTTAAATAAAAGAACCCACTCTGTGTGTGTGTGTGTGTGTGTGTGTGTGTGTATTCCAACTGGAACAGTGAAGAGCTATGGAGTGTCTAACCAAAGCACAGCACTTCATCAGAAAGCTCTACTGCTTACATTTAACGCCAAGCGTTGATCAATAATAAGTAGCGGTAATCAATGAAATAAATAATGAATAAGAATCTTCTATCAAAGTGGCCCATTGCTCAGTCACGACACAAAAGCTATTTTGTTATGCTAGACTACATATTTGGATCTTTGTGTCAGAAGTGATAGAAATGAAGCACCCACCAAACTCGTTTTATGTCTCATCTCACTCTATGACCTTTTGGTTACCTAAAAGCGTTCAGTTGAAAGCAACTAGTTTCTTAGCTTGCTTGTCAGGGACTGGTTGGGTGCATATGAATGGTGGGACAATGACAAGTGGTCAGAGGGAGAAGACTGGGAAGAGGAGGTGTCAGAAGCAGAAGGGGTAACAGGGCTAAATGAGTGGGGAGAGTCTGTGGCAGAGAGAAGTCCAGAAGCAGAGGCAGAAGCTGAAGCAGGAGAGGAAGGAGGACAAGAGGCAGAGATGAGGCAGGCAATACAGTGGTACCTTGGGTGAAGAACTTAATTTGTTCTGGAGGTCCGTTCTTAACCTGAAACTGCTCTTAACCTGAGGTACCAC